AAAGAGCCGAGATCGCACGATGGAAAATCAATCCACTCAATGGAACTTGAATAAAATCCAATCCAATATCGAATATGGAGATGAGCCGAAGTGACGTGTGCGGTCGTCAAGTGTTCTGGACCAGAGCATCCACGGTAGGGAAGTGGGACAGTTGAACTGTAGGGAGAAAGGAAGGAGAGAAACAAAAAGAAACAAAAGTTGACAAGTGAGTATGGAGTACCCTAATGTAAACAAGAGAAGTAGGGGGAAAGGGGAACTTGAAAGGAAAGGGAAAGTGGGATTTGGCTGAACACGGCCATTTTGAGGCCCAATTGGGTGATGGATCTATCGACTGAGGAGAGTATGTCCTGTGTGTACAGTACACTGTGTACACTGTATACACTGTATACACATGGATATTATGATTACACTATAACTATAATGAAGTACGATCTATGGTATACCATAGATCATCTCTGTACTCCGTATACTCGACCACATGCTAGTATAGTACTTATGATCCTAGTATACAATAGTACTCGTATACCAGTATGCACAGTCAGCCTAATGCGGTCAGTCGATCATGGCATGTCCCTTTCTGTTTGCTAACAGTATACAGGGGTATGATTATACTATTACTATTACAATTACTATTACTATTATTATTACTATTACTATGACCTGTCGAGTCCCGAAGACTGAAGCGTTGAAAACGGCGAGGGCTTGCAGACTGCAGTAGACCCGTGGGTCTCTTTGTTTCGAGCAAACATCCTGGCGCTTCTCTCGGCCCACGACTAGTACTGTTCTGTTCCTACTCTGCTCTCGTTCTCTCTCTCTCTCTCTCTCTCTCTCTCTCTCTGTATTCCCATAAACCATGGAATTTCCGCAACCATGACTTCCCTTCGGCGACACTCGCGTGGTGCCGACAATATTGAACTCTCCAACTCCACTGCCAGCCTCTTTATGGGTGCGGGGGCGCGGAAGAACTGGATGCTTCAGTCTCCAACTTCAACTTCAACTTCTCTCCCGACCTGCTCAGTGCACGCGATGCGTCCCACACGGGCCACTACTCCTACTATTCCTCTTCCTGATTCTGATTCTAATTCTAATTACCATTCTGCTCCGGATTCCAATAAATTTGCTCATCCTCAACAGCCCACTCTTAATCCTGCAGGCGCGTTGATGTCTCCCGTTACCCCGGGCGCAAATCTGCCCGCTTCCTTGCAGGTTGCCACACAGCACCAACCGCAACCGCAACCTCAACCTCAACCTCAACCTCAAACACAATCCCAATCAGATATTTCACCACCCAGCCTACCCTCACCCGTCCTAAGCGCGAGCTCTCACGCCAGCCCCGATATCCCTCACCCGCTGGCTACAGAAACAACGCTGTCCGACAACGACCCGAGCGAGAACGCGAATGAAAATGAAAATGAAAATGAGACCTCCAGGCCAGACCAACTCGAAATTACACCTCCCACCCAGCCCTCTCCCATAGCGACACCTACCCCAATAAATACAAATGTGCCATCCAATACACACTCCCCTCCTGGGCCTCGACAGGAGCCTATGGTTGCGACTCACCAACCTCAAAATACCGCCCGCGATCTTACCCCAGGCCATTCAATGTGGCTGGGATGGCAGCCTGGGTTGGATATTCTTCTGGAAATCGGTCAGAAATCAACAACGGCTGTTAATGCAAGGGCAATGCTGCTGCAAAAGGCCTTCCAATACCGGGATCATTTCTACCTCGTCTTGCACCAGGTACACTGCCGATGGGCTGCCTCTGGATATCAAGACTTCCCGGAATTTCAATCACCAGCCATTCGACAAGGATTTAGGAAATTAAACGAGCTTCTGACGGATAACACACTAATACCTCATGATGTCATGTCCAGATTTGTCGCCTTTCCGCAAAAATATGAGGATCTAAAGGACGCGGATTGGTATCGCATGGACTTCGGATTGTTAACCAACCTACTCCCACGCCTCCCAAATCACTTTGTACACCTTGTGGACCGAATCAACAGAGGTTACTATCATTATCGGCGTTATCCACCGCTCATAGTTGAGATGAGGACGGATTTGCAACTTACATCACCAGTCCTATTGAGCGTGATCTTTACATCGACATGTCGCCATATCTATCCGGACGTGTATCTTCCACTTCTGCAGGGGCTGTTTGAAAAAGATCTTGCGATGAATCATGCCGATTCCGAAAAATTCAGATATGTCTTGATCGAGAATTTTCAACGCATTCCTATGAAGCCGTTTGGCTCGGCGCCACAATTCCAACCTGCGCCACGAGCCCGGCCACCAAGTACCTCTACGTCTCCGGTTCCCGTCTTACCTAGTCAAATGAACCCTTCCACGACACCTCAAAATTCAACAGCAGCCAGTGCGCCTCAGAATCATCAGCCGCCGACTGTCCCATCTAGGAGGCCCTCGTGTGCGTCGCCATATGCGTCGCCAACCCCTATAGGGAGTCCTCTAATGTGGCAGGCACCCTCACAGCTGCAACAACCGACGCAGATGCAAAGATTAGGGCCCATGCACTACTCTAACGGACAGTCCCGGTCTGGCCCCATGCAGCAGCTTGTAAATATGCCAACACAAGCCCAATCTGTCTCACCTCTGTCACAAAACCCCCATTACCTTCAACTGCATAATGGGCAAATTAGGCAGAACCATCAGTCCCAAATGGGCCAGGTTCCCCAGGCGCACCATGCCATTCAGGCCTCGACCCAGCGGGTTGCCTCCGTCCCGAATATGTCCTACCCGCAACAAGGTGTCCCACACGCGCCTTTTCTCGCGTCTCAGCCACAAGCACACTCTACTGCACCACATCAGCCTCATATGCCGTTTAACTCCAATAGTCCGCAGCAGATGAGCTCGATGGGTCACCCTCAGCTACAATCGCCTATCCAACCGTACTATGGTCACCAGGGCTCACCACAATTCCCCCATTCCCAGCCAGTTCGACAGCAGAGAGTAGCATCTGTACCCGTAATTAATACGCCCACGGTGCCTTTCGTTCCACCTCCTCCATCCCGGCAGCCATCCACTTCCTTTCTTCCACCTTTGGGATATAGAGTGCCGCAGTTGGTGCATCCGAACCCGATGCGGCTAAGCCTGCATCAGGTTGATCTTCGTGACCCGATCAAGAAACTGGTCCATTGGGACTCCAACGTGATGGTTGAGAAAGAATTGTTCTTTTATATGAATGGATTTGCCATCCCACCGAAGTTCATGGACTTGGAAGAAACGTCCTGCAACTGGAGCTTCCAAGTGTCGCCAACGGATCTGCTGAGAGCCACACGCCTTGTAAAAGGCAAATCAGGGAAACGACCGACCGCTTGGTATCAAGAAGGCTGCCTATCTCTTCGCTTACGAGCGATCGCACTGGGGAGCCTTGAAAAAGACAAAGTTTATGACACCTGGCCGACTGCAAATACCGCTTGGCCTAGTGTGTTTTACATCCACGTCAACGGCACGGAACTCTTTGTCCGCCGCAAAACCCACAATGGCAAGGACCTCCCATTGGATATTACTCAACATCTCAAAGAAGGCGAGAATACCCTCTCGCTTCACTTTCTTTTGGAGCCTAGCGAATTCAAGAAATACCGTTATGTGTTCGGAATTGAACGTGTGGAAACCCACGGGTTCGATCAAGTGCGACAACAAGCGTGCTCCTCACCTGCCAGAGACACCCTCCAGAAAATCCAGAAACGCCTATGTCCAAAAACAGGTGATGACGACGAACTGGCCGTTGTGTCAGATAGTCTGACTGTCAGTCTGATTGACCCATTCATGGCACAGGTCTACAACGTCCCCGCTCGTTCCGTGCATTGCGACCATTTAGAATGTTTCGACATCGACACATTCATAAACACACGGAAATCAGAGTCAGGACCCGCGCCAATGAATGACAATTGGCAGTGCCCGATATGTAAAGCAGATGCTCGCCCAATGCACCTGATCATTGACGAATATTTCGTCGATGTCCGCGAGAAGCTCATCTCTAGCAACAAACTAGAGGGCACTGTAGCGATCGACGTCCGACCTGATGGATCGTGGACTTCAAAGGCTGTCAGCGACGAGCATTCCGACAAACATGCCTCCGGCACAGTGCCAGCTAAACGCAAGGCCACTAGTCCCCTGGACCGGGAAGCGTCGCGTGCCAAGCAGGAGCCCTCACCCCCAATCAGGAATACGGAACACACAGTCATTGAAATAGACTAATGATGTGTTTAATGACCATGGTATGGTGCCAATTTTTCTAGAGCTTTCGTTTTGCCTCTGCTAGACAGAAATACCCTGGATGCCCACAGTGTCGTCTTATCCTTCTTTCTTGTTTTGATTTTTTTTGCTACGAAGCAATAGATACCCCAGCCTTTACCTATTTATTTTGACTATTGTTTTTTCTTCTCTTCTCTTCACTTTCCTTTTCCTTACAAGCTTTAAATCCACCAAAGTCAAGATGGCTGCAGGCGTTTTGTTTTGTTGTCGTGCTCTTGTTAGTCCCGGAAGGATTTACACATTTTACCACCTGGAAAGGAAAAGCAAAAGCAAAAGCAATTCTATTCATTGTACAGTCTCTTACCCAGCAACCTGTCTACGAACGGACGTTTCTGTTTGAGTTGTTGATCAGATCAAAAATGAAATTTTATCAAAATTCTTTCTTATTTCTCTCCATGGTCTACACATGTGCTTTCCATCATTTGAAGGGGAAAACTTATTCGCGTGATACTATTATGATGGGCAAAGCCCTCTCTCCGTTGAAGAATGCTCTATCAAGGTTGTTTGTTGGCATTTCGGATCTAGCTTCTCCCAGTCCATACGGGGTAGAGAGAACACTGTTTACACTCTGATGCCCAGATGATGAGGAAGAGGTAATTATGTAGGTGACCAGAGGGGAAAAAAGAGATCATGCTCATTCAGCGGAGAGGTAATCCCACTTTCAACATTAGATTATACAAAGATTTCGGATATAGATATTTAGATGGCTTCTATTCGAGGCATCATTTCCTTACACGCCGAACATGGCTGACAAGGTTTTCAATGACACCCTCGAAGGCCTCTTTTTCACTGACAAGACCATCCCGCCGCTTAAGCCAATACTCCAAAACCGCGCTGGCGTGCAGGGTGACATTTTCTAGCTCCTTGACGTGAGATTTCAATTCCTCATCAGTCAAGCCGCCGATGGCAGCGTCGGTGGTCGCACACAGTCGGTGGACGGAGGAGAGTTCGATTGCTGGGGGTGGGGCCGCGCCGCGGCGGGCAGCCTTTTGACGCGAAGGGGCCTGCCCTGTCGTGGCTGTAATTTCGGCACTGTTTTGTGAGTCTTCGCCTTCTTTACGATTTTGGCTGCGGGCTCGGCCGTTGGGGGTTGTGGCGCCTGAGCCGTCGAGGTCAATGGAGGGGAGGACGAGCTTCTTTTGTTTAGAGGCGGGGAGGATCTCATCTCAGGTCGACGGGGACACCGAGGGATACGAGGAAGAGTCGTCGAATGCGGGATTTGACCCAGTTTTGTGGTTGGAGGGGTGGTGGGGCGACGAGTTGGGACCATAGTGAGAGAGAACGCTCTGTGCTGAAGATTGCGGCAGAGTCGGGGATAGGTTCGACGGGAGAGAGAGAACTGAGGTCTTGCGACGCGGGGAATAGGTTATCAAGGGTGCCCTCAAGGGCACTGAGAAGTTCGCTTGTGGACGTGTATGCGTCGAAGTCGATAAGTGGAGGCTGTCAGGGTGAAATTGTTAGCTGTTTGCAGCACGAAAATAATTGTCGGGGTGTTAAACTCACGGCAGAGGGAAGATAGTAAGGTTGCTGAGATGCAGTGGTGTCTCCTGTAGGGGCATCATAAATGGTAGCCTCTTGGAAGCCATCATCGAAATCTCCAAAGTCATCGTCAACCATGTCATTCTGCTCTTCGACGAAGTCATCAAAGTCATCTGCGCCACCTTCTCCTTGATTCACTTCTCCGAAATCATCTTCCTCTATGTCTTGTGGAGCTTGTTCGTGCTCAGTAAAGGGGATTTCTGGGGTGATTGTGGTGTCGGGCACCGTTTCTATGACATCAGGTGTGGCGTCGCTCGGAGACCTTCGGTGGTGGGCTCGCAGCTGTGGTGACGATTCTTCGTCCATGGGCAAGGAATTGACTCGCGAGATATGCGTTTCCGGGATTGGTTGGCTTGGGGGGGCTAACATCAGGGGATGCATCTTCCGAAGATGGTGGCGGTTGGACACTTTCGGGGTCGGAGGTGGACTTCACGAAATCTGGCACCGCATCCGCTTGACGCTTTTCGAATGCTTCTGTTCCTGGGACTTCGCCATAGCTGGGCGAGTCTGGGTCGACCTTCTCGACCATTGTTCGCGGGATTGGCGAGTCACCTGGGGTTGTCGGCCGGTCATTCAACCCCGCGGGCGAGGGATCACGACTTGGTGAGCCCTCTGGGATGACTTCGACCTGATCTGGAACTGCATCTTGGTCTCTTATGTTGTATGCTTCTGTACCGGGCACCTCGCCATGCTGGGGGTTACTGTCGACTCGTTCCACTCGAGTGCGTGGGACAGGGGAAGTGCGAGTAGAATGTGGGCTTGATGGTTGTTGTTCTTGACCTTCACTGGCATCTGAAAAATGTTCTTCGTCGCTATCCGAGACTAGATTATTGTAGATGATCCAATTAGTACTCCAAGTGGGACATTAATCTGGGGTATTGGAAGCAAACATACGGGTATCCTCAGCTCCAGGGTCGTCCCTCTCTGTAGTCTTGCTGGGGGGTTCAAGGTGTGTGGGGGGGATCTGGCGACACCTCCGACATGGTTGCAGGTGAACTCAAGTCGGGGGGCATGGAGAGAGAGAGAGAGAAATGGAGGGGGGAGGAAAGAGAGAGGAAAGGAAACGGGAAGAATGACGATGTAAATGTAGTGTGTAGCGCGGTTGTCGACGTCTTCCTTGCGATCGACCGAGTCCAGAACGTTTGTGGCCTAAGGCAGAAATAGTCCCGTTGATGCCTGAAAGTGCTGGCGGTAACGAGCGCGTGAAACCCAAACTCACTCGCCCGATTTATTATTGCTTCACTCTTTCTACCCCAAGCTTCCCCCTCACTCTCCGCTGGGTTGAATCTTTCATTGGTTTGAAGAGACTGTCTCTCTTATTTCACCTACCGCGATCCATCTCGCAGGATTACCTATCCCCTGATCCGTCGCCAATCGACTCTCTGTCTGCTTTTTTCCCACCCACCAAGCTTGCCAATTCCCTTGATCGCGAGATCGCTTCGCCATGTCTTTTTCTTTCGGCGCCCCAGCATCTAGCGGAGCCTCAAGTGGTGGTCTCTTTGGCACATCCGGCAATGCATTCGGATCCAACCAGAATAGTTCGACTCCCAGCTCTGGCGGTGGTCTTTTCGGAAATGTAGGAGCTTCGTCCGCCAGCGGAGGTGCGGCCGCTTCACCATTCGGCGCAACCCCAACTGGTGGTGGCTCTGCCGCTGCTAAGCCCTCGATGTTTGGGTCCAACAACGCTGCGTCTAACCCCGCAGGTTCACAGACCTTGTTTGGTGGTGGTGGTGGTGGTACTGCTAATGCTGCTCCATCCAGTGGTGGCAGTACAGGCTTCAGTTTCGGAAACCTGGGAACCAACAACAGCAACAGCACACCTAGCGGTACCTCACCTCTGTTCGGCAATGCTCAGACCCCAAACAAGACAACGGAATCGACAGCATCTGGACAGCCAGCCACCAGTGGAATGTTTGGAGGCGCCAGCAAGCCAGCCGCGGGTGGCAGCTTGTTCGGAGCCAATGCGTCCGCCACCCCTGCTCCAGCTGGCAATTCTCTGTTTGGTAACACTTCAACCACTCCTGCTGGTCCTCCTCCAGCATCTAAACCTAGTATGTTTGGTGGAATGAATGCAGCTTCGTCAAATACGCCTGCGCCTTCTGGTCTCTCGACCACCCCAGCAGCCACACAGTCGCAACCATCTGGTGGCTTATTTGCGCCCAACACTGGCGCCGCCGCCACCAAGCCTATGTTTGGAGGTGCACCCTCTGCTCCACCTGGTGGAGGCCTGTTCGGAAATACCCCCAAGCCCGCCGAGTCTACAACCCCATCTATGACCACCGCCCCGGCCTCTAGCGGCGCACCATCCATGTTCAAGATGCCTTCTGCCGGCGGCGACGCGGCTTCTAAGCCCGCATTCCCTTCCCTCGGAGGTGCTTCCACTACTCCGACATCCACCACAGCTGCTCCCCTGGGCGCTTTGGGAGCACCCGCTGCCTCATCCTCTACTCCTCAGAAGTCCCTCTTTCCTACCCCTGGAGGTACCACATCCTCAGAAAATCAATCGTCTACGCCGGCGGCAGCTCCAGCCGGAGGCTCGCTCTTCGCGGGGCTGGGTGGAGCCAAGACCACCTCGGCTGCTGCTCCCTCCACGACCGCGACCAGTGCTGCGCCTGCCTCAACATCTGCCTCTCAGCCAGCTGCACCAGGCTTGTTCGGCAAACCAGCTACATCCACAGCCTCAACTCAACCTCCTACTGGCGCTGCAGCTACGTCGACCGCCGCTCCAGCTACTGGCGCCGCGCCGAGCTCCGGCACAAACCCTGCCCTTGGTCAGTCGACCACTGGTCCGGCGCCTCCGGCCCAGTCGCGCCTTAAGAATAAGACTATGGATGAGATCATCACCCGTTGGGCTACAGATCTGAACCAGCACCAGAAAAAGTTCCGTGACAACGCTGAGAAGGTCGCAGAATGGGATCGGATGCTGGTTGAGAATGGAACAAAGGTTCAAAAATTGTACGGTAGCACTGTCGATGCAGAGCGAGCTACACAAGAGGTGGAACGCCAGCTGGCATCTGTTGAAGGTCAGCAGGATGAGCTGAGCTCGTGGCTGGATCGCTATGAACGGGAAGTCGACGAGATGGTTTCCAAGCAGGTGGGCTCTGGTGACGCCTTGCAGGGACCAGACCAGGAGCGTGAGAGAACGTAAGTGACCAACAATCTCCCATCGAGGTTGATTCGTTTGACTAACCTGATCCTATAGTTACAAGCTTGCCGAGAAGCTCTCGGAGCGTTTGGATGAGATGGGCAAGGATCTGACCAGCATGATTGAGGAGGTCAATGGTGCTTCATCGAGCCTGAGCAAGACCAACCGGGCAGATGAGCCGGTAAGTTTTGGTTCAAATTTGTTGTTTTCTGGGTGCAAGAGACGAATACTAATATTCATTTTCTTCTCAAAGATTTCCCAGATTGTCCGCATCCTCAACTCGCATTTGTCTCAACTGCAAGTTATTGACCAGGGCACCTCCGAGCTGCAATCCAAGGTGTCTTCTGCCCAGAAGGCCGGACAATCCATTTCCTCTCGACTTGGATATGGCTACAATAGCCCTGGAATGGGTGGAGGAAATGCCGCCTCTGACTTCTATCGCTCTTACATGGGTAGACGTTAGAATATGATCGTGCTGGATGTGTAATGATTCGAATTTTGCGGGAATAGTGCAATGGGACACCATGGGGAAACATGTATTCCCGTTAGCGCCTCTTGCGGGTGTTGTTATGCGTTTATCTTGTTCATCTTTAGCCAAAGCCCTAGGACAAGAAGCATCTAGAGGTAGGCTCGATTGTTTTGTGTATATCATCGGTCTGGGCTTGGATGGTTTGCCTCTGGTTTACGAGGTAGAATGGCGTAATTCAATAACGTGTGTTTGCTCAATCCCTCAGCCTGTGCCAGTGCTTTATGCTTTGGCAGTAAGGGACTAAATGTAGAGCCACTCTACGGTATCAGGCTTTTTTCCAAAGATCATCGACAGCGTAGCTCATAGTATTGACTGTATTTTTATTGGGTTCATGGTATCATGCCACTTATGTGGTTCCACGGGGGCATTCAATGGATCTCGTTGCACCGTCAAAGTGACCAAAGTCATTCAAAAGTTTCTACTTAAGAACGTTGGGAACATAGATTAATGGATCTTCGTCAATCTTTTGGTTGTTCAAAGTCCAAGGTCGAAGTCTGGAAGGACCAATGCCACTTGTTGGTCCGATATAAAATAAATTTGGGCGCTGGAGTCCTCGAAGATTCTGGTCCAGCTAAACCGATTTCTGTTTGAAATTCATTATTCCTGGTCCTTGAGTCATATTCAATATGCAGCTTGAATGACGCATTCAAGAGCCCCTCAGAGCAATTGCGCCTACCAATGACATCTCAAGTTGGCGCTTGGCATTGGTATCCTGGGTGCCGCTGGTCTTGTCGCCTGGCGATGGTAGAGCACCAAGCTTGAACATTTTCTTGATCCTGGTGACATCTGAAATCTCGGATAATGTTTGGTCATCAAAGGTGACAGGAGTTCCTTGAACAGAAGCTTCCAGATGCGCGGCGACGGAGTCACGAGTTATCTCCGGAGATACAGAGACTTTAACGGCCAGTAGGTCCTTAGTGGAGTCGGCAACACCAAACTTCCGAAATGAATCGGCAATCTATTGAAATGAGTCAATTGCTTTCGAAAAATGGAAATGTCATGGTAGAACAAACATTGTTCGCCGGATTCAAGGAGAACACAATCTCCGAGTGCACATTGTGGGACTTGAGCCGATCATTTTTGTAGTCATTGATAGCTCTAAAGATAGCTGCGGTGGCATGTGCTCTCGAGAAGACCTAGTATTCTGAATGAGCGCTCCATTTCCTCATCATATTACAATTTATGAAGCTTCTCAGCGCACCATGCTTGCATCAATAAAGGCATATTCGAATTCCTTGTTGCCAGAAAGCAATTGCTGTCTCAGGAAGGCGGCATTCTGGACGTCCCGATACAGTGCCACGTATACCGAAAGTGATTTGGGCAGATGAGGGATATCAAGGGTTTCCAGACACGACGCCATATTCAAAAAGAGCGCTTGCGACGATCCAGCATGACGTATCTGTATCCTCTTCAAAACCGGCGGCGCTGATATCCCACCTCATCACGTGCCTCTTCAGTTCTGGAAGATTCGGACTTAAGAGGTGCCGGCATCCGCGGTGAGTAATCCGCATCGCATTACTTATGCACTCGGTCAGTCCCATATAAATTGCTCCCCTCTCTCCACCCTCAACGACATCATCGTCATTATGGCATTCTTCCTTCGGCGCCCGTTCGCCGTGTCATCGGCACTTCACCAAGTTCCGAAGCTCTCGAACACCGCTCGTTTCATCCACAGCTCTCCATTCAAGCCCGCCCAGGCAACTAAGCCTTTCGGAGCCCAGTCCTCAGTCTTCACCAAATCTCGTCAGACCTTCCAAAATGCCTTCCGCCGGACATATATGCAGCCTACCTACAACGCGCAGTCTGGAAACCTCTCTCAAAAGCTGATATATGGTGCCGCCATCGTTGGAGGTACCGTCCTGGCAACCAACTTCATCTTCAACCGTGAGACCCGCGAGGATGGCGGCATGCCCGCTTACGAGCGAAGCTTCCTGAATGAGACTTTCATGCACACTGGTCTTGGTATCGGTATTATTGGTGTTGCTGCCCGCGCACTGCACATGAGTGGCTGGTCCTATCGTCTCATGGCCATGAACCCGTGGCTCGTGATGGGTGTCGGCCTGGTCGGCAGCATTGGCTCGATGTACGGAACTTTCTACACTTCCCCGGATAAGTAAGTATCAATATATTCCCTCTTTGTAGCTTCGGTATCATGTTACTAACTGCTGCATCAGCTACGTTGTGAAATACGGCTGCTGGACTCTGTTCAACCTGACCCAGGCTGCTCTTCTGTCCCCGCTGATGTTCATGCACCCCGCCATTCTCGCTCGCGCTGGTCTCTACACTGTCGGCATGATGGGCTCGATCGCTTTCGTCGGTGCCACCGCCAAGCAAGAGAAGTACCTGTACCTCGGTGGACCTCTCCTCGCTGGTGTCGTTCTTGTCGCTCTCTCGGGTCTTGCCCCTATGGTTCTCCCCGCCACTGCCGCTCGTACTCTGATGTGGTCTGAGCGTGTCTGGCTGTACGGTGGTCTTGCCGTCTTCGGTGGTTTCACTCTCTATGATGTTCAGAAGATCCTGCACCACGCACGTCTGGCCGAGCGTGGCTACATGAAGCGCGACGTCGTCAACGAGAGTGTCAGCCTCGAGCTTGACTTCATCAACATCTTTGTCCGCATGGTGCAGATTCTTGCCTTGCGGAACAACAACCGCAAATAAGCTTGCGATATGAGGTGTTAGCTGCAACAGCGCCCTTCGATTTCTTTTCTTTTTCCCCTTAAATAACCCCTGTACTTTAACGATTTCCTACTACCTTTACCCTACGTTTTTTTTTCTTGAAAAGCGTACATAAACATCTAGTTCTAACAACCATTTGGGGAATGCACATCTCCACTCTCTCGCATGTGCTCAAAGTAAACCGGTTCAACGACCATCTAATCAACTTTTTTGGACATTTTTATTCATCAAAGTAAAATCTTGCTCTCAGAATTTTACCTTCTAGCTCGAGTCTAGCTTTGCATGGAAACCATTGGTCCGAACCGATTCTTGTACCGAATCTCCCAATCCCTAACCCCAGTTCAGTTCCTGTACTGTTCTCACCTCGCCATAGATGTCCCGTCCCGTATTCCCAGCGTCTATTAATCTTGCCTGCTCTTGTGTTTCCATATCTTCTTCTTTCCTTGTTCTTGTCCCTGTTTCCCATCGGCACAGTCGATTCACTTTTGTAGATTTTGGCAGATGTGTCTCCAGTCAAAGCCAGCAACATCCAGAAGACTCTTACTGATCACCATCCTGTACCAAGTCTTCGGTGTAATCTTGCGGTATGTGAGGAGGACGAGAGCAATTGTTTTCCAGCCATGATGACAATCCTCTGGGACGCGTAAGTAAAAGATGCGATTCTCGCTGCTGTGGTCAAGGATAACTTTGCAGAGCGGGCTGTCAACGGTATGGTGGATAAAGTCGTGACTTTGTTGACAGTGTCTGATTTTCTTAGCCAATTCAGCTTTGATGGCTGGTTTTGGTCTAAAGGATAGGAGAAGTGAATTGTCGTTCAATCCTTCCAGGTTTAGGAAGCTGCTGTTGGACTGGTTGAGGAAAATAGCTTCTTTGTGTCGTGTCTCTCGCCCGGCTTCTTGGTTGCGAACCTTTTCCAGGAGACGAAAGTTGCCTTTGAAAATGTCGAAGGTCGCTTCTAGCTCATAGTCATTGCCGTGAAGTCGACGTACCTCGCCCGATTCTTCATCGTGTGAGACTAGTTCGACTGATTGGAGGTTTGGATCCATTGGTTCAGGCAGTCAAGGCGTAATATGAGAGTGGCTGGATCATGGAAGTGGAAATGTGTGCCTGGGAGAAGAGTGAATCTTGAATTGTTGAAGTTTCCCTAGGTTGCAATGTGGTTGACCTCGACCTTACTTTCCATCTAGGGTCGTCTTGCTCCTGCCACCTGGGCACATGCGATGAGAAATCTCAAGGCCAACATGAAGAATACTAGTATTACCGAATTAATGAAATTTTACCTTCAAGTTGTCAGTATGCTTCTTCTGGCTTATCATTTGCCGTTGTTGGTCATACAAATTTCATACTTTACTTAGAGTGATTTTTTTTTTCGAGTGTTCTCCATTCATCTTATCCTTCAACCCATATACCTAAGTAATATGTGCAAATCTCTTAATTATGGTTAAATCAAGTACAATTCTAGTCCAGTAAGCCATAGAAAGTACCAACCAATCGCTCATGAATTAACAATTTTCTAGTTCTGGTATTGACCACTAGCAGCTCACCGCGCTAGCCGAAACGGGCAGAGTGAGAGCCCAGAGCTTTTCCCCATCCGCGTTCGAACTTCAATGTCAGACCGCAGCCCTTCCGCCCCCCATTGAACCACATATCTCAATTCATTCTCAGACCGCAGCGAACCACCGAACCTTGTCACCACACCTCCACAATGTCGAATGAAATGGAAGTTGACCCTCCCGTCGCCCAGGACGATGCCCCCGCACAGTCTGAAGGCTTCGAGCCACAAACTCAATCAGGCGCAGTTGCCGTGCGCAGTATTGAGGGATGGATTGTGATCGTGTCGAACATTCACGAAGAAGCTTCCGAGGAGGATATCACCGATCTCTTCGCAGAGCATGGCGAGATCAAGAACTTCAGTTTGAACCTGGATCGACGAACAGGTTATGTCAAGGTAGGTCGCATACTGCGATCTTTTACGCCCATACGTTACAGCAGGCGCTTCCGATTGCTCTTTTGCAACTTTTTGCGCTGCTGATATTTAAAGGAGGATGTTTGCTAACACGATTCGTGCTAGGGATACGCCTTGATTGAATACGCAACCCTCCCCCGAAGCCGGCGAGGCTATCAAGGCCCTCAACGGCTCTAAGCTGCTCGATCAGACCCTTTCAGTTGACTACGCTTTCGTCCGTCCGCCACCAGCTAGCAAGAACAAGGGAGGACAGAAGGGAGGCCGTGGCGGTGGTGGTCGGGGTCGAAGCCGCAGCCGCAGCCCTGGCCGCAGTCGTAGCCCGGATGCCGACCGGAGCTAAATTTCTGGACTGATACGACCGATAAAATGTTCACGGGGATGCATATTATAGCCCCCTTTTTTGCTTGATACCTGGGTACTTTGTTTTCATCCTCTGCGCCGCAGCGCTTTTTCCCTCGACCTCTTCACCTCATGCCCAACGACACTCTGCTGAACGACGCCGTACGAGTACCCTCCATTTAAGCCGGCTCCTGCCTCCTCTATGGCTGCTCCTAAATATTCTCCTCGTCTTTATATCACTTGAGAGATTACGGAGTAAAGCCTGGGGGGGGCTGCGGGCCGGCATCCTGATACATTGTTCCTCTGGTAGGATTCCACGTTACATACATAATCTATCACCCCCGGATGCTGATCTAGCTTCAGAATAAAGAACGTCAATGAAATTTGGAACTTGGTCTTCGAAGACCACTTGGCATAAAAATGTCTTTCAGCATAATGAAATTGAAGGTTGCCTTGCCTCATTATGGGCCCCCCAGCCGTGTCCAAAATACTGAGGGCTTCGGGCCACTATCTCGTAGATATCTGTAAATATAGTTCTACCACTGCATTTGACACTCTGATGATCTTTCATATGAGAAATTCTAGAGCCTGCCTATTGTCAATTGATTGGCCTGGGAGTTTACGCTACTAAAGGTGGGAGCTTCGAGATGAATTGCTGGAGCCATGGTTCCGAATTGAGAGACAAGGATACTGTAATGTATGGATGCTTGTGTATTAATGAGCATACCATTGAAAACGGGGTCTCGCATTCCATTTGCATGGTCCCATGCTCGTGGATGTTCCATTCTATGTACAATGTCTATAGTTACTTAGTAGTAACCTTCTCTCCACACTAAGTAGCATTGACCTGATCTAATCCCTTCGAGTCTACATCACACGACATCAGATGTGGCGCACAATATGTCTCCGAGTGGCTACCTGCGGTACGCCCAGGGCTCTTACCACACTGATCTCGTGCCCTGAAGATCGAAATGGACCAACCAGTGGCAGTGGCTGAACGGGACTTTCTTCTCCAAGGACGAGTGGGTCAATGACTAAGCTGCGGACCCCAACTTTGGGAAGGCTCCCCCGCATCCGAGGCTGAGCAACCACCCAGACCCTTTCATTCTTGCCATTGATTGCATTTGGGTGAGAAGCAGTTGGTGTGCTTCTATTCTCATGAAGGAGACTGGTGCTCTGCTATCCGGATAGTTGATCCTCCGGAAGGATGGCTTCTCGCTCCTTATTTCAGTCCCCTTCTGGGCCCTCCTACTCTCTGTATACCATCCTGTGGATATTCTTCCTTTCTCTTTCAGCCGTGGCCAATGCGCTGGCGTACCCGCCCCAGAAACCGCTTGCAGAGACACGGCCAGTCGAAGAAAGCCTGTCTAGCTCCCTCGATGATCTCTCAGATGATGCCAGTCACAGGGACAGCAATGCGACTCCCGCTGAGACGCTGCAAGATCTTCTCAGCGCGCTACGTGGTATGCAAGACCACTACTTCGTGATGTGGATGGGAACTTGGCCAAGCAGCATTGACTGGACCGCTGCGGTGTTGGGAACCCACGTTGTCGCCACTTTGTCGTCTTATACCTCCTCCAAGCTCGATGTTGTCGACCCCACAGAGTCGCACCAATCAGTCGCCCTTGCAGTCGAGAACACTGTCAATCAATTCTTCACCCAGATGAATACCTTTTATTTTGGAGAGAATGCTTTCAGTCTGAGAAACCAGGCTTACGACGATATGCTTTGGGTCGTACTAGACTGGCTGGAAAATGTCAAGTTCCAGGACCTGCACACGGATCTTCACTTTCCCTCGTCCGACCCAGCTTCAGAAAATTCATGGTATGGGACTCAGTTTCGGCAACCAGCTGCACATCGAGCACGAATCTTCTACGAGCTGGCCTCAGCCGGGTGGGACAAGACTCTCTGTGGTGGGGGGGATGATTTGGAACCCGGTTTTGATCCCCTATAAAAACGCCATTACGAACGAGCTTTATATATCGGCAAGCATTGCCATGTACCTATACTTTCCAGGGGACCCCATTGACTCCCCGTTCATTGCCAACGCGCAAGCCAATGGAACCTATCCACACAACCCTGCCCACCTCAAGGCAGCAGTCGATGCTTATGCGTGGCTCAAGAACTCCAACATGACGGGGGCCGGTGGGCTATATGCAGACGGGTTTCATATCAGCGGCTGGCGAAGTGCATCCGATCCAGGAACGGGCAAGTGTGACGAGCTCAACAAAATGGTATACACCTACAACCAAGGAGTCGTTCTCAGCGGGCTGAGAGGACTCTGGATTGGAACAGGTGACCAGAGCTACCTTCGCGACGGCCATGAGCTTGTCCACAAGGTTCTCCGTGCTACGGGTTGGCCGCAAACATCTTCAAAGAAATGGGCTGGCCTTGGACGTGGCGGTGTGCTGGAAGAAGCGTGCGACTCATACTCCAGCTGCTCCCAAAACGGACAGACCTTCAAGGGAATTTTCTTCCACCACTTGGCTGAGTTCTGTCGGCCACTCCGCCCACAAGAAGAGCGCTTCCTAGCGGCTGAGAAACGCCAGCCGATTGCGGACGAGAGCTGGGAGAATGTCTACACCCGTCATCTCAAACGTTGCCGTACTTACGGGCCCTGGATCGAACACAATGCTCGCGCTGCACTGATCACTCGCGATGACGATGGGAAATTCGGTACATGGTGGGGAATTGAATTCCAGCAGCCACCCTCCGTTGTCTCTGCGGAGACTGTAAATAGTAGTACTTTGCCGGCTGGGGCTGTGGACTACCGCAATGTCGAGTTTGAGACTGATGCCTCTACCTTTGACGGCGTGCCGCGGGACTTCAACGATCGTGGACGGGGTCGCACAGTTGAGACACAGTCTGGTGGAATTGCAGTGCTGAGGGCTCTGTATCAGTGGCAGACCTCTGTCCTTTTATGAACCGCAACGGTATCATTCTCGGTTTGGTGTTTGGGAATTGGGTATTTTTTTATCATTATCATCATTGGTTTTTGGAGTTAGGCTGTAAAATTCATTACGGTTCTTCAGACTTATTATCTTTCTGCAATCGACTAGTATATATACTCCGTTCCCTTGCCGACTCGGAGGTAAAGCCACTGGCACTGGCAGATTGGTGGGGGGAAGGAGGCTAGTACGATCTATTCTACTATATCATGGACAAGCTTCAAGTTTAATCCATCATTTCAAGTTTCGATCGAAAGACGTCAATCCCGACAGAAATGCACTGTGAGATGGGCTCGGATCCATCGGGAAACGAATTCATACTAGGCATTCAATATCTGGTCTCTGCTGTCAGGAATGATGATAGAGGACTTGGTTTCCTGCAGAAGGACACGGCCGAGTCCACAAGATATACTACTAGCTAGTACTAGTCTTGAGAGCTATTCTGGAGCCAATTAGCAATCTATAGACATCGATTCATGTAGATGTCTCTGATGGTAGTTTCCGTAGCTACCTTACCATGGAACCCTTACCATCAACAAAATATACCTTAACATGGTACCAAATCGACCAATGCTTGAACAATTGACCCTCGCCTTTCCCATCCGCCCGTGCATGGGACAAGACCTCGGCTCTAACCCACTTAGTCTGCGATAATCCTCCGGATCGTCTTGCGGAGCCAATCGCTCCACAAAGAGAGGCAACCAGCGCGAAACAAGAAATGTATGGATCTGAAAACCGGATTGCTATGTAGATCGATAGATCGACACATGTGGATCGATACTGATCCGCAGTTGTTCGGGGCTATCCAACAGAAGTTGGTATGACACCGGGCGAGGAGCCTCTTGATCGGAACTGGGAGATGATGACTGCAGCCCCGTTGTACTTGAGTTGGGTGGTTCTACAAGCATAAGCTGTTCGTTGTCACTTTGACTAGCTCACTGGTCGGTCAAGTGAGATCAAGTGATACGGTAGACTCCAGGAACTATCAGATTGGCGTGAAATCCTTTTTTGGAGATTGCTACTAGTTAACTAGTAGGTGGGATAGGATGCCTGGGGCTAGCATGGGATGCAGGGTGTACAGAACTATACTCGTAGGCAATTTATCAAGGTTTGAGTTGGCTATGTATGTACATAAATGCATACTATCCATGTTTTTTATGTGTACATATTAAGTACCCTTTGGTAATTTTGGATCTTATCCTAAGCAGGCTCCCACAGCTCTTTGACAATACGACTGGAAAAAAAAAAAAACAAGGCAAGTTCCACGACAACACGATCACGGCCTCTCGTGATGGGTAGCATGCCTCAGTGCTATGGATGGTGGGGGGACCTGCAGCTGTGACCGCTGTGACCTCTCACCATGGAACAGACTACAGTAAGAGACTAAGATGCTTTTGACAAGCACGACATGCTCCACTTCTAAGCTGTGCGGCCTAAGAAAAACTCCGGCAACTCGAACCGATTCTATAGTACTCCATACAAGACACATAGTCTCGGACAAGGTCCTGTAGTTGTGGCGAGGATACTCCGAGAGAGAAGTTTCTGTTCTCTAGCACCCACCCTAAGGGACGTCCCACCAAAGGCCAAAGCTGAGAGGGAACTTTACTATCGATACCCTCCAAATATGAGCCCTATGATTGGTTCTCTAATCTGGTAATATCCCGCGGCAGTGAGAAAGAAAAAAAGCGACTAATTGAACACAGCGGACACGAAACCCACTCACACTAACCCAAAGCTCGCGCGCCATCCGCAGCTTAGCGTTGGAAACTTCCTGTTAGCTTGCCCCCTCTCTGCCCCTCCTTGTAAGATGAAACATGTTCGTACGGGGAAAAGCCTCCGAATGGGACGGTGGAGGGGTCAGGTAAATCAGCTAAAAGGCGTGTAGATCAGCGACCCCTCATTGAGGCACTGAGGGCACTATCTCAAGAAAAGAAAGAAGAAATTAAAAGAAATTAAAAGAAAGAAAAAAAGAAGGAAAAAAGAACATCCCGAGGGTCCGCCTCTGCCGAATTACGTGGCAATCGCCTCATTTTGTCTCACTTGCCCCGGATCTCACCACCTCGAGGCTCTCTTCCATTCTACGGCGGTAATGCACACTTCTGTATACCATCCGGTGGCTACATTTTGTGAGCTAAACGTACAGCTCGCGTTGGTGGACCGGTGCAGTCACACGGCCAAGGTCTGAGCGTCCCATCTGACTCTGCGGGGATCCAGGAACGAATACCACTGGTTCTACATCTTCTGCGCAGTGGAGGGGTCGAGGACTGTACATGCGGCGGTGGTGTACCTGCCATACTGCGCGATGTCTCCGAGTCGAAGCAAGGTCTTCACCGGTGGAGGTTGGGAATTATCCGATCGGTCACATTGGGAACCCGCCAGCTCGGCCTAGCACTACTAGTCGCAGATTACATCCAGAGATGGGCTAGGAAGACTCGAAGGGGTCGGGTTTCAGCACCATCTCAGTTGCCGTCATTCAACAATGCTCCATGCACTGAGCTGGCGTTTCAACGTGCAGCGGAATGCGATCCCCGGAAAACTCGTGCGCAAGTGATGGAGTGGCGTCGGCAGTTTTGATTCAAAAGTCTTCTCCGACAAGCCACTGCCGGGACGTGGAACCCATGGGTGACAATGTCGGGTCCGGGTACCTGGGAGGGTGTCCCAGGATTGACTTGATGCCCAACTGGCGAGCGTAGCGCGACACAGTACAGCAGGACTACTCGTAGCAGCAGTTGCACTGCAGAGTGCTTTGTACGTACATGCTGACACCACCATTGATTCCTGACACAGCTATCGCAGCATAGGGAGTAATAGCTATTGATGATTCTGTGCCGCTTGTGGGCACGATTACCACAAGCGAGGCTATACTCCGTACAGCCACAAGAGATGCTTTCAGCCGTTGCATTCCTGAGAGATCGACATGATGATGGCCCTGCCTGGTTTCACCTCCTTTTAGTAGGGTTCCGATCCGTCAAATAGCAGTCAAACTGTCGAATCCACGGGAATGGATCGTCTGTCCAAGCGGTCAATGACTTCGGATTGGTTCAAATGACGGGTTGAGGTCCAGTAATGTGGGTAATAAAGCTCACGACTGCGAGAAAAAAGGGAGTGAGCTGGTACTGCATCATGATATAGATACAGTACGTATACTACACCCCATCATTTGGGATCTTTCAGATATGTATTCGTAGATAACTTTGTAGGACCCTCCTTTGCTTCGGATTCTACAGTGCTATTTAGTGTCTATGTACTTGAACCGAGGGAATGTGATTCGGAAATGAACTCCATGGCTCCACGGGGCGGGCGTAAGGATCGTCCTTCTAAAGATTTGGATCCAACAAAATTCGATTTCCAGCTCCATTTTCTGCATGGGAGATTACAGAGGTTCCTCTTTCTCGAGTTTTTGTACTGTATATACATATCCCGCGGAGGCGTCCGAACCAAGAAAACCAACACAGTCAACTCACTCACCGCGGTTGCCGTGTTCATCCCTTGCCCTTGTTTGCCACACCAGGCCATGGGCGAATGGAGGTCCCCCCAAGGGGGACTATCAAGACCCGTGTCAATGATCGGAGCCAGTGATATGGCGTCATATCCACCAGTTGCGGCTCGATCGACATTGCATGGGACCCCCCTCCCCTGAGAGGCGGAGGACGAGGCGCTTTCCCCATACCGCCATGAAGAAGCGCCAATAAAGATGCGGTCAAAAATACATGTGACCAGCTTTAGGGTAAGTATCGAGGCGATCCATAGAGGTAAACTGAGTATTGAGTCTGGAGAGTATGTATGTAGGGTCTAGTTACCTACGTGGACAAAGGAAAGTGTGCGCCAGGAGGTATACAATAATAAAGGTGATGAGGTCATCTGCTCATGGGGGAAGGTGACAAATTAGGATTTCCTCTCCCACCATTAGGATGAGGATGAGTAAAGGGACCCCGAAAAATATACAACATTAAAAGGGAATTAAATTAATACGTGTTCTTCAAGGTTTGGTACAAACTCCCACCGAAATTCTGCCCTGGAGATGGAGGTGGGCTCCTGTTGGTTAGGAGAGGCTCCTGTTTGGTGGAGGCGAGTGGATCCGGAACTCCGCTCCTATGGGCCAGTGAAGATTGGCGATGGCCCTAAACCAGGACTAAACCGGGTCTAGGGAGAAGTTCCGGTGGTGGTAAACGGAGTACCCAGTACGCAGTACTTTGTTCGGTTCCTCGACGGTGGGGGGGGGGGAAGCGGTGTACCGGATACTTGGAGAGGAAAGGGGGGGGGGGGGGTGTCCCACCATCTCTGCCAGTTTCTGCAGTCTCCTCGTACAGTGTACATCCGTTCCCTGCCATTTTTTATGGTTTCATGGTTTTCAATGGTTCCTGCCTTTCACTGCTATATTGGTATATAAAATGTATGGTATGCATAGTTATCACGTAATATGTCTGGTTCTAATATATAAGTACTCAAAAAATACACTCGGCCAGGTACCTTTATACGGCTAAAGGGGTTCAGTACTCCGTAACTGGGTACTCGTTATGTGGCTGCCACGCGCCTACGGTTTCTTTTCGGACGATCCCTCTGGTCCCAAGGGACGCCCTGCTCCACCGGCCGAAAAGGTACAAAGATAGTCCTAGTTCGGTATGAGGAAGGTACGGTGTATTGCGGGTACAGAAATGTATCAGTAAGTACTTTTGACTACTAAGAAGTACTGGGGATTTAGTAGTACCCAGATGTACCCATAGGTATTTAATCGTAACTGATGGTATCTCATGGGTCCCTATTCTTCCCTGCGACTGTCCCCGAGTGTACCGACAGTACCAACAATACCAACAGTACCATCCATACTCGGATTGTACCACCACCCCAAAACCCACCACTGGCCGTAACGCCGATACCCTCCTTCCTCCCTTTGAACTCATCTGGGAGCTTCTTTCCTTTCCCAACGCCCTCGACCGATTTCCAACTTTTCCTCTCGCGCCCTTTCGACCTTTCGATCCCTCGACGCCTTCTCCCTTCTCGCTCTCACACCCCCCATCTCGATCTCGACCTGTCCTCCCTAACAATTTTCGACCGTTGTCCCTTTTACCCGCAACTCCTCCGATTCTTCACCCGTTATCACTCTCTTCAACTCACCCACCGACCCCGGTAGCTACCTCAAGCGTAACACAGATCTCTCGTCTGGGGTACATCGCTAGGGGTAGACCGTGGTCGTTCACCGTTCGTCCCGACCTACGATTCTAAAATCCAAAAATCCCGAACGCCGAAAGCAGCGTGCTGGCTGCACACTCGTCCAAAAAAAAATCCACTTCTCTCATCCTAAATCGCCACGCTGGACCTCGCAAATTCCTCCCTGTTCGACTGCGTCTGCTGTGAAAAACCTCCCCTATGTCTGATACAGAGATGAATGAAGCCTCACCTGTGCCCACCTTGCCGCAACCAAACGACGGTGGCCGCATGCACATGTCATCCCTGTCATCTTCTTCGTCTATATCTGACGCCGAGACTGAACGTCGGGGTCGATCTGAACGTCCAAGAATGGCGAGCCGCAAACCCAGCGCATCTATCCTAGTCCCTCGGGACCACCCTGAAATCGAGATTGAGGAGGAGGAATTCCCTCCCGACGACGCCCGTGCCATGAGTCCCCGCCGAAATTCCGCTGATTTAGAACGATTGGGCAAAGAAGCCCGCCAAACACTTCAAGAGTGAGTCTCCTCCCTCTTTTCTCGATACTTGTCGAGAAATTCGTCATTCTCCCTTCCTTTCTGCCCTCTGGGCTTCCGAAAGAAGGGCGTCTCCAAAACCACCCGCTAACATGCAATGAAAAACTTTAGGCAAGCCAAGGCCCTCCAATCGTCCCTTCAAGCCATCGCAGAGCGCATTGATGTGGTCAAATCAGACCATGACAAGCTGGAGAATGAGAACAAAATTCTGCAAGATTACATAGGTGGCCTTACACGCAACATGACCAAGACCGAAATGAGCCGCAGTACGAAAGCACGCAAGGCGCAGAAGTAACTACATGGCCGATGGAATCAGAAGCGTCGTAGGACGGTGGGTGGTGTCCCACCGTATCTGTGACCCCAAGATGGATATCTAAGGTTTCCACACGAAGCTTTCTGAGAGCCGCCACTACATCGCGATTCATGCCGCATGCCGCATGCCGATTCTCGATTCTCGATTCCCTTCAACCCTTTAACGACAACATCCTTCATCACACGCTTTTCTCTTCTCACACGAAGACCCGATCACCCCTTTTCAGTGTCGAATTACGAGAATGCACATCACACGCCTTGGTTGACACTGTTGCATACAACATGACGTGTTATGACCCCTTTGGACCGTTGACAGGCCTCTTCCATTTACGAGACCAGATATTGTTTCGCAGGGGTATATACAGCCGCTTATTGTCACATTGTCACCATACCTCGTTCCCCCCCTAATTCTCTGGCCACCCGGCTTACTTCGAGTGGCTACCCAGACACCCTCTTTCTCTCTCAGTCCAAGCCACAACTCGTCACAGGGCTCCACCGCTCATTCAGCACCGGGATCAACCGTTGAACCAGTGATGGTCATGACCACGCAGCGCTTATTTACTCCAGGGGACCAATGGATGCTCAGTGACATCATCGGATATTGATCCTCGCCCAGTGGTCCGCCACTTGGTCTTGGCATCCTCGAACCACTCATGATCATCCACCCTCAGCCACTCACAAGTGTCACACCAGTGTCATGGCCAGCGGGACTGACCAACCTCTTCTCATCATTGTCGATATCATCGGGCGTCTTCATTTCCTCTTTCTTTACACGTCTCCTCATTTGGCGTTTTTTTCATCACCTGTTTTTTCTACTCGGCGGCTCTTTGCGGACTCATCTTTACCACTGTATTTTTTTTTTAACGGATGCATAGCACTTTCGGGGACTGGGACCTAGACTCGATTTGATTGAATGACTCTTTACAGGAGCCGCAACTTGAAATGTTTTCGTCGTCATAAGGCATTGCATATGGTCATGGTCATGTCAACCGCAGGACGGCGCGGAAAGTGGAAAGCATCTAGGGGGTCATTTATGGAGCAGTCCATTGTTCATTTATTTCTTTCCATTCTTCTCTCTTCATTTCTATTATCTTCCTTTTTAACACCTGGGACGATGAAAGATGGCAACTTCTGTACATCTGCCCATTTCTCTTCACTTCTTTTCTTTTCGATCGTGGACTGGCTTCTCGCGAAAATGAACCCCCATTTTTCAAATTACGGGAGATTCCATTTTTCTCGCCGCATCTCAATATTTCTTCTTCTCTATCACAGCTTTGTTTTGCTTACTTGCTTCCCCTCTGGCCTTTGTCATACCCTGGGTCTCCTGTGCATGTCTCAAGTCCCCCTCCCTTGTCTCTACCTTTTCTATTATTTCCCTTGCTTGCATGGTGGGGAGAATGATAGTTCAATCGTAGCAATTGAAATATTCCAATCAATTTTCCCATACAAGTAAAGACGCACAACTAGGTGTACGTATTCAAAACAGTATTCTAATTTTTAGCTCGAGTCATGACGTCCAAAGTGGCTGTGGAGAGACATGAAGATCTGAGACATTCCCCATCTGATCTACGAAAACGACGTATTCTGTGGGGCTCTTGAAACAGTGCAGCTGAAGGATTCATGCAGAGCAGGCATACCCTGGTAGTACATCATTATCTAGTGGGGAGCAGCACTCAACCATAGCCATCTAGTAGCGACCTGGTACGCCATACTAGCGTGGATCAGGATTTCTTCCCCCTCCCAGTGACGCAAGGCTCTTTCGTCGGATTCGAGCTGCTGATGGCGGGAGTGGAGGCATTTTCTATATTTGGATTATTTACAACACAAAAACTCCCGGTTTAGCTACACGAGAGTGATGTCCTAAGACCGGGGACCGGTAGATTCTCGGATCTTGCCAAAATAAGCAATTCGCAGGAATGAGACCTCTAAACGGGACGGTGAGCTCACATGAACTTGAACGCCATGCTTATCCATTTTAAACAGAACGGTCGATATCAAAATATACGTCTCGGTAGGCTTATCCTTCGAGGACTGTGACGGCTAAATATTGGCGAGGAAAGGCAATGCTGCTTTTATTGGATTGCCTTGTTTTTTCACGAGACCCGAAGCTTCCGGTTCCTCATCACGGGGGGTTAGCGTTAGCCCCTCCACGTGGCCTACGGGATTTCCTGAGGATTAGCTAGTTTGACTTAATTAATAGAGTATGTGATGATGACAGAAGGTAACACGAAGTCTTAATCAGCGTCCAGAAATGGAAGGATTAAGGACTCTAAACCTACACTCAAGCGGCTTCGTCGGGAATGGTGTATAACAGCCTGTGATTTCTTTAAGTGGCATGGAAGTAAGACATAGGAACAGTTTGATTTGGCAGTCATCGATACAGAGAAAGCAACGTGGTATGGGTACTAGTATGTTCGGAGGTGGGGTCCCATGAGAGCTATCAGTGGATTAGACAATGACACAGCTTCCATGGTACAATTTCATATTGTACTTAAGCACTAACACATTCAAGTTCAAGATGTTTAGTATGCTATTTTCAATGTGTTAGTATCTGTCACATATTTCATCCATGGATGGATTTGCTCCTTGATATTTCGCGTACCTGTCGAAGCCCTCTACTGTCAAGGCATGCTTAGCATTATTTGCCCGAATAAGCCCATTGAATAGTGACTATCACGTTGAGTGACTATTACTATGCATGCGGTAGCTCCCCATAAACTCTGGGTTGGACCTTGTCCCCTCCTTGGTAGCTTCGATACCTCGCATCAAAGGGGTTCCTCTTTCAACTGTAGCAAAGTAATACCCTATATTCCGCCTACAGAGGAGAGAATATGGATAGGCCGAGATATCTCGTAAAAGATCAGATTACACCTTCGTAAGAAATGAACTGAACTCAAGTTGACCCTGGGGCAAAGAACTTAATGCAAGCGCCTGTATTCTTGGATCCTGATAGCATACTATTGGCTATACTTGAAGGTGTGATGTCGATGATAGTAATTGAGGAGAATCTCACATGGTTTCTACATTACTAACCGCCTCAGGAGAGTCTACAATGGACTCAATGACGAATTTCTCAGACTTGGGGATGCCTAGAAGTCGAAATCTTTTCAAAGGGTAATTATATGATACTTCCGGTTCTCCACCTTGTACAGAAAGCCCTGGCAAGTCTATAGCGTTGGCAGTACTGTTTCTATTTATTTTACGAGGATCTTTGATACACGTTTACATTAAGTATATATACATCGTCATTATTTATCTTTTCTCTAGCTTTGTTATCTTCACGATATACTGTCAAAGTGTTACCTGTGCCGCTGCTAATCCCTTGGCTACAATTACTACTAGTAGAAGCTCAACTCACTAAAGAGCTTTAGGGAATACCCTCTGTGGATTGATTGCCTCCAGCTATATCCGACACTTGGAGGCTATGATTTTCACATTATTTTAAAGTTAAGGAAATCTCGAAGCGTGTGAAGTATGTCGCCCTTGGGCGATGTACTATCTGGATAGAGCACCAGTCAGATCCATGAATGCATCATATGGATAGATAAATTCATTTCACTCAAATATTGAGCCACTCTCCTACTAATCTGCGGTAACTTCTCAGGGGGTGGTAAGGGAGATTTTATAGTGCGAGAAACTAGGAAGGGTAGACAAGTGGCGGGGTGTCTTTATTCACTCGGTAAATGCCATGACCAGACTTGAACGACAATAATAAAATACCAGTACTTATCTATTGGTATGATAGGATTGCATCTCCAAGTGTTCCAGAACAATCAGCCTACGCCCGGATACATATGACATGTGGTTCTAATGCTATCATCATGGATGGTATAGAAGCGACGTGAAGGCACGAAATTGAATAGACAGGCTCTGCCTGGGAAGGAATACATGTCGAGCATATGGGACATGTTCTGCCATTTGTACCATTTTCTGAGGCCGAATCACACCATAATCCTTAGGTCGCCGGTTTGGTAGGGGCTGTGCGGGGGCATTTCCACCAGCACCGCCGCCTCCTCCCCATTTGGGCTGCTCCACCCGTATCACTCATCGTGGGCGAAGTTGAGGCAAAATTAAACTGGATGAGTTTTAGCATGAGCTCACGTAAACTTATGTAGGATACTCGCCCTAGGCGACGCTCTCCTTACCAGTAGGTCAATCGATTAGATCGATAAGCGTGGAGTTGACCAAATATATTCAGCAAACTAGAACACAGACACGTTACTGGAAGGCGGTTCCTCATGCGCCTAGTATTCGCTGTCTAAATAGGGATTGTGTTAATTTAGAACCCATTCAAGTTTTCTCTGAAGATGAGGATAAGCATAAGCATCAAGAAATCAGTGAATGCCAGGAAGACAGTCGATTTCGTCTAACAGGGAAAAACAAGATACCCTGAAAATTGAGACGAGGGCTTTTTCGACCCTGGAGAACATATGTGACAGCTTTATGCCTTGATGATTGACATTAATTGTCGTTTTCGCAGAAAATTCCCGTCTTGTATGGTCATCTGCTCAACTATCATTCCACCACACCGATTCCCTATCCATTCATCTCCAGGGCTCTGGATGTGACTGAATTATGTGGCACCCTGCGATTGTACTATTTTCGCTCCGTGCATAGAGCTGAGCTAGGGCTAGAAATGTGAATTTACATTATTAGCGCCTTGAAATTATTCCTGCCGCTTCAAGTCATGGACCGTGCACTAATGAGGCACCTAGTCTAAGGTCAGGGCGCGTAGGCACGGCGATTTGTATGTACCTGGGCCTCATGGCCTTTCTTTGGCTCCAGCCCCTGTAGATTGAGGCTGCCCCGCATGTGAGTCGCACAGTTTCAGAGATACGTATAAAATGAAGCGCCAAATGATTGGTCGGATGATTTCCGTGAGAAATCGGACGCAGGATGTCTGCCTCGTATGCCCAGCCACTGACCCGGGCGTAGCAGTGCCTACGCGCACTACTCATAGCCAATTATGCAGTCAATCTTAAACGCCTACATAGGCACAGCGGAATAAAGTACTTCTGCATACTGCGACAGCTGACTGCGTGAGGCTCTACCATAGTGCTGTCAGCTATTCATATGCCTGATAAGTTATAACTACCTCGAGTCTGCCTCGTCCCCTTTGCCGCCAGAGCCCCCATAAATACGAAGCAATTTCTGGCAAGCTAATTGCCGATATTAACTCCGAGTCCCCTTCGCATATCTTCATATCCGACTCAGTACCAAATTTCTGTCAAAAAATGTCCGTCTTAGCTTCTACAGATTCTATTTCTCAGTCCGCTTCACCCAAAGAGACCCCTTCCAAGAACGATCTCTGTCAGAGACCATGGCAATATCTTGGATATCGGGCTTTCTGCGAATGGTCTTCCTCCGATGATGACCTTTTCGTTCTGCGTCGTTTCAAAGCCCTCAATACCAGAATTCTATTGAGAATGCAGGACTCAATAGTTCAGCTCGAGGATGAACTGAGTGCCCTAGATGTTGAGAACTCACAACTAGGCTGTCAACCTGTGAATAACGGGTCATTCAGACATGATATGATTGAAAGAAGAGAAGAAATTCTCATTAAGGCACAAGCCGAGTTAAAAGAATATAGTTAGTATTTTTCTCTTCTGGTTTTCCTCCTTTTTTTTTTTTTTTTTTTTTTTTTCTTGTTCTCTCACCTCAAGCTCTCAGATTCAACCTGGAGGGGCATTTTATATCGACTTACCATAAGAACATAGATGAATATGTGACCAAATACTCAGAGCTAAGATCACGCCAGCCAGCCGAGGAGCATGAAATATTAAATGTGGAAAATTGGCTTTTACGCCGCTTTTCAAATGCTATATTTCCGGCAGAAAGCGAGTATATCACGAAAATAGATGACTTAATACGGGTTGTGCCAGGAAAGAAATCTCCTTTGGTGAAGATGATGGAAAAATGTTCTGGCATAACGCGCAGTATGTTCTTCAGAAAGCAAGCTGTTAGAGTAAGTTTTCTTGCCTTAGAAGCAAACCCTCCTCACAATCACGGAGAGAAAGTACCTTGACTGATTTCTAAAGGAAGGAGAACATAAGGGGTATGACCCAGAGTCCCTTTTCTACTATAATGATGATTCCTTGGAATCCTGCGCTCGAGCCAGTATTATCCTCTGTGGCTTAATTATGCTGGTTGCGCCACCGTGGTGGCTACTCTTCGTCCAGGATAAAACAAAGCAGCTTGCAATTATCACTGGCTTTATAGTACTTTTCCTCACACTTCTTGCAACACTTTCGGCCGCAACCTCATTTGAAAGCTTGGCCGCTACTGCTGCGTATGTACATTTGGTTTCAAAGTTATTTGTCTATGTGCTAATTCCAAGTTCCAGCTACTCTGCAGTTCTTATGGTGTTTATGCAAGTTGGGAATGGCGCATAGTAGTGGTCATGCCCAAGGAAGAAAAGTCTTTCCCTGAATAACCAGGTGCTTATGTCCCCGTAAGACGTGTTTACTGCCTGTATAGTGGATGCATAGAATTCCTATAGAGCTTAGAGAAACGGAGGCATGTAACATTATAGCTATTCAATATTTGCAATGACCTGCCAAGCACTATGTAACGCGCTGCAGCGTCAATTTAATTGCTCGAGTGGCGTTGAGGTGAATTCCGGTTTTTAATACTACTAGTAGCACTGATCATACTGAGCTTGCCACCGAATAAAGTAAACTACTACTGGCACACACCCAGTCTATAGCATAGGGAGGGAAGGAAGAACCGACTAGCCGTACTAGTAGTAAGCCTGCAAGATCTGGATCGCAAGATGCCCTATCATGATATTACTTGTCGCCAATTAGTACCGAGAATACAGGCAGACCATTGATGTTTTGACCCAAGGGGATCACGGCAATACTATGTAGCGAGCCAAATACTGCAAGGCAAATATACTACCGTTGGTTGACCCTTAAACCATATCTAGCGGGGAGAACGCCGATTGGCAAAATACGAGAGGTATAAGATAGAAAAGACGAAGGAAAAAGAAGAGAAGAAAAGATGAAGCCAGATAGGGGATCAGTACGAGGCCCTGATTGTAGTCCTGATAAGGAGCTGATTTAAAAAAGTTCTGTTCGTGTGTATGTGTTGTTGGTGGGGGATTTGGAGAGTGCGCGCAAAGGGGACTCTTTGGGTAGTGAAGAGGCAAGTAGACAAAATAACAAGGAGAATGAAGAAACGAAAAAGGGGGGTGGAGATTGGACTGGTCCCAGGGCAAGGAAAGCACCGTCCTCAAAAAGTGAAAGGGGACGCCAGAAAGTCTGAGTCGGGGGTCTCGGAGGGGAAGGGATTCCGAAAGCGCACCAGAAAACAAATTTCGTTTCCCCCATCCCTAGGCCGCGAGGCCCTGGGTCCGAAGAATTGAAAATGTATAACCAATGCATCTTGACCATCCTTTTCCGTTCTTGCCCTGCTTAACTTCCTTGCACCGGGAGACCCATCGCGCAGCTCCCTCTTGGTTGTCCCATCCACCCCAAGGACGTGAGTCCATCATCAAGGTCTTTTTAAATTTCCGTTTACTCGGCGGGCTTCTCACCCTCCTGGGCGGGAGCCTCCTCCTTCTTCTCGGCGGGGGCACCCTCCTGGGAAGGCTCGGCCTCGGAAGAGGTCCAGAGGGTCTATTAAAGAGTTAGACAGGCAGATCTAGGAAACGCGACATCAAGGATAACCTACCAGGTTGTCACGGAGGAGCTGCATGATAAGAGTGGAGTCCTTGTAGCTCTCCTCGCTCAGGGTGTCAAGCTCTGTAGGAATGAGTTAGTCACATGGACGTTGCTAGGGATCAATGGAGTTGGCGCAAACTGACCAGCAATGGCATCATCGAAAGCCAGCTTAGCGAGGTGGCAGGCCTGGTCGGGGGAGTTCAGGATCTCGTAGTAGAAGACCGAGAAGTTCAAGGCCAGTCCGAGGCGGATGGGGTGGGTAGGGGCGAGGTCAGTGGAAGCGATCTCGGTAGCGGCCTTGTAGGCCTCAAGGGAGTAATCGGCGGCACCCTTGCGGCGGTCGCCGATGGCGAACTCGGCAAGGTAACGGTGGTAGTCACCCTTCATCTTGTGGTAGAAGACCTTGGACTCGCCGGTCTGGGCAGACTTAATCAGGTGGTCGTCGAGAACCTCGAGGATGTCGTCACAGATCTTGGCCAGCTCAGCCTCGATCTTTTGGCGGTACTCCTTGATCAGAGTGACCTGGCCCTCGTTACCCTTGGACTCCTCCTTCTGCTCAATGGAGGTGACGATTCTCCAGGACGCACGGCGGGCACCGATGACGTTCTTGTAGGCGACGGACAGGAGATTGCGCTCCTCAACGGTGAGCTCAACATCGGCCGAAGCAACGATCTTCATGTTCTCAACCATCTCTAGAGTGAGCGTCAGTCATCTGCCTTTGCGAGACGGGATTTCTTTTCCCTTGAAGTTGAAAATGAGAGGCATAACATACCCTCATAGCGCTCGGCCTGCTCGGCCAGCTTGGCGAGATAAACAGCGTCTTCTTGACCCATTGTGAAATTTTCTAGAATTAACAGAATTTCAGATTAGTCTTTATCCTGATTATGAGCAACAACAGCAAATATGAATGTGGTTGTAGTGATGGAACTGGAATCACGCCATCGACATCATCGCCAGCGACCGGGAGGGGTAGAGTCCGCTGACGGCCCTCGATCAGGGATGAGGGGCCATATGCGCTCCATTTTGCATCCCCGAGTGTTTCTGATCCAATCGAGATCCCTTTGGACTTCAGTGGTGAATATCATAACGATCATGGTTTGTTGAGGTACTGGGTGTCGCTGACGTGCGTCGGGGGCTGTGGGTGTTTTTGAAGGGGATCACAATGTAGCGGTCGCGGCAGCGGACCCGCAAGTAAACATGGGAACGAGGACGAATGAAGTTCTCTTGCCAGGGAGAAGCGATGCGATCCCAGCGAGAGAGGTATTTCGGGAAATTTGAATGCCCCTCTTGGTCTTGCAGAGGGCAGGAATGTCCCAGTTCCAATGAAGCCCGAGTCGAGTGGTTGTGTGGGTTTTGGGGGGGGGGAGGGGAGTTGTGTGGTGATTTCCAAGGCGGGGGAAGAGGCAAAAAGAAGGAAACAAATTGGGACGAGACAAACTCACCTAAAATTGAAAGAGAGAGAGAAAAGGTATAGAGAAGTAGATAGGGGGAGTGGATGGAGTAGGAAGAGAAGGGGAAAGTTGAGGGAGGAAGATGAGTGACAGTCTGGGAAAGGAGGGGGAGGGCGGTGGGTGTTGTTTGGTGTTGGGATTGGGTTGACCTTACACTATTACTATTGCTATTGCTGGACTATTACCACTACCACTACCCCTGTGGCCCATGTGCCATCTTCTATTGCTCTCTGTCTCTCTGTCCCTCTATAGCTCTCTTTACTTTCTCAGGTAGAGGCTGTGTTCTTACCCATCGTGCTCCTGCTACGCCTACTGCTGGCGACTGTACCTCACCTTCTGTGTGGTTCGGTGGACCTAGCGTCATCGTGGCTACCATAATCCCCCCCATCCCGCGCCAATCGCCCCCCCTTAACCACTTGTTACTCCCCGGGTACATCCAAGGCAGATAGAGCCCTACTTCCATCATTTCTATGAAACACATCCATCTACCCACTAGCAACCGAGAGCCTCCCTGGTCCAGACCTGATCGATTCCGATCTTCGTATGAGTAGATCCTATAGCCTTCTTCCGTACAGAATATTAAAATGTGGTGTGTAGTATTGGTATCTGAGGAGTATATTCGGTTGCAATTCACACAATGTACACAATTGTACACACTGAACCCCGTATGCTAATCCCCGTCATGATCTGCCTTGCCGAGTCGAATGAGAGAGCCTGAACTTATCGCAGAGATTTCTGCTGACATAATGCATTATCTAATCGCACCCCGGATAGATCACCTGACAAGTCTTGGCATATGTCGTCATGTGTGGTGAGGTCAAGGTCACCTGTCAAGTTGCCCTGCTTACTTCCCGAGCTTGAATACCATCCAATACTTCCTCTCCCTTCCAATCCTTCTCTTTGATTTTAAGATATCACCACCATTCACCATTCACCATTCACAATGCTCCGCCAATCCATCACCCGACCGGCTGTTCTCGCCAACCGTGCCCTCTGCCAGCGCTCGTTCTCTGCTATCGCCCCTCGAATGGGTGAGGGTGACACCGGTGCTCCTCGAACCGGAGGCGGCGGCACCTCAGGGTACGTGGCCAATCCCCCAAATACCTCATTCACTGCATCATATCTCCCTTATGGCGTGGATGCTGTGGCGTTATCTGCGTTGTCGACCGCATGGCGTGTCCGCTTTGTCGCTGCTGGATGACATCATTAATCGCTGACATTCGTTGCCTTACAGCGATGCGTTCACCAAGCGTGAGGCTGCCCAGGAAGCCTTGTACATCCGTGAGAAGGAACTTGAGAAGTAAGTCGCTCAGGTGGAAGTCATTTCGGAATCCGTCAACAAAAGACATGGAGTTAATGACCCTCGGGTGGATAGGCTCCACGCCCTGAAGAATAAGATCACCGATCAGCGCGCTCATCTGGACGAACTTGAGAATCACATGTATGTCCTTGCTTCGCCTTGCCTCCCCTCTATTTGGCTACCTTATACCCCCTTCCATTACTCGCGCCATCTTGTTGGAACAAATGCTAATCTCCATCCAGCAACCAGTTGACCAAGGACCAGGGCAAGAAATAAAGCTCTTGCACTGAATAATCGCATCATGAGCCTTGCCTGTTGTAACATAACATCTCCTCTCCAGTTACCGGGCCTCCTTTGATTTTGTGATTGTGTTCGTGTTAAAGCGGCATATGACTAGACAAGACCGAATATTTGTTATAGCATATCAGGAGTCCCTCCATTCATGAAATTTTTTCCTGTACCTCTCTTTATAGGCCACCTGGGCATGTAGGGATACACTTTCGAAGCCCCCCACAAATGCACTGAGTAGTATCATGCTCGATCTCATGCGGGTGGATGATATTGCCGGTAAGCTAGTACTAGGTTCACGCCGAATCCACCTGCAAGTAACTTGAACTACTACGCCTACTAGTATTGATAGGGTGAAAGTACCTAGTAACCATTGGTCTTGGGCGATTAGGAGTAATAATAGGGACAAGATCATGGAAACCAACTTCAAAACTTCCAGGGTTGAAATGGATGTTTTGTGGTATATATCACCGTGACCCTATCCATCTACTAGTAGTACTAGTTATCTGAGACTTGCGACGCTCACCTGGGCAAGATGCTCCATATGCAGGTCAACATCGAAAACCCGGGTAGCATGGTCTCTTTTTTGATTTCACTTTTACCTAGGTATCACCTTGAAAAAGCTGCCAGTTTGAAACTCTCTAAATATTGAAAATACATGCATTGAGGTTGATAAGATGGAATGCAAAGAGTGCAAATGGCATGCGTTCCGACGGTTGCCCGGCCCAACTGCTTGTTGGTAAACGTTGCCAAGACGCGCTGGATCGTCATTTTCGACCTCACTTGCCCTCATCCCACCTTGAAAACATTACTTTTAGTCCGCGTCGCTCAATCACTAAGCCAATCCTTCGACGATTGCTTCCCTGCTGTTATGAAGAATGTCTCACGCTATTCCTTAATTCAACTAAGCCTCTAGCGCGACGTGACTATCCTGCCCTCTGACTTGAAACGCGTCGCTGGCCACGATGGCGAGCTCTGCCGAAGTGATCGTGCTTTCCTCCTCTCCCAACCCTCCCTCACGAACTCCGACAAGGCCACTGCGAAATTCCGAGAAGCTCCTTGATAGATCGCCACGAGGGGCGTCGCCACCATGTCTTCCGTCACCTTCAGAGCTGTTCAATCCGCCGTCACGCTCTCGATTCTTCCCCACTCCAAAGGCGGCAGATATTGCGACCAAGAAGAAGCCACGGGCGACGAAAAAAATCTGCCGCTTCACCTTCCAACGACCAAAATGACCCAGCCAAGCCGAAATCAATGGGAGCGAGCATAGCGTCGAAGACGGACTCCACCAGAAATGTCGATCCTGAGATCCAAGATACCGCAGACCCCGGGCAGAGAAAAGCAAAGCACCACGGAAAAGTCGCACTACAAAAAGCACCAAGAAAAAAGACACCGGCAACATGACGTTAACTGGGAAGGTTACCAAAGGAGGAAGCGGTGCTCAAGTAAAGGAACCGAACAAACAGAAGAAGACGACTGCACCGAGCAAGAAGCCCGACGAGCCTATGGATTCAATTACTCTCCAGGGATCCGAAGCCGACATGAAAGATAGAGAGCTACATCTAGGCAAAGCTTTGGGGAGGAGAATAGATTGGACCCCACCGAGAGATACTTCCCCCAAGATAGGGTTGACGATGGAAGGCGAGGGAGATACGGAGAAAACTCTGACGCCAGCCATCACAGGGGGGATTTGACAAGTTGCTGTCCAATTATAATTACTCTGGAGCAGCTTCAGCTGTCCACGAAATGCCCCCAAATGTGGGTAACGGGGGTCCCACCAAAAGACGACGTATCGAGCTGGTTGATCCTTTACTTCAGCCATACCAAGTATATCAAGCTGATTCAAATGGGGAAAGCTCGGCCCAGGGCACAGATTCATCAATATCTGGTCCTAAGTCGAAAAAGAAATCAAAAGGCCCGAAACGATTAACGACATTGACCGCACGAATGACGGCGCAATATACCTCAAAAAATGCAAATGACGATGGCTCCGCTAGTGATGGACTTCAGCCCACCAGAAAGACTATTTCTAAACGACGAGGCAAAGGCAAAATGGCGGAGGATGAAGTTTTGTTTACCGTTCTTTCACCCGAAACAGCTTTCAGGTCTTTGGAGAATCAAGATCTCGTCTTTGGTACTTGCAGTCAACTCGAACGAGAGGATTCACCGCACACACTGGACGAAATGCAACAAGCTATTCGTGCATCCGAGAAGCTTGCTTTTGACGGAAGCCAGCAGACTGCAACAGCCAAGGCCGTTTCGAAGGGCCATGTGTCCTACCTGCCCGGTACAAGGAACCTTTGGCAGTCTGCCGCGCGGAGTACTGAAGGGTCACTGGTCCAGGCTCAAAGGATGGACGGCGTTAAGCTGGCAGGTTCAGCAGGAGCGTGCAAGGAACTAAATGCCCAAACAAAAAGATCATTGAACTGGGAAGATGATGATGACTGGTTTGAGCTTGACTATGGCAAGTCCAAGCCTTCCCCAAAGCAGAAGACGCCATTGAGGGTCAATAAATCAAAGTCTACAGCCGTTCCTGTGCCCTTGGAGCCCCAGGCGCCGCCGGTACAGGCTGATGAAGCTACTAGTGCGAAGACGAATCCTAACCAGGAGGCAGTCTCTCAACAGCCACCGATGCCTCACTATAGCGGATTCACAGACGCTGAGCTCACCAAACAGGTTGCGGCCTTTGGCTTCAAGTCAGTAAGGGGTCGTAAGAAGATGATTGAGCTGTTACAGAAGTGCTGGGAGTCGAAACATCGCAATGGTAGTAGAACTACCCTTGTGCAGTCACAGCCCCAGCCTTCGTCACAAACCGACAATGATACGAGGCTCCCCAATTCTACCCAGCCGCATAGCCAGGATCTTGCCCCGCAATCGGAGACACTGAAAGCAGCTACTCGGCCCAAAGGCCAGACCAAGAAAAAACCAGCATCAGCACCAAGTGCATCTTCACGCTCAGTACAAACCGATACACGAACAGAAACCTCGGTCTCTGCCAACCCCAAGAAAGCTTCCAATCATACGGGCAGAAGCTCTCATGTTTGGACATCGTCATTCATAGATGTCAAAGAGATTCAAGACTCCGAGGACGAGACCGCTCCGTCGCCTAGTCAAGTCCCAAAGCGTTACCGGGAGATATTGTTCACCACTTCTGATCTTGCTCCCGAACCATCTCTGGAAATTCGAACCAAGGAATTGACTACAGGTCCCAAAGCGGTTGTCTCTAAATCTAAATTCAAAACCAAGTCCTCTTCATCTGTCCCCGTCAAGTCCGACAAACCGGCTCTTTCGAAGTGCAGCAGTTTACCCGATCTCGCTTTCCAGATCACTAAAGCCGTACGCTCCCAACATCTGCTGTCGCCCCTCTCATCTTCAACTGGAAGCCGAAGCCGCCCAACGTGGCACGAGAAGATCCTCATGTACGACTCAGTTATTCTGGAAGATTTCACAACATGGCTAAATGTCGAAGGACTTGGGCTTGTTGGGGAGGACAGGGAAGTTCATGCTGCAGCGGCTAGGGAATGGTGTGAAAACAAGGGGATCTGCTGTTGCTGGAAGAATAATGCTAGTTGGTGAGATACCTGTGCTTTGGAGCACTGGTGACCCCTTTTTTCATTCGAATTTTATGATACCCAATATTTGTACATTACTCAAGCAAATATGCAGTCCTGACACGCCTGAATTTTCTGAGTCGAATATCTACACATTTGTTTCGACGCTACTATCATGACAACCAAAGCCTCACTCGCACACACATGCCACCCCATAAACCTGACCATTATGGAGCTATTCAGGGAATGACATCCGATGGGCTACCTTTTCCATCAAGCCACCTTTTCAAACCATTCTAGGACAACGCAGAAAGGACATCAGAACAAACGAAAGAAAAACAATACGGATCAAATTGAGAATGGAATCACAGGAAACGGCCTTGGGAAAACCCGACAGCTGGGGCAACTATACCAGATCTTGTCCGGACATGTATGGGCTTTGAAGTTCAAGTTGCTGTGGAGTGATTCCTTGATCCTGGCAATGAATGTATCGTTCAGCCAACATGATTCATAAATGAAGTTTCATAGAAAGGCAAGAAGATATCAGTGTGTCCCACCGCGTGCGTATGGAATGCTCCAGTTTGTGGCGCCAGGTCCAAATTCTGGGAAGGAGTACTCACCAAACGCATAATCCCACTGTCCTGAGAAGGTTGGTACTCGCTCGGATTCTCGAGTTGTGCTCCTGGGGATTGGTGATAATACAACAAATTCTGGATCTGTTGATTCAGGGTATGGATCTGGTGATCCTTTTCTTGCAACTGACGCTGGAGTTTTCCGATATCCCGAGTCAGTTGCCTGATGATGTTTCGAGGATGGGTTTGACCGGTGCTCGTATCGGTCATGTTGCACTCTGTGCCCTGTCGGACGCAGTTGTTGCAGCTTTCTGGGTTCCCGTCGCAGGGAAGCTTTCGACACTAGAGATGAGACAGTTAGTCTTTGGCCAATAGTATGAATAGGGATGAGATGAGGGGCGCTAGGTAGCTTGATGAGAGGAGAAAGAAAGAAGTCATCACACACCTTGCATCTATCACAAGCTCGTGAGGTGCGCTTCCCCCCGGGGTTTTCATGGAATCGTCGTCGCAATTCTGCAGAGTAGTCACGCTCCGGGTCATATTTTCCTCGGCGGCTTTTCTTGGGGCGTGGTAGCATGGGAACATCTGGCATGGAAAGGACCATCGAATCGGGAGACGAATGGTCAGTAGAAGCGAAAAGATATCGAAGTGGAAGGAAATCTTCCATGTTGTCGAAGTATAGCAAGATATGACAGGAGAGACAATCCACTAGATAGTGGATTTGGAAAAGAAAGGGCTTAAATAGAGAGGGAGAAACGAAGTGGAAGAGGTTTGGATGGAGGTATTTCGGGCGTCACTTTCAAGTTCTTAGACGTATTGTAATCTAACAACACTTCGCTCCTTTAACACAGAGAATCGTTTAAACTACTAGTAGATGAACAGGTTCACCTCTACCAGGCATTTCAAGACACCAACACCAACACCAGCTCCAGGGAAGTGGATAAGAAGAAGGATTTATAGAGCTAGACCCAGTTATCCTTTCCATTGAATTCTGTTGCGAGATCTGATACCTCAAAATCCAAATAACCATAGGTAGAATTACACGTTGAAAAGAAATATTTTACAATGAAGTCCCTTTACCAAGAGCTTGTCAAACATACTTAGGTATAGCTTTTCAGTGAGATGGTTCGAGATGCCCATATCAATTGCATTGTAGAGGAACAAAGAATCTAGGGATGACAAAGCCGTCAAACAATCTTGGTCCCACCTAGGCAGCGAGAACCTAGACAATGAACTACCTCCACGAATAGCTGGAAAAAGTGCAAGTTATGGAAACATTACTGTAGCCCTTTACTAGCAGGTGGAAGGTCTAAATCAAAAGCACTGGGTAGATTTAATATCAGGATATGTAGAGTACAGGACCCCGGAGACCCAACCAAAGAAAGAATCAGAAAATAGCTTGAAAAGGATAGACAGTGAAGCATTATTTCATAATAAAAATCCAGAAGAAAGACCACCAGGCATTATTAAATCAAACCAAACCACAGCATATGCTTTCAATCTTTGAACTCCTGCCATGCTCGACCAGCCCAAGAACCAGATAATCCGTAACCCGAATCCGGAACCAGCAGCGCGCACCTTCCGCTGTCTGGAGTCATTCTAAACGGGTCAAGCAAACAAGAAAAAAGGAAAAAGTGCCCTAGAAAACCCGGAACTCCCAAATTATAAGACATCGTCCTTAGCACTTCCTATGGTTGTGATAGAAACTAAACGAAAGGGGAATGCAAATGGATCCAGAATATGAACGAGGAAATCAGAAGGATGCTATATAGCAGTTGGAGAAGTAGACAAGCTGTATCAGTCTGAGAGGTATGTCATAGACAGGGGACTTCTACGTCCCTGAACGCGTTGTCAAGTGGCAACACTCATGATGGCTGAGGGTGCTACCTCATCGAAAGTTTCTGCCATTTGTGGCAACCCTCTCAAATTCAAGTCGGGGTTGATATCGCATTGGTCCATTATCATCGAGCCAGGGAGCGAGGTTCTTGCATTGGCTGACGTCAAAGGTTCGGAGCTGATGGCAGCCTTCAGCCACTGCTTCAACACCCACTCCGGTGACTCGAACACAACCTCGCACAGATAGGTGTTGGAGGGAGAGAAGGTGAAGACCGATACTTCGAAGGGATGGATCGGAAATCGCGGACCCGCAAAACGACATGTTGAGATATTTCAATTGCGAGCATTGAAGGGCAAGAACTTCGGTGGCTGTGTCGGACAATGCACAGCAAAATGACTGATAGGGTATATTAGTATTCGATACTCAAGCTCGGTAGGAAGTGTCAAATCTCTTACCAGATCTAGTTCTTGCAGATTTTTGGCGGCATTCGTCAAATGCACGATGGCGTTGTCGGTCAGGTATGTGCAGTCCGCTAAGCACAGTCTTCGCAGGTTGGTGAAGCGAGCATTTCCCCAGTACTGGAATCCTTGGTCCGTAATGGTGGTACAGCGAGTCAAGTCCATTTCTTCAATTCGACCCGCTGCATGTGACGCAATGTGGTGCATTGAGCGATCAGTTACATGCTTGCAATATGAGAGCGTGAGCTTTCTTAGCCGCGGACAGCCATATACCAAACCATCTTCTGTCTGCATGGTTGGCTTAATGGATGCATTTTTGCCTTCGGTAGGCTTCTGACCCCCAGGCAACACCCACCCAATAATCCGGGCCATAAGAGTATCGCCTACTTTGCGGCAATTGCTCAAGTCCACTTCCTTTAACTCTGTTGCTTTGCTAGTCATTTCGAGGATAGCAGAAGCCGTCACATCCCAAACGCTCTTCATCTTCCATGTCGTGGCATTGGGTGCGCATGTATTGGCTAATGCGTTGAAGCCCTCATCTGTGATATGAAAGCAGTTATTGACATTCACCGAGTTGGGGCGATTGCCAACAAATGGGCAAATGATTTTCACAAGAGCGTCATCGGTGAGTTGGCGGTTATATACACTCAAGTCGAGATCACGAATCACTTCAGGAGACCTGGTGAGAATTTCAGACCAGTGAGAAGACACTGCACGTAGTCGAAGCAAGTGATGGAGTTCAAGAAATTTGAAAATGTTCAGAAGGACACTGTCAGGGAAGATTCCGTGGTGACCGTCACTGGAAGGGCGCGGCACTTGATGTGGTTTTGACAGGCCAAGCGTGTCTGGAAGTGCAAGAGAAGACGAGCCAGCCGACCGCGGTTCCGTCGGAGATTGCCTTTGGTACTCACCAGTGACTTCTTCTGGTGTCAAAGGTGCTACTGAGCCTCGGCGACTTCGAAGTCGGACTTTGTCCAAACCAAGACTGAGATATGGATCGGGATCTGATGGTCGCAGTACTGCTTGCTCTTGATCTTCGACCGGCGAAGACTGATGCGGACCATCTAATTCAGTCTCTGTCAGGGTCAATAACGGCATTGACTTTCTCCGAGAAGAGGCTCGATCGTCGAATTCCAAGTCACCCAAAGGAGGCTGTTCGTTTGTTGCATCTGTCATGACTACATCGCCGTCGGCAGTAGTCTGAAGTCTTTCTTGAGCGGTGCGCTCTACTGATTCACGGATGTCACTCGGGCACATTTCCCAAAACTGAGAGAGGACCTCCCCACTGAGCATCAAACATTCGACCGACGTGACTGAGCGAACGGTCGCTGTTCTTCGAGGCGCAAGTGACAAGCTGACCACTTCACCAAAGTATTGCCCTTGTTTAAGCCGAGCCTTGATTTCTGTCCTCGTACGATCGGACCCATTCGGTTTGTGATTTAAGTCGTCATTGGGTTCGGCTTTTTCGGTAACGACCTCTACCTCACCTCGTACGATGAAGTAGAGTTCGCGTCCTTTGGAGTCCTGTCGGATGATATCCGTAAATGGAGAGAATGAGCGCGGTTGCGCATTGAGGCCCAAGAAGTGGAGTATATCGGGTGGTAGACCGGAGAATAGAGGCAGCTCTTTGAGAAGGAGACGAACGTTCACTAGGCCATTTGCAAGAGCACTGGAAGCATCTCGCCGGCCCGGACTCGGTGATTTTCGCTTTTTATGTACTGAATTGACGCTTAAGTCTTCCTCGGCAGCGATCAGGTCTTTGGCGTGGTTCTCCCTCAATCGCTTCGACCCTCTTCGCATCGGGCTCGGGATTCTTGGGGGATCTAGATCCACGGCGGGCGCGGATGTCTCTTTCTTTTTCTTTTCTAGAATCATGAGCCGCTCCTGAGCTTCTTCTCTGATTGCCTGTTCGACCTCGGGGAAGCGCGGTAAAATATTGCGAAAATCTTCCTTGGTGAGCACGACCAGCATGCACCGTGTCCGGGCGATGATTGTTGCTGTGCGTGGACGATCCATCAACACACCAATTTCTCCAAAAAAGGCACCGGGCTGGAGCTCAGCATATATGCTCTCACCGTCTCGTGATGTGACCGAGACGGCACCGCGCACCAACCAGTACATCGCCTTTGCATCATCACCTTCGGTCAAGATATAGTCGTTGGGGGCGTGGAGTTGTGGGCGCAAGTGTTGACCGACCTCAAACAAGAAGGATTCTGGGACGGCCTGGAAGAGGGGGAAGGAGCGCAACCTATCGACTAGTTCGAGTGGGAGAGCTTTGATGTTGGAGGAGGCTAAAGGTGAAGGTCGCGCAGGACGATTGGGGTTCAAGACTGAGTCGAAGGAATGGATCAGAGAGACGGTGTCGGACATGGCTGAAACGGCCTTGGTCGGGCCTCCAGATCTGCCATGGCGACGCATCGTGGGCAGTTGGCACTGCGGAGGGGGAAGTTCAGATGAAAGAGGCGACCGGGGCTTCCAGCTCCAGCATCAATAGAACGATGACGTCGACGAGAATAGCAGCAGCAGAGTCGAGCTCCGCGTCGGCATCGCATCCACACCCAATGGGTAGATCGTCGGCGCTAGCAGAACGGCATGTGCGCAGGGGGGAAGAGCTGGAGGGGTAGTTGACAACGGTGAAGGATGTCGGAGCTGGGGGGGATCCCTTCAGGTGAAGGTGGGGGGGCCGACTCTGCGACGTCAAATGCGGTTGAGCTCCACCGATCATCTGGAAAGCTTCGGAAACTCTATGACAACCCTCATAGTGCTCCACCTTGGCCAGATCGGATTTCTTCACTCTCTTCTTTGTCCACCGATGGGACTTGCTATTCGATGGAGGGTGGCTCTGTTAATGGCAATCCAGTCAATCTTGATCGGTTTATTGCATTGTGGTGGCTTACTACGGAGTACAAAAGGGTTAGGAAGAGCTTGAAGAAGCAAATATCATTACGGTATGGTACAATTGATAAAAATATTCTGGTAGGGGTTTCTCCTTCATAAATCTCCCTTCCTAAAGCTAGGTACGATCTAATACTGTGTACGCACAGAAGCCATCGACATCATTCCTCAGGGTTTGGCTTCACCTAACAAGTTCAAACTGACAAAAAAGCAATTAACACGGGTAGGAAAAAAGCCACGCTCAGCCCTGTACCTAACCAAAGCAGATCATTTCGTGGCCTTGTGCAGTACTTTTGACAGCTATGGTCGCCAGATCGATTGGGTTCGCAGCTCGCTGGGAACAGGCAGATGCAATGCAAGAGGTCACGTGCCATCAATACTCTACCTGGGAGGCAGAGCTGAACAGAGCTGGCCTGGCTAGGAGGAAATAAAAATGAATAAAGAGAAGAGTTCTTCAAATAATATAGTACAATAGGGTATCAAAATGTAGATAGTACATCGGAAAATAGAAAGATGTGAAGCCCGGGCACCCATGAACTCTGGCCCGGAACTCACCGATCAGGGTTTCCGCGGGAGTTAAAAGACACCAAATAGGAATGTCTGGCACTCGAAAGGGGCCTCCTAAGGTTTAGTTGCGGGGAGCTTTGAGACTGTCCTCAATTCGTATTCCCAGCATAGATGCAGCGGCGTGCATGGTTGTTTGATCCATGTCTCGGTTCACAACCAGAAACGCGTGGACAAAACGGATTCCAAGGGATTGTCTGCAATAGCGACACTATCTTTCAGCTGGGAGTTCAATGGGCCGAGATAGGTGTTGTCCAACTGCAAGACAAAGCAGCCTAGGAGGTTGAAGGTGGAAGGTGCATGTATGGGGTTGTTCCAGCTCAGACAGGGTTTCCATCCGTAGCTTGTGGTCGCCGCTTGCCCAGGAGAAAATCCATATATGCAGGGTGGTTTCCTTTCAGTGATTCCAAGGCATCTTGCACCAATCCATAACCAAGTCCAAACTTCAATCCGAGCTTCGCCGTACGGGCGGCAGTGTACACATCGTGACGAGCTGGGGGACAAATCAAGTTAGCTCTGCTCCATGGGCCAGAAATGGAAAAAAGAGGTCATCGCCCTAGCATTAACACTTACACAGCAAACTGTATACTCCAGAGAGTGACAAGCCCGCCGTCACGGTCGAGAGAAAGTCCCGCTTCTCGTGGCGAGCATAGTCCACGGTTTCCTCAAAAAGACAAAACAGGAGCGAACCAGCCCCTAGCCTAGATGCTAATTTAACACCGTCTTTCACACCGCCGACAATTGAGATATAGTTCTTCGTTTTGTGGTACTGCCACCAGCCGGTTGAGGTTGTGGGAAATCGATGTGCGTTTTCTGCTCGAAATTGAAGGCCTGTCTTCTTGCTTCCGTGAACATAACCTAGCGCCACGCCGACCGATATTCCGGACAAGGTCGCATAAGGTATACGCCTGCTGACATCAATGCCTAAACGTGGAGGGCTGTCGGATTCGAAGAGCTTGTCCCAGTGAATGAGCCTCATAAGCACAGCGCCGCGCATAGTGGGCGCGGATGATGGCGAAGAAGACTCATTTTGCGGCTGGCTGTCCTCCATGTCGGGGACTGGTGGCATTGGGAGAACAACTTGTTGAGGATGAATGATCAATCGTCTAGGTGGATCACAAGTGAGAGGGAGGTTCCATAATTCAGAGATGGGCAAGGCAGCACGAGCGGCAATAATCCGCCGTCCCGCCGCTCTCCTCTCCGCCTCCGTCACCGTCTCCAGCTGTGCAGGTCTAGTTCAACGCAAGTTTGCCAATTTCGAATACGTTCTACAATATGGTATGCTATATGCTTGCCTTTGATTTAACCCTGGATAACTTCCTCATGAACCAAGCTAACTTGCTACACGCCAGCCACCCAAAAAGACTAATCCGGACTCAAGGTCTGTGACCATCCTCTTCAAGAAGAACAAAACCACGATTCTCCTCTCCCTGCAGCCCCACGAACAGCTCCAAGCCGTGAAACGGAAGGTGCTACAAGCTCTAAAGGAGCGCGATGTCCGTGAAATCAACGGCGATATCGTCCCCGACGACCCAGCTGAGATCGAGTTCGGCATTCCGATTGACCGCAGTGATCTGGAGAAAGGATGGACACGCCTGAAGACGAATACATCAAATGAAGAGACTGGGAAGAACAGCGGCAGCGCTCTGGCAGATACAGTCTTAGATGCTGATCTTGGAAATGGAAATTGGGTGGCATTCCGCTTTGGCAAGGATATTAAACCAGAGGAAACTAAGGAGGACGAAACCGCGATGAGCCTTGATCTAGATGACCCTGGCTGGGATGTGGTTGTGCCAAGCTTTGACGATGAAGAGGAGGGACTTGAGGAGGCATAGCGGAAGCAGTCTCTGATAATATTTATCATTTTCGACAAAAGAAAAACGATTGAGGGCGAGGACTCATGGCGCGGGGAGGTCTATTTGCTATCTATGTTGATGGGGTTTCTTTTCCTTTTTCGGGATGGCGTTATGGTCACTCTAGGAACTCACGAACACGTCAATAGACTTTCAGAACAAGCATACAATTTGCTGCTCTAATTATCTAGGTCCTTAGAGTAAGGTAGATAGATGTACGAACCTCGACGGCGGACCTCGCGAGAACCAACCCAACGGCTATCCAAAGCAGCTCCTCCAATAGCCTCCTGGGAAAGGCAGTTAATGCAAGGGGTCTGCCAAAAACAATCGTGGAGCAATCCAAGTATCTTCCACACAACATCTATGGATCAAGATCTCGCTGTCATCGCAGCCAAATACCCCACACTGGTCACGGCCAAGACAAAATGGTGCGTGGTCACTAGCAAAGGGGTGCTGTGTCAATAGTCTGAAACACCCTAGTGCCGCCTTAATACTATACAGAACTGACCGCCAAGCTATAACACCACGGCGAAATAAGGACAATCACCACCTTCAACCCTGGTTGCTCGTAGCAACGGAGGATCATTTGTTGACAAATTAGATCGACGCCAGGAGCCTCTTCGGAGAATACTGCATCCCATCTCGTACCCCATACGATACACCTTGAGATCCACACATTCTTCTCTTCATTATCATCGACAACCTCAACCCCCTGCCTTCGTCGACGCAGGGTGTCGCCCAGCTTATCTGGCACGGCTACAAACACAACACGACACGACACAAACACGACAACGACACACGAAATACGACACGATACAACACGATACGACACGACACCACCACCACCATGCCCGTCTCCGATGGCGCTTCCTCAATCAATGTTGCGGTTCGAGTTCGACCCTTCACTATTCGAGAGGCAGCGCAGATCGCCAAAACCGATGACGGGCCTCTCTTTCTCGGCGATGGGTCGCTGGCTGGTGCCCCAACCCCGAAGCTCAATCAGAAAGGGATTCGCTCCATTGTCAAGGTGATTGACGACCGATGCCTGTGAGTTTCGATGCGACACCACCCCTCTCTATACACACAGGTCAATCCACTGACACTCTGTTTTTCTAGGGTATTCGATCCCCCAGAGGACAACCCCGTCCAGAAGTTCTCCAGGAGTGTCGTACCCAACGGCAAGCGAGTCAAGGACCAGACATTTGCCTTCGATCGCATTTTCGACCAAAATGCCTCTCAGGGAGAGGTATACGAATCCACCACTCGCTCTCTTCTCGACAATGTCCTCGATGGCTACAATGCCACTGTCTTCGCATATGGTGCGACTGGTTGCGGAAAGACACACACAATTACCGGTACAGCACAGCAACCCGGAATTATTTTCATGACCATGCAAGAACTATTTGAGCGAATCGACGAGCGATCTAACGAGAAGAGCACCGAAATTTCCCTCTCATACCTCGAAATCTACAACGAAACCATCCGTGACTTGCTTGTTCCCGGGGTGTCTAAGGGTGGTCTCATGCTTCGCGAAGACGTGAACCAGGCGGTTTCGGTGGCTGGGCTCTCTAGCCACCACCCTCAAAATGTACAGGAAGTCATGGATATGATTGTACGCGGCAACGAATGCCGTACTATGTCCCCAACAGAGGCGAATGCCACCTCCTCCCGATCCCACGCGGTTCTTCAGATCAATGTTGCTCAAAAGGATAGAAATGCGGACGTGAATGAGCCCACCACCATGGCTACTCTCAGTATCATTGATCTTGCGGGAAGTGAACGTGCGAGTGCGACTAAGAACAGAGGCGAACGGCTACTCGAAGGTGCCAACATCAACAAGTCTCTCCTTGCCTTGGGCAGCTGTATCAACGCCCTCTGTGATCCTCGGAAGCGCAACCACATCCCTTATCGCAATTCCAAACTCACTCGACTTCTCAAATTTGCTCTTGGCGGAAACTGCAAGACTGTGATGATTGTCTGCGTGAGTCCATCAAGCCAGCACTTTGACGAGACACAGAACACGTTGCGATATGCAAACCGAGCCAAGAACATTCAAACCAAGGTTACTCGCAATGTTTTCAATGTTAACCGACACGTCAAGGACTTCTTGGTCAAGATTGACGAACAAATGAAGATGATCACTGAGCTCAAAGCACAGCAGAAGGATGCGGAGCAGCTAGCCTTCGCCAAGTTCAAGAAACAGACTGAGAAGAAGGATGCTGTTGTACGTGAAGCTGTCGCTCGTATTCGCAATGCTTACGAGCACACTCTTCCGGAACGACAGGAGAAGACTAGCAATATGCTCAAGTTGAGACAAATCAGCCGCCGTATAGGGATCTTGTCGTCTTGGATCGCCGCTTTCGATAACGTCTGCGCTTCGCGAGATGGCGAGGAGGACTTGGTCAACCTATGGCGGATTCGAAAGACAGCGCAAGGCATCTTGCTCGAACTTGAAGACAGCCGACACCATTATAATCAGCGGTTGTCGAAGAACACCTGGGACCGAGCGATGAATTCGGCAGTTGAGAACGCGACCAAGCAATTACGAGAGTTCGAAATCAGTGACAACAGCGACTTCGCCAACCTGGACCGTGAGGCTGAGGTGTTACGGTCAAATGCAGAGCGTGAGGCCTTATCCGCGGTTGTGGATCAGGACAAGGCTGGCGAGGCAGTTGCTGTGCAGGTTCTCTTGCAGGCCCAATTTGAGTTGATGGCATCCATCGAGGATATCATGGAACTCAACGCATCCGAAGCCATCAGAAAGGGTCGCGTTATACTCACCAAGATGCTGGATAGCTGCGAAACAACAGTATCCAGCCTTGTCAAACCGGATGGTAGCCTACCTGCACTCCAGATACCCCCCCAGTCCTGTTAAGCCAGCGAGCCCCCCAAAGCCCAAGAAAAGATTCAGTATGACCAGCATGCCACCCCCCAGAACTTCTCTCGCCCCAGCTATACAACTTGCCCCGGTAGCACCGCCCTCTCCTACCAAAGGCTCTCCACGGCGCCGAAAGGCTGCTGCTGGTCGGAAGAGCGTCAGCTTCACGCCAAAGAAAACACAGGCGAAGGCTGTCAAACGATCAGTCCGCTGGAAGGATGACGAAGAAGATGGCACCCTAACGGAATGGCAGAAGACCCCTCAAAAGACTGTCGATTCTGCCGATGAAGTTAGTAGCTTCGAAGAGCCGACACTACCCCGGGGGGCGTCACCAATCCCGCGAAACATTCCACGGATATCTACTTCATCAGGCTCAACTTCACCACCGCCCGCACCCTCTGAAGAGCCCTTAAATATCCCGAAGAATAGTGGCCGCTTCAAGGCAGGGTTCTTGTCAAAGCGAGCAGGCAGCTCTCCTTTGGCACCGCCGCCTACGACGAGTCTACCTATCTCCTCAGACAACGAGAACTCTCCACTTCGAGACATTGAAGGAAGCAGCTTCCTAAACCGAGCCTCCGCGGATCGGCCATCACGAATTGCCGTCCGCAGCCCGAGCGCAACCTTTTCAAGCAGCCCAGCATCCGAGAACAAGGAATGGAAATCCGATAAGGAAGATGCTCTTCAGATCAATTCGGCCATGCGTCGCATCTCCACTTCGCACTTTGGTCCTTCGTCCAGCAATTCTCTGCGAGTCCATCGCCGCCGCAGCCCCACCTCGAATACATATGGCAGTTCCCCTAATGATGGCAACATGTTCACCGCATCCCAAGCACGCCGTATGGTCAAGAGTGATAAGGAACTCGAAGGCAAGCACCGCGTCCTGAGCCCTCACACTTTACCTGTGATGAAGAACACCGGTCGGCGCACCACCTTGGGAGGTGAAATTCGACCTCGACACGCAAGCCTCTCAGGCCGAGACGCTCTTCGTCTCAGCGCAATTGCTGCACCTCCAATAGACCGAAGCCAGGACTTCTCCTCTGTCGGTCTGCGGTAGACGATTTATTTGACGTTTCTCCGGTACTCCCCCCTGATGTATCGAAGCTCGGCATCCCATGGCGTTGGCGCAAAAGATACCATCCATTTTTTTCTTTTCTTTTCTTTCTTTTTCAAGCCGGCAGTTCTTTTTTTCGGCACGGTTACTCATGGATCTCACGGTGTTTATTTCCACTTTCTTCCTTCACTCTTGTTGTTTTATTATGCTCCCTTGATACTGGATGCGTTGCTCGCCCAGTTGTTAAGGATTCTTTATTTTTTCTTCTTTCGTTTGACATATTCTTCTCGTTGTGTACATTACTGAACTTGGAGTTACTCCAATGTGGTCTCTACTATCATTTGAATCAGTTCAGATTTATTATTATTACCATGCTGGTGTCAAAGTAGCTGTTTGTAGTGCGGGTAGGCCGGATCAACATAGCCCAATGCGGCAGTTGACAGTTTCGGCAGTTTCCCCGCTGCTTTGCTTTGTCAGATAGGATGACGCCATCTACATACCCCCGACCTACTTCAACTGAAATATTTCTCTTTCTACGCAAAGCTACAGGTAGCTCTACTAAATCCCCATTTCTCAGCGCTGGGACTCATAACCTCCGCGATCGCAGTCCTACCGACCTCGCCCCGTCGCGTCTGCTCCCACTTTCCCCCCCACTTTTATATCGAGTTCCCCACCTAGACACCAGAAATTCCAGAAATTCCACAGAAATTCCGATGCCCTCCGCTGCACCGATTGCCTCGACTCTTTTCTCACGCCTTCTCCGTCCATTCTCTACCGCTGCATCGGCCGAGTCTCAATCGCGCAACATGTCCACTCAAACCGCAACCGTAGCAGCTGGCTGCTTCTGGGGCGTCGAGCACCTCTTCCGCAAGAACTTTGGCAATGGAAAGGGACTTCTGGACGCTAAGGTCGGCTACTCCGGTGGTCAGACTAATTCGCCCTCCTACCGCGCTGTGTGCAGTGGCTCTACTGGACGTAAGTCTCCAACAAATTATTCTGCGCCGATTTCGCATAGGGTCGCGTGTCGCTATCAAAACCGAGTACTGACCTTCCACTCTTTTCGTTCAACAGACGCCGAAGCTCTTCAGATGACCTTTGATCCTTCCCTCGTCACCTATCGCCAGCTCCTTGAGTTTTTCTATCGCATGCACGATGCTTCAACCCTGAACCAACAGGGCCCCGATGTCGGCACCCAGTACCGCAGTGTCATCTTCACCCACGGCGAGGAGCAGCAACAGATCGCAGAGAGCATTACCGATAAGGTTAGCAAGGAGTGGTATAAAAAGCCTGTCTCGACCGATGTCGTACCCGCTGGTCAGTGGTGGGATGCCGAGGAGTACCACCAGCTGTATCTGAAGAATAACCCCGCCGGATATGAATGCCCTGCTCAGTAAGTGATTTTACGACCCTCATGGGAAACAACTCCGCGATTTTCATGATTTGATCGATTGCTAATCTTATCTCCAGCTTTATTCGGGACTTTCCGCCTCTTTCCGATTGACTAGGATCCAAATTTTGAGAACATATGTATATGTGGTCCCCAGTCGCTCGTGTGATGACAGAGCGCCATGAGAATAAATTCTCAAATCTGGCATGTGTCACGACTTATGTACCTTTTGATAGAATAAGGGCAACCCATTCATTAATAAGTCCTAAATTGTTTATTTCAAAGGATACTAATGTTTTCCCTTTTTTGTTTTCCTTCTTAGACATCTAAACCCCATTTCTCAGTCGTAGGCTTTCTATCTCAAGATGATGCCACCGAAAAGTCCATTGAGGCTTCTCGGACGCACCTCGCCCAATTAATTTGACTTAGATATAGCCACTGGGCAACGAGAATGCAGAAAAAGCCAGACAGTGCACCGATCCAAAGTCCCCACACTGTCCAATCCAGACCAAAGGTTAACCCGAATTGAAGAGGGAGGGCGACGATGGCGAAGATACTCGTCTGCAGATAGCTAGCATCCTCCGGTTTGCCAATGCCACCCAGAATTCCATTTGAACTCAAAACCATGCATTCAATAAAATGGGCCGCTGCACAGAGGGGCATCACTTGAGCGACTAATTCAATCACTTCGGATTCAGTCGAAAATATCTTCGCAATCGGGTATCGGAGCAAGGATAGCAATACGATATGCGCTGAAGCGATGCCAAAAGCAACAGACATCGCAACTTTGCACACTTTCCAGGCCGCATTGCCGAAGCCGAAAGCCAGCAAGTTATCAACACGGGCTCGGGTAGTAACTGACAGGGAGTATGGAGCTTGCCATACTATATTGCTCGCCGTCACAAGGATTGTTTGTGTGGCTAGAACGACTGGCCCAAGGTATGAGGAAGCGAGAGTGGTGATTCCGTAAATCAATGACTCGGCTTCAACAGTGAGCACATTGATAACAGCCAGTCGGATCATCGGGCCCCAATTTGTAAAGGCTCTGCGAGTAAACCCATTCCAACACTCGTCGTGAGATCCCCAGTAGACGTATAAAAAGAGCGTGCTCGGGAGTAAGTAGTCGGTTATCGTCAAGGCAATAGGAGCACCGATGAAGCCCAATTCGCAGTACTAGTAGGATTTGCGGTTAGCGCAGTTAGAAATGTTGTGCTTGATGAACATACCCAAACTAAGAACCAATTCAGAAACGCATTGATAGGTGCGCAGACACTCAATACATATGACGATGCCGAGTACACACCCTGGGCCTGAATGTAGCGCTTCGCCGCCTCAAAAAGTGCGTAACCGGGCGTCCCCCATGCAACGATGCGGAGGTATCGACCAGCAAGAATGGCGGTTTCTTCATTGGAGAGAATGTTGGGGAGGATCTGTTCGGCATAGCTCCAAAGAATTATGATAGGCACGGTGATGGCCAAAAGGAGATATACCATCCTTTGAAAATGGATAGCAACCAGATGAAGCATGCCAGTGTCAAATTCTTGCATACACAATGTATCAAGAGCTGCCGCAAGGCCATGGTAAATCATATATCCCGTAAAATTGGCCAGCATGCTAGCCATACTCGCAGCTCCGAGCTCGATTGTCCCAAGACGCCCCACCGCAATGATGCTTACTGTGGAGAGAGAACATTCAAGTAAAGCTGATAGAGCCAGTGGGGAAGTGTCTCGAATTAGACGTTTCGATTCGCCTCTCCATGACACCTCATCGCCATCGCCATCACCATCACCACTATGATCACCATCCGGGAAAACATCCCCTAGCGAGTCATTGTGAATCAAGGGTGTCGTCTCGTTGAATATTTGGTCGGTTGATTGTTTGACCTTGGGAGGGCTTTTTTCAGAGCAGAATATTCCACCAGCATCAGAGGGACCATACACAAGGTTGGAGGAGCTGTTGGTTGTGATTGTATATTCGTTAAATGTGTGATCGACTCTCCGCTTGCCGCCCGCACCACTCCCTTCAGCATGGAAAAAGGTTTCGTCGATCGGCAAGTGGCTTCTTTTCGATGGTGTGTATGTCCGCACGGAATCTCTATCAAAATCCGTTGGGCTCGCCATTTAGACAAAAAGAGAATTCTAGGCACCAGGTTGGAAATGGTCAAAGGTGTGTAGGAGGTTTGTCTGGTGTTGACCAGCACGAGGATGAGTTCGGCCGCTAAGGTGAGAAGCCGGAAACAAATTCAGTCTGGTGAAAGGAGGCAAGAAAAAGAGCTGGCTAAAAAAAAAACAAGCAACTTCGATTCTCACTCCCGCTGTGTCTATTTTGATTGTTGCAGGTAAGGGATCATCTACGCAAGGGAAACCTGCGTGTCTGATTGGTTCAACTGAGACTTTGCTTTTTCTTGTGCTCCTAGCTCTCCGATTTATCGATTTGAATGTGTACTGCCTGCCAGATGGTGGATCTTATGCAGTGCGACCGTAATTCGATAGCGTAATTCTTTCTGCATATCCATATTTGTATTCGGTGTATTGTACTATATTGTATCGGTCCTGCCATTTTGATCAAGTCTTCATACAATATCTAGGTTTGAATTTCGTACATTCCAACCAGAGTAGATAGTGGGGGAATTAGGCACAATTTAATGATGTCACGGAGAGTACAAACATATGGATTGAGGATGCAGGGACATTTGAACTACATAAAATACGAAGTGCCCTTGTATGTAGATATTACTCCGTACCAAATATCGTGGTTTCATCAGTGTTGACACGGCCAAAAGATGATTTAAAAATACAACAAGCAGAGCAAATAAATCGCATTGGTATCCAAATCTATCTTGAAACATGCACAAAGTAAACCATCACTAGGGATTATTCTCTCCGCGGAACTAGCCACATTAGCTTCATCCTCGGAAGCAGATAATGCATGTCCAATGGCCAGAATAAGCTAGTATCCCACGATAGCCTTCGGGGTGTATAGCTCTTCCAGGTACTTCAAGTCTTCCTTGCTCAAGAGTCCATCTTCGAACAGTTCGATGGCTTGAACTGCCTCATCGACTCTTTTGGTACTGGAAAGCCCGACAATGGGGTTCACACCCTTGGCCAGGCACCACACGATGCCGACCTGCGCCATACTGCAATTCTTTCTGCGCGCCAGCTCTTCGACACGACCGATGATAGCGATATCAATGTCCGTGGTTTTGCCGATCATCATTTCTGCAGTAATGTCATCCCCTTCCCGCACAGTCTTTTCTCCAGCCGCAGTGAAAGGTCGAGTCAGAAGGCCACGTGCCAGTGGTGACCAAGGAATAATACCGATTCCTGCGTCGCGGCAGTAGGGGAACATTTCACGCTCTTCCTCTCGATAGAGAAGCGAATGATGGTCTTGCATGCTGATAAACTTGTGCCAGCCGTTCTTCTCAGCGATATTGTTCAAGGCTTGGAACTCCCAAGTAGCCATCTGTCCCAAAAAGCGTTAATTCTCCATCTCAGGTATGTTGGATGGAAAAAAGTCACTGACCGAGCTTGCGCCAAGGTATCGAACTTTGCCGCTCTCGACAACATCATTGAGTGCTCGCATGATTTCCTCGCCGGGAGTTTCGCGGTCGAATCGATGAATCTGAAGGACATCCAGATAAGTACCTAGTCTCGCGACGCTAGCATCTACCGCATCGAATATGTGTTTGCGAGATAGTCCAACACGGTTCGCCATGACACCCTCGTTGATAGCTAGCCGGGCAATCGTTTCAAATTCCGACAAGCCATCAAGCTCTCCCGGAGCTGGAACTCCACCATAGCATTTGGAAAGAATCACAACCCGTTCACGAGGAATGTTATATGTCTTGAGTGCTTTGCCAAGGATGCGCTCAGATTCCCCGAAGGCGTAGACATCGGCCTAGACAATAATGGGTGAGCTTCTACCGGGGCAAAAGAATACAAGGTTATAGTACCGTATCCCATGTGTTGAGTCCATTGTCAAAGGCATGCTTGATAATTGGCAATGCTTGTTCTTCGGGGATCGTCCACTTGTCGACTGAACCAAACGACATGGCACCTAGAACAACTTGAGAGATCTTAAGACCGGATTTCCCAAGACTTTTTGAATATTGTTAGCAAGGTAAGTATTTGAAAAGTTGGAGACGTACTTGGTGTGCTTGATGCCCTTGTGGGCTTGATGTAGAGAAGAAAAATCCATTGCTGCTATTAGGAGGATATTCGATTGAATGATTGATTGTTCTAATGTGTGTGCTGGAAACTGAATAGGAATTCAGTGCCACTTATATATGTTTTGGAATCGCTATGATTTATATCCTCCATGTCACCAGATGCACGAGTATGTAGGCTGAGTTGAGCAAGATGGAAATGTATGGCCCGGAGTTAACTTTTGCGACCATCCGATTGGTCGGACTTTACGGATGCTCAACTCAGCATGCATTAGCGCCGCACGCACGTGGTGTCCATTGGACAACAATTAACATGGGTGGGGCACTTTCGATGGCAGTTTCTAAAGTGAAGGGTGAAACCAGTGATATGTAGTAGGACTCCATTATGATGACAATGATCTGATGTGCAAGCCCATGAAGTGGATTTGTGGGTCCGGCCAATACTTTCTTCCAGAAATGACTCCGATATCTCTCACCAAAAATAGGGCAGCTGATCGCCTCTGCTTTCATGCCACCATCGGCTTTGCTGGAAAAATCCGCCCTCCTCTCCACCAAGAACGAACCACCATTTCTTAAGAAACCAAGGTTGAGCCTCCCAGCTTCGCATATCCCAAGGTGCTCCTGATCCACTCGCGTCGTGCCTCTCCCCCCGAGTGCGAACCCCAACAAATGAGGCCACCGTTCTGGAGGTCCATGCAGAACTCGTCGGCGTTGAATACTGAGGAGCCCATAGCTACCAGGCGAATATATCTGTCGCGGAAAATGGGACACGGGAAAATATCGAGCCAAGGATGATGAGGATAGCTCAACTGTGTCTCGGTTGGTCGTAGATGTGGCTTTATCCCTTGAAACCCAGCTGAGCAAATAATCTGGTATTGGTCTTTTGCAAGAGCGCTAGGGTGGTAGAATGGTGATATCGATTTAGGATGGGTGATCTCTTCAAAAGTTAATCCAATAGATTCAGCATTTGCTCGAATTGCAGCCACGGTAGAGAATTGCTTCCAGCGGAAATTATTAGCGTAAATGTCTGGTAGTGAATGAGAATGCACCTGCATGCTGTTATTTGGAACCAGAATTTTGTCCGTCCGTGGACCAGGGATCCACGATCGATTTGAGGGACTTTCTGCACGAGCTAATGTGGTTTGTGTTGGTTGCCGATCGAGTTCATCCAGCCCAGCCTGAAGAATATCCCCGATGGTGATTTCTCCGGATTCCACTCTTGCTCGGGTAGTTTCATTGGTATGAGCAGCATATTTTGAAATTAATGCCAAAGCCTCCGATTGGCTTGAAGGGTCGAGTCTTGAGGGAGAGCGTCTAGTGTCCTGGGAAGGGCTGATTGCGGTCATAGCGCCAGGATTTGATGGCGAACATCCACTTTTTACCAATATTGCTTCGTCATGAGCCAGGTGGTTTTGAGCAGCCAGAAGCGTCTCAAGTGCTTGCATATGCTGCTTCTGCCTTTCCCCTAGCCTAGAATGAGACCTGATGCTTCAGTTGGAATGCGGGCCACATACTGTAGTTTTTCTGAGCTCGTACATTCTGCTGTCGCCGTCGGTCGCTGACGGGCCTTTTAGGCTGTAACTTGTCGGCCATTGTAACCGTCGATCTGTTCATAGGACGCCTCAAACGGATATCAGATGGATAACCACAAGGAGCATCGATAGTGAAGGTAGGTGAGAAAGGGGAGTTCAAGAGGTGTTGGACGGTGGACCGTAATTGGCCACCGCGGGGGCGGGCGGTGTCTGGTCAGCATTATCTACGTACAGCCAAGTACTACTTCAACGTCGGGATCATTGAGACCTCGAGTCAATTTGATCTGGGTGTCGGGTGGTGTTTAATCATTTGATTTTGTAGCTAAATTGCTTTTTGCAATCAACTATGTTACCGAGTTTCTGTATAGCCAACTTGAGACACAGCCTATAAAGTGAGGGTCTATGTGAGGAGGTTGTATTACATGCACAACCTTAGTTGACCAGGGCATATTTCTCCAGCGCATCATGTAACTTTCCAAATACACCTTCATGCCAAGTTTTTGCCTCTTTCCACTCATGTGCCGGCAGCGTCCCATGCATCATCCGCAACCATGCGCCAACAATGATATCGGCATAACTAGCCTGCTGCCCAAGCAAGAATGGACCCGTATTATCCTTTCGAAAAAGCTTGGCCAGTCCACCCAGTGTATCATGAAGAGATACTTTCAATTCCTCTCGTTTTTCGCCGCCTACGGTTAGATCGTCCCAAGATGCCACCCCTGAGCGTCGAACGAATTCTGCCCTCGTTTTCTCGGTCGTATCAGGATTAAATGGGAGACCATGTACCATGAGCAGAACGTGTGTGCTGAGGGCTGCGTCAACGTTCATGTTAAACCGAGCGTACTCAGCATATTCCTTTTCATTGAACTCAGACAATGGCGCAAACACCGCGAGGTCCTTCGTGTAGACATAGTCCAGCGTTTGCTGAGGGAAAAGATTCCCCGCGCCAGTTTTCGGATACACACTTTGAAGGTAGACTGCAATATCGAACGAGTCTCCGATTTTAGAGCCATGTTTTGAGTCTGTCATAACCGGTAAAGTGTGGTAATCCGTGCCATCGGCAAACTTGCGTGAGGCTGGCACGCCAAGATCACAGCGAGTTTTGGTAATATCTGGCATGTCCACCCATGTCGTTGAGTAAGAAACACCTTTGAAATTAAGTGCGTACCGGGCCTTCCAGGGATTCGGTGCGCACGGAGGACGCATGTCAATGTCGTACAACACAATAGTGGGAGAAGGGGTTGTGGCCCCCATGCTGGGTGGGTATGAAGAGTAGACGTTGATCTCGGTGATTCAATTGGTCAAACGGCATGCGTTTGAAACACGCAAGGCACACGGTGATTCAAAATATTTTTTTTTAAAAAAATATGAGAATGTGCCTTCAACTGCTGGCAAGCCAAGGCGATGGTGGCGGCCCCTCGCTCACACACCGCTTTTCAGCTCTCTCAGGGAGCAGGGTTACCGCCCATAATATTTCCCTAATCATAGAGAGATTTTTAGGGTTCAGATAATCTGAAATGACTGGCTTTCCAAGGCCATTCCATTATGGCTGTTTCTGATATTGCAAATTGAAATTAGGACTTTACTGGAGCTCCACAAGTGATCAGAGTCCAACGTGATCCCGGTCGTTGGAATCGTCAGAACAAGGATATTTCAGACCAATCACATTGAGACAAAAATGGTTATAAAGAATAAGATCGTGTATTGTGATACAGTATCTACTCATCACCTTGAATCTGTATCGTAATTTCCAATCTTTGCCTTCATTAACGGGGAGAGAAGAATATCAGGATATACCCAATAATGAAGATTTCACCATGGTGAGAACATGGATACGAACATAAAAGTGTAACTCAGCACGTATCCACTCGATCAGCCACCAAGCCACTGAATGGATTCAAAGAAGGCTCGGGAGTCTCCGGTGAATGTCGATCTAGTGGATCCGAAGTCATTATCAGTGGGGATCATATTGGATCTACACCATCGTCACGGCCTAGTGTTTGAAGTCCGTCTATAATGAGGTCCGGCAACTCCAAATGAGCTGCGGGTCTTGTCGGTGGAGGAATGCTTTGTTAGCAAGCTCATATGCCTAAAGGTAAATGTTCCATTTACTAGTATTGTTCACAGATCTCGTCGACTGGGTCATTAGATGATGAAAGAGTTCAATTGGATCATTATCAGATTTCGTATTAGTATGAAAATTTTTAAAAGCAAGTCTATCGGAAGGGTATGTGCAAATTCTAAGTCTAGCACTTAATCACGAACCACCAGGCCGTAGAATGAGACGGCTGTCGGAATCAAAACGCCCCAGAAAATAGCCTGCATAGTACCTCCATCGTCCCATCCGGCTTTTGAAGCCGTCATTCGCCCGAGGGTTCCACCAACGATGCCCATCCAGACGACGAAGAATCCAAGATCGTTCCATCTTTTCCAAGCTTGTCCGCGCTTGGTCATCTCGCTAGTCGATCGCATGGAGGTTCCCCATCCGTCTTGGAAAACGGTTATCAAACTCCAAAGATGGATCATCGGGAGAGGAATATTGTAGAACAGAAGACCGGGAACTATCCAAATCCACGAGTTCTTGGGGCCACGGTCTGGGTTGCGGCAATAATTATAGATGAGAGTATAAGCAATGCGAATACCGACATCGTACCAGTTGAAGTAGGCAAAGCATTCTCCTGTGATCAGATAGTAGAGAATATAGGCGAGTCCCAGGAGAGGTCCGGCCTCCCGCTTGACAGCAGCCCAGAAAAAGAGTGGGTTGGTAATAAGATAGAGCTTGGGTTGTTGGAAGGATTCAATGTGACCGGCTCGGCTCCAGCGGACCTGCTGCATGATCCAGCGACTCAATGTGGTTGGGGTATCTGTTGCTGCCAATGTATCAGACGCGTAGGTCACGGTCCATCCTCGCATGAGAAGGTTTGTGGTGAGGTGGCGATCCTCGTTGACAATCTAATTCACGATGTTAGAAAATTGCATGTAAGTGACGAGAAACAGGAAAGCATACCATTCGATGGCCCAGGACAGTTTGAGTGTACCAAGGGTACAGAACCGCAGACAGAGCGGAAACACGGAAAGCCGTGCTGGGACCACTTTGACAATCGCTAGTACCGGAAAGTGTTGAAACAGAGCGCGTCATGTATAGCTCAGACCAGTACACAACGCTACCAAGCTTGGTGCAGATAGAATCATCCTCATTATGGACAATCAGACCAGAGCTACCGCCACCAACATGCGGATCTCCAGCGATAGTATCGATGGTACATCTCAGTGAGTCGGGTAACACAATTGTGTCAGAGTCAGAGGACCACATGTATTCGATTCCCAGCATCTCAGAAATGACGATGGAAAAAATGAATGAAGTGAACATAATGCCCTTCTTGTGCAAGTGTGGCTGGTAGAGACATAGCTTTGTCACACCACCATGTTGGCCAAGCTTGAAATCATGCTCTGCGAGGATTTCTCTGGCAAGTTGACAGCAATGAGCGATGGTAGCTTCCATGTAGGCCTCCGGGGCCCGCGAGTTTCCATCGATGGTGGATGTCTTCTCGTAAGTATGCATGGCGACCTCTCCAAAGGGCTCGTCAATGTGAATGACCGCCGAATCTTCTGGGAAGACCTGTAATCGATTAGTATGGAAAGTTCAGTCTCGTTTATTTTTCTACTTACCTGTTGAAAAACTCGGATCATTTCCATGTCGGGTACATCCTCTCCATCGACTCCCACAAGTACTAATCGACACTCGGGGATATTTTTGTAACTTTCTAAAGCTCTAGCAAATAGCTCAGGGTTTTCACGGTAGCCCACAATAGTGGCCATGCATTCTGCACCTTCATTCACCTTGGGTGACGAAATGCTAGCCTTTTCTAGGTCTTGGCCCTTCTGCGGAAGATCCTGCAGCTTTTGCCGACGACCCTCATTCATGAAGCGATTAAACTCCGCCGAGAATATTGTCAAGAGGATATCAAGCGTCAAAGGATGGCGCGCGTAGCCCGTGATGACCGAGTAAATAGGAAGTACAATTAGACATCCTAATAAATTAAGGATTTGTCGTAAACGAGAGACTTCTGGCCCTCTCTCATGAAACGAGGAGAGGCGAGGATACAACTTTTCACTAAAGGAATCCATGGTGATGGTTTAACGAAAGTCGATACAGAAAAACACACTTGCCGACTCACTCACGTACCCCGTTAGCTACCCAAGTGCTGGTGGGGTTAGGAGAGAGAGAGAGAGTGCGAGTGCGTGGTTATGTGTGCAAGTCAATATTTTGGATAATGAAATTTCCCTCCAATACCGAGAAGATAAATCTCGAGATGGTAATCAAGGAACGAATGAGGATAAAAATAGCGAAAACGAATGTGGTGAGAAAAACGAATGTAAATAAAATTTTAAGGCGTCCATGGAAGTACGGCACCCCTCCAATCTTTTTAGGGCCCAGGGTCAAGCGGCTGAGTAAATTCTTCTCTCACGCCAGCACACACCGTCTAGTTAGCATCGCGTTAGTTCCATTTATTCTTCAGGGGCTTGTGATTTAAATTTCCCGGTCAGGCCGGCCAGGCAGTGAGACCTTGCTCGTGTTTTCGGAAGGAAGAAGCACGACCGGCGAATGAGCGTGCAGAAAAAGGAGCCGCATGGCTCGGTTCCGGTCCGCTCCAACCTGAAAAGTGAGATCTTGGCTCGGAGATGTCTTCTAGGGCTGGCTAGGCTGGCTAGGCTGGCTAGTGGCTACCCAGACCCTCGGTAGTCGAGAAAACCTCGTGAGACAGTGGAGGCTTAGTGGGGTTGTGTTGCAGCTTTACAGGGGCAATCCCCGTTTAGCCGATCCTTGGCGAGTTGCTAAGATCTGAGATACTCCGAAACTAAAGAGAAAAAAAGGAGGGGCTCATCTTTTTTATCTTGGAATCTCCATTCTTCTGTGAGGAACACGCTGCCAGCATGTTCCGCGCATTCTATAGAGACAACCGTATGGTCCCATTGGGGATCATGCTGTTGACCTTTATTATTTTTGTCTATCATTTCGAACTCGACCGCCAGGGTCCACTGGGAGAGATCCCCGCTGCAGCCATTCCAGACAAGCTTGTCATCGATACCCCACGAACACATTCCAACCCGATCGTGGAAATCGTGGACTCTGTGGACGAAACTGCTGAGCAGTTGTCGCACCCTGCCATTCCTTCTGCAATCCCTTCTAAACCGAAAGCGCCCTCCAGCAGCAGCAGCAACAGCAAAAGCACCAGCCATTCTTTACATTTACCCAAAGCCGTCACCGCTGACGATGTCATCCTTATGTTCAAAACTGGCGCCACAGTCTTGTGGAAGCGAGTCCCCATTCATTTAGCTACCAGCCTTTCTCCTAATCGCATCAACCATGATAATGTCCTTCTTTACTCCGACTATCCCGAAACCATCGGCGATTGGGATATCATCGATGTCCTCGCCAACACATCCGATTCAATGCGCAGTTCGGAGAACTTCAAGCCATATCTTCAACAAGAAGATTATGAATCGCGCCAAAACTACGCCGAGATGTCCAATGTCCCTGGTGATGCTGCTGGGCCTGCGGGTGGCTGGAAACTCGACAAATACAAATTCCTACCGATTGTTCAACACGCCGGGGTGAACAAACCCGATGCAAAGTGGTACATCTTTATGGAAGATGACTCGTACATTTTCCTCCCCAATCTGCTCCGTCATTTGGAACGCTTCGATTACAAGGACTCTTGGTACCTGGGAAGCCTGGCCTGGATCCACGGCGACTATTTCGCCCACGGTGGTTCCGGTTTTGCCCTCTCCAGGGGGGCATGGGAACAGAGCTTTGGAAAGGATCCTAAAATTGTGGAGAAATTCCAGGTTTTCACCGAAGAGCATGGCTGCGGAGACCACATCCTTGGGCATGTTCTCAAGGAGTATGGCGTGCAGTTTGGCGAGACCTATGATGAAGCCCGTTTCCGATATGGGTTCAATCCTGAATCGCACTGGTCTACATGGTTTGAACAGGCCAATTGGTGTTCGCCGGTCTATAGCTGGCACCATACCCACGGAAAAGACGTGGCCCGGTTCTACAACCTCGAGCGATCCTGGGACTTTGAACAGGTACGCTATCTATTGACCTTTCCCCCCCGAGTGATAACTCAGACGCTAACATCTAATAGGGTCCTTTGAGATTCCGTGACGTTTTCAAGGCGCTGGTCGCCCCCTACCTTCATTCGCGAGTGGAATGGTGGGACAACTGGTCCTCGAAGTATGAGATCCGGTCAAACAACGCCAAAGATGCCGAGCCTCCAAGTTCGGTCAAGGGAACAGATGTTTGGCGTAGTGCCTGGGAATCAGTAGATTCCTGTGAGGCGGCCTGTAAATCTTGGGCCGAGTGCATGCAGTGGTCTTTCTACGAGGATCGCTGCAAGATGGATAGTATGGTTTTGCTGGGTAGTGGGATTCCTGAGGGCGACTCCCGCCGCCAAACCACCTTGCCCTGGGTAAGTGGATGGCTGTCTGAACGAGTCGAGAACTGGGAGTGCCAAGGATAGAATCGTACGATATACAGAGTACGAAGTAGAGTGCACATAGTGGCTATGACTAAATCATAATATTTCTCCTTCTTCAAATCAGGATTTGATCAGTATTCAAGACAAAAGTCAAAAATTCAAGACAGATGGATCCTCGATATAGCCCGGATGGGTGCATATGGGGCAGTGGCTTTGTAGATCCCGCAAGCTTGCGAGGCTCTAAATTTATCTCCCCACTATACGCGGAGTAAGACCGGTGTGACTCTCGAGAAGCTGAAAATTTATTTTCGCCTTCATGGCTATGTACTCCGTACTGTCTCAGAAATCATTGGCCTAGTGGGTCAGTCAGCTGTGCAGGGTTTGAAGAGTTGCAATCCACCCCGCTCAGACATACGCTAGGCCTCCCACGGATTGCTAACCCCATCTAGACATCCTCTTTTTTTGGGGGGGGAGAGTTGTTTTTCATCACTTCTCTCTCTTCTCCGTTTGGAGATGAGGACAATGGATCGCACTACCTGGCTCGATGGCCTTCGAGGCATCGCAGCGGCCATCGTCGCTACAGATCACTACTTCATGGGCGGCGTGCTTGACTCTGCCTTTCTATCCTTCTGGGCTGACCCGCCGGAGGAAAATCGCCGTTTAATTCAACTGCCTCCCATTCGCCTCCTTTTCGCCGCACATGCAATGGTGCCACTTTTCCTAGTAATTTCGGGATATGCCATATCTATCAATCTTCTCAGATTGCGGAAAAGCAGCCCTGCCGACTTTGTACGCCGGTTGTCTTCCGCTGTCACCCGACGCATTTTTCGCATCTACCTACCCGTCTTTGTTATCAGTGTGATTTCACAATTACTTTACCTTTTTAATATTTACAACTGGACCTTCGGCGATGATGCTCTATGGGGTCGGAAGCCCTGGACTGCGCCATGGCTGCACATCACATTTGTCTTTCGCTACATGATTGACAACATGAATATCATCAACTTTCAGGCAAACCCAGGCCTCAATGGCCAGCTTTGGACCATGCCTTTTGAGTTCCGAGGGTCTTTGGTTGTCTATATCACGGTCCTAGGACTGGCCTTCTGGCGTCCGCAGATGAGACGTATTGCGATTGCATCGCTGGCCGCATATTGGTTCTACTTTGGACAGTGGGACCTATTTGCTTTCCTGGCCGGTCTCTATCTTGCCGAAATGCGCATTTTGTCCTCGATTTCAACAGAGGACGAGACCAGTTTGCCTTTATACAACGAGAAACTCTGGGCATCGATCCACTTCAAGGGGATCAATCTTGCCATGATCCAAACATTCTTTTGTTTTACATTTGGTTTTTGGCTGGTTTGTCTTAGTGACGATGGCTTTTTGCCACCAGGGTATCAATTCCTCAGTTTCTTCGAGTCGTCTCGCTGGGAGGGTGACTGGGCGATAGTGAGCAAAACCTGGAAAACTACAGGCTCATTGCTGGTCGTTTACGGGATAAGCAGATCCCCAGCTCTTCAACGGCCGTTGGATTCTCGTCCTATTCAATACTTGGGCAAGATCTCGTTCTCTCTTTATTTGGTCCACCAGTCTGTGTACCATCTTGTGCGTGACCCCGTCTTGGGCTTTCTGTGGTATGTGGCTACGAGAGAGTCATATCCCGGAACCCCGGAGGCGAGTAAATACACGGTTCCCTTTGCATTTTCGTGGATTGTCGGGTTCGCTATAATTTCTGTTATCAATTTGTACGTCTCGAGTTTATTCACAAAGTTCGTCGATGAACGATGTGTACAGATTGCCAAAAGGTTTGATGGTTGGCTTACACGATAGACTGTTACGATTTTGATATACTTTTAATCTAAAAGAATTCTTCTCATATGTTCAAAAGTGATGTTTCTCCTTTATTATTCCTAAAATGATGGATACCATGAATAGATTCTTTCCGTGGATGAAAAATGTGTTTGGTCGGTCTGGACAACCAGGACCAAACCACACGGGAATATATAGCAGCGCAGTTAAAACTCAATAAAGATATGGGGGCAATGATGCTTTCTTACTGGGATGAATTGACCGAATTGAGCACTCGGGTGGTTATGTTACCATAATAGCATATCGAGCGGTTCTTTAAGAACAGCATCTACTAATTTCGAGCCCGAATAAGATGTGAATCCACAACATCGAAGGTCATTAACTTGGATAATCCAGGAGAAAGGCAGGATCTTAAGGCTTTCAGCAGAATAAATTTCAGAACTTCGATCATAACCCAGTTTTTCTCGCGAGGGCGAGAGTATACTACCAAATCCCCTCAAAGTCGGTTGACTATGAGAATTGTTCGATCAGCCTTCTCTAGGTGCGGACATCATTACTCAACCAGATCCAGACGCCAATTTGATCAAGCCACATCTATGAATGACAGCCGCTGGCTAGTCCGGATCTCAACCTGGCAGGCAAAGTTGAAAGGCCCCAAACCCCCAACTTACAATTTCAGAGAAAGAATAGCAACAAAGATCGCAGTAGAAAACCGATAAAGGAAAACCTTAATTCCAAGAAGTAGCCTCATTTATCTACTCAAGATCTGTTGCTAGGTTGAGAATATCATTCGCAGCGATTCGCAGCAGAGAGCTATGTTGTTAATAGGCAAGCCGGGGCGATCTCACTATAATATCGTCTGCTCATTGGCGTCTTCTGCTCAGTCCCGTCTGCCGTCAGCGATCACGGAGTGGTTTTTACTAGGAAAAATTTGTATCTCGGTATTAGTGCTCAATGAACAGGGAATATTAAGAAGCAGCTTCGATTTGAGGGTAATCAAGCCGCCGAGAAAGAATACATCAGTGTCGCCAAAGCCCTTCCAGGGCATGAGATGAAATCAAACAGAACCCAATTGAGAGTTTCGAAATGCCCAGTTGCTACAGATGAAGGAAAGTACTTTCTGAGGCCTACAATTGAATGACTTCTCTGTGTACGGCAGATTCTTCTAGATAATGTTAGCGGTACCCTAGGGTAGTCATAAGCAGTTTTCGAATATTGCACTGAGAAGGCTACCAGCGGGGGAAATCATCCTCTCATAATCTTTGCTTGAATACTTATTGTCTGAAGGAAGATGATCTGAATACTCCGTACATGTACGAAGTCCGAGAAATTTGAAATCTCGGCACTCACTTACCGAGACGAACGTCTCCCCGACGAATAACTAGTCAGCTGACTCTCATTAATTTCAGAGGGCGCGATGATAGCAAATAACTCTGTGAGATCCATTCATTTGCTATCTTGACCGCCACTTATTCCACGGTATCTTTAATCACTCGATAGCAGCCAATAGATTAGATGGTTTCAGGTAAGATGGTGATATTCATGACACTCCTTGAAAGCCTACTTGTTCGCCAATTAAGATGGCGCGGGCTTCATTTCCACCAACTAGCGTGTTAGCCTGCATGTGGATAAGCAATCACACCGTACGATACCCCGTACAAAGTGGTGTGGGTTGTACAATTCGTGGGGCGCGTGCAACTGCAGCGCCATTCTGTCTGACGCGTCTGTCTAGAATTACTGCAGGTGGCACAGATCCAATTTCTGCTTTCATGTGCATGCATATGTACGGAGTACATACTCTACAGACATGCTATATGCTGTATGCTGTACACGCATACACACGGTCTGTATGCAGGTCCAATTTTGATGAATACGTATGCCATGCATACAATTGATACTTACATCATACGTGCTCTCCTCTTTTCTCTGTACAGATAGTTCCCACCCCCTCCTTTCTTCCCTTACCTCTAGGTGACACATTCCGGGGCTCGGACATAAACAGCCACCGATGTAAACAAAAATCGAGAGTTCACATTTCTTCCAGAAGGAATGTGGTTGCCGCGCAAAAAGAGCTAATCTTGGCTCTAACTATGGTTCTATTGATGGCACCTGACCCTGGGCAACAATCTGCAAAGTACGGAGTATAGAGTAACTGGCTTGGACCCCCTGACTTTTGGCCCCCCGAAGGAGCAAAGTCAAAGAAAAGCAGAGCTGTTGCTCCCCAAGCGATCAGCGGCGCAGCTCCGGGTGGATGCGCGACCGTAGGCGCCCAGTGGTCAGTTGGACAGGACAAGGTTCCGTTGCACTGGATCGGCAGCTGCTCGTTCCTGAGCTGGATTTCTGTTGCTCGGGGGCAGCAGTCGATCTCCAGGGCCGAGCACGTTGGGGAGGTATTCACACCCTTGCAATGCTTGGCCGAGCCTGAGGGTACTTGGCTGATGCTGGGCAATACTGGGCAATACTGGGCAAGGTCCTTACGCGATCTGGGCTAATTGGCGCCCAGAATGAGGAGCTTGGAAATTACCTACGGGTAAGGCTCCGGGACCTTCAATGAAAGGAAATTGGGAAATACATCAGGGAAGAAGCTAGGCGAGTGTAGCCTGGTCGGTTAGCGCCGTGGAGAGCTCCGGAGGGGAAAGGGGGGGCGAACGACCGTGGCGAACTTGGTCGGGTGTGGGCGACCTACCAGAGAACGCATGAATAGCCAGGGTATTTAATGTATTAATGGTTCCGGTCAGGCAGAGAAATTCGCTTGGATCGGATTATATGGAGCACAGAGTACCCATGGGGTTCATCCGAGGGTGGAGAAGGACAAGACTGAATTTTTCGATGATGTCTGTACGGAGTACATAATCTTGATGGTAGGGTACTCCGTACTACTCGCCTCAATGGTTATCGGCACAAACACCTGGGGTGGAAAATGTCTCAAGTGGCGTCCAGTGGGAGCACGGGCATGGGTCGGGTTCGGTCATAGGAGATGGGAACCTTGATGTGTGATACTGATATTGTACTGATATTGTACTGATATTGTACTGACATTGTACTAATACTGATACTATTGAATTTCAATATTCGTCTCATTTGCAGGGTACGAGGGTACGAGTAAGAGTATCTATAATTGAGAATCAGGGTCCAACCTAATATTTCAGTCCAAGTACTCCGTACGAGTACTCTTGAATACTCTTGAGTGTAGTTGAATACTCTGTACTCGTACTATATCCGTACCGTACATGTACCCAAATGACACTCGCACAGACTCCGTGGACCGGTGGAGCAGCCAATGTCAATGGTCTGCACTTTCCAAGTCCAATCCATCTTCTTGGCCCACTTCCCAAGGGTTATCCCTAACTGTCATTGGCTACTGTGATAAGGGTTTTCCCTTTGAGGTTAGCATCACCCGCAATGAATCCCTGGTTGTTTACCAGGGCTCTCAGGTCACCAGTGAAGGCCCTGGTAATCCCATTACCATCTCCTACTAAAGCAGATGCTCCCCCTCCCAGGGGCGAAGATCTTCTTTTCTTTCTTCCCTCAACGCCAATACAGTTTTGTGCTGTCCTTCGTTCGTCTTCTTTTCTCTTTCGTTTTCCCACTTTTCACTTCATCCCACAGTTCGCTCGTTTGTCTGTGGTGTTTATTCGAAATCCGCCAACTCCCCTCCCCCCCTTTCATTGTACATTCTGTGGTTTCATTGAAACGCACATACCCACCTGCCACATACCCAAACCAAACCGAAGTACATAAAATAATCTAAGACAATGGTCCGTTTCGTGACCTCTCTCCTGGCCCTGTCGGCTACCGCCTGGGCTGCTTCTTCCTGCAGTGCCAGCAGCCAGTGCCCCAAGGACAAGCCTTGCTGCTCTCGTGAGTACCATACAATACCCGATCCGCCTATGTTCAATCGCATTCACATTCGCTGACCTTCTTTTCGCGATACAGAATATGGCGAGTGTGGAACTGGCGCATACTGTCTGGGTGGTTGCGACCCCCAGGCTTCCTTCTCCGTGGGCTCTTGTGCCCCCATGCCCGTCTGTGAGAGCAAGAGCTACAAGTGGGACGACCTCGACGACACCATCCTGAACACCAAGTATCTGGGTAACGCAACCAAGTCCGACTGGACCTACAGCGGTTTCCCCAAGATCGACGATGGCAACCTGGTCATGACCATGCCCAAGAACAGTGTCGGTACCCTCTTCGCCAACAACCACTATATCTGGTACGGCAAGATCTCCGGCAAGATCAAGTCCAGCCGTGGAAAGGGTGTTGTCACTGCTTTCATCCTGCTTTCCGACGTCAAGGACGAGATCGACTACGAGTGGGTTGGTGCCGACCTGACTGATGTGCAGACCAACTACTACTGGCAGGGTGTTCTGGACTGGCACAACAGCGGCAACGCCTCCATTGACGGCGCCGACACCTTTGACACCTGGCACACCTACGAGATCGACTGGCAACCCGAGCAGACCCAGTGGATCGTTGACGGCGATGTCAAGCGCACCCTGAAGAAGTCCGACACCTGGAACGAGACCGCCAACCGCTACCAGTACCCCCAGACCCCCGCCCGCCTGCAGATGTCTCTCTGGCCCGCTGGCCAAGCCAGCAATGCTCAGGGTACCATTGACTGGGCTGGTGGTGAGATCGACTGGGACTCCGAGGACATCAAGGACAAGGGTTACTACTACGCTAGCATCGCCGAGGTCGACGTTGAGTGCTACGATCCTCCCTCCGAGGCCAAGAAGTCCGGCAACACCTCCTACATCTATACCAGCGATTCCGCCATGGAGGCTGATATCGCTATCACCGGCAACGACACCGTCCTGGGCTCCCTGGGTGCCACTGGTCTCGACATGGACCTTGGTGCCGGTAGCAGCAGCACTGCCACCGCTTCTGGCAGTGACAGCGTCCCTAGCAGCAACGGTGGTGGCTCTGGCGGTATGTCCGGCAACAGCTCCACCAGCAGCAGCAGCAGCAGCAGTGGCAGTGGTAGCGGTAGCTCAACCACCAGTGGCGGCGGTGCCGCTGCTACCACCACTGGCTTCAGCCAGGGTGGTGATGGCAACGGTGCCACCACTGTGAACGAGCGTGCCCTGAGTGGATCGCTCTTCGCTGTCCTGGTTGCTGTTGTCGTTCTGGTGACGCTGTAAATTTACCCATCGGGTCAAAGTTCTTGCTTCTCTCTCTTTTGCATATCGAGTGTATCTTTTTCCTTCTCCTGCATGTCCTTTTGCGTGCCCCGCTTCTCGACTTGTCCCTTTTTGAACAAACCTAATGAACACCATCTTTGGCACTCTTGCCTTGTTCTTTTTCCTTTTCATTTTCATTTCTGACTCTGTCTCATGGCTTGATCCCATATATGTCCCCACTTTATATCCTTATGTCCTTCTGAATACCTCGGCGTTCTTCCCGTCCACGGTCACGCTGTTTGATTATGTTCCTGCTGATGTACTTCTACTCCCCCAATCGGGGATTTCCTGCACATGTTTGGAAAAATGTCTTTCCACAGGCGGGATTCGTATATCCCGTCCTGGGTCTGTGATAATGGGTGGTCTTAACTCAATTCAATATCTTTCGTTAACTCCGCTCTTCCCCTACTACCGGTAGATCGTACACTAGTCCAAACTTTGCAATCCCTGCCCCTTTTCATATACGGAGTATACTCGACCTACATACTCCACCCCCGTAGAGCAGACGTTCAGTCAAGCTACTTGATATGCAGGGGTATTGCCTGGTGTGGATTTCTGCACGGGAAGGGTTCGTCTGGTTGGATGTTGTGGCATTGCCCCTGCAGGATCATCCCAGCTCCACTGTTTCACCCGTCTCTCGTATTCTAACATCCACGTGGGGGCCATTGCGGAGAGGGAATGCTGATGGATCTCGTGTAACATCTATGGGGTACTCGGTACGGATCTCGTACTCTGTACCTGTATTCTGGGGTTGTGATATCGGCGACGCCAGAGTATTTCTCCAAGCACTGTGCCTTACCCAGATAGTATACCAGTATCATATCATTCGCTTAATATTGGTGATCTATCCTGCTAGCAACACACTACCTACTGCTTAGAACTTCACAGAACAAAGTCTTGTTCTCAATCGGCCTGGGCAGCTTCGGTCTAGAGACGGAAGTAGGGGCAGCAGTAATATCCCACTGATCGAAGTTGGAGGTGTGCGAGCTTTGTACCATTGCAGGGTCGAGTGAACAGAATGATACTCCAAACTAGGTCCACATAGAAGATAGCTCGCTCATACTACTACCTAAGCAACAAAAAAATGAGCCCCTAAGTTGAAGTGTCTAGCATACCAAATGACTCCAGGAACCAGAAAAAAGATGATATGCGTACCGTGGTAGCTGATAGCTCATGAGAAGGGAAGTTCTATGCCTTGTCAAGATGTATAGTGTCCATGGATGACTGAGCCAACCCGCTCTAATGCAAGTCCAAAGTCTCTAATGATTGAACTATATTGATGGTGGAAGGTTTAACATAGATAAGAAAATCAAAACCAAGCGTTGCGTATTATTGTTCACGGTGTATGTATGTGGATTTGTTTGACAAACCGCCTACAAACCAGCCTAGGTTTGATACCAGTACTGCCTTCCCTTCTGTGAAACCTCATAAAGGTCCCAGAAAATATGAATCTTTGAGTATGCAGGATCAAACTAATGATATCCGCTATTTTGTGACATTCATGTGCGGAAGCTTTTAATCGGAGACTGCACCTTTGTGACTTATTGGTGAATACTGAGGTGAACTCTTTCCATGAAGTAATTTAGACAATCTCAGGTACAGCATTGCAGAAAGTTCCGTAACAGAATAGTCCCAATACAATCATTTCTCAATGCTTATAAGCTATTCATCTACTCTTCGCCATCAACACACAGTGCATAATCAAGCTTCCGTATCTCTAGATCAGCCGTCTCCGCGACGAAGCAACGATTATCTGCTCTCTTGACTCCTCTGAAAACTACTAGCAGTAAGTGTTTCTAAATACAGCAAAATCATCGATGTATACCGTGACCCACACCCAGCCTCCGGTGGATAGCATCTAACGAATTTAGAATCATGTGTTTTTACAAAGGCTATACATACACGTGCCAGCACACCTGCTTTAAAATCCACCTCTTCTGCCCCCAAACTCTACGCCAACTAAACCGCATCAATGATCCCGTCGAGCGAGAAGCCTACGATCTGCCATTTGACCCTAACATCCCCGGTTGCAACCCACGGTATATAAAGGATACTAGGACGGGGCGGCCAGTCACAAGTTTCTCTCTTAGTAGGGGTAAACCACTGGAGATGACGAACATTGATTCTTGGCATTTCAATATTGAAGAAGCCTGTCCTTCTTGCAAGGATCATCGGGGCAGTTGGGTCCATTAGTATTGGCATCGCTGGAGCTATCACTAGGTCTAGTATGACTTGGCTTGGTTCAAGTGGGTGAGACCGTGCTAAGATGGGTAAATGGGATTGGTAGGCAGAGCAGTAACTACCTGGTTTCCATGGGTACTTCTTTTTCCTCTGGTGCACTATGCGTAGAGCTATCTGGAAATACAAACCTCGTTACGTAGTTCATTGAAATCAATATTGTGATCCTTGTACATCGCCCCAGCTCTGAAAGTCTAGCTCTGACTCAAGAGGGGAAAAAACCATATAAATGGAGCTGACAATATCCAATGTGTAATCAGGTTGAGAATTTTGATGCTACTAACACAGGAGTTGTATTCGTGTTGTTTACTATTCCCATGGCTACTACTTACTGCTACTACTTGTTGTTACATAGCAGAGAACCATATTTTTAATAAATGTTCATTGTATATCGAGAATATTCCAAGTAGATCGAATGCACCGCCCAAAACGCCAGTTGTAACAATAAAAACCCGAAAGCCCAAAAGCAAAGACTCATTCCTAGTGAAGTCCACCACACCCGCAATCATCTAAAGATCGCTTCTTGAATTCGTGGTGGTACGTGTCCAGCCCATCGGTCTCCTCATCGGAGCCGAGAGGATCACCCATCCAACTATATTTCTCCAGATCAGGGGACTCCTCTGCCTCTGTGGTCCAATAGGCAGAAGACCGGAGTTTCTTGGTGACGGCACCGACATCGAGATCAAGATAATCTGCGAGGAATTGACCGACTTCAATGTTCTCATGGTTACCTGTTAATGGCCAGGCATTCTTGGAGGAGGATGCATAGATGTTGACATCGGCAGCTGGGGAAGTTGAATGTTAGCACATGGGTCTTTCCCAAGCCTCAAACCGGGACTATTTGCTTACCTGAGTGACCGTGGGTGGACCAGCCAATCTGGGCTCTACGGCTAATGATGTCTGCAAAGATGTATTGCGTGGAAACGTCAGGGTGGAGCAAGTGTTCTACCTCTTCATCTGAGGCATCAGTCACGCCCAGGTCCGTCTTCAGAATGTCGAGGATATATTCTTTCTTCTTCTTGTCGCTCTTGTCCTTTCCTTTTCCTGATGTGTACTCGTTGAGTTTATTACCAGCATACTCACTGGAGTGCTTGGAATCAGCCAGAACCTGCGGGTACCATAGGTAGTCCGGGTAGTCCTTGTTGAGTTGTCGAGCAGCAGCCAGACCGCCAGTTTCGTGGTCAGAGGTACCGACAAGAACACCAGGTGTACTGTCCTTCTCCAGGAATTCGAGCACAGCGTTGAAAGCCCTGTCATATGCCATAACCTCATGCACTTGAGCAGCAGGGTCATTACCGTGGCCGGCGTGATCAATACGCGATCCCTCAATCATCAAGAAGAACCCTTGCTCACTGTCCCGGGTTGCCTCGCTCAGTGCAGTCAGCGCAGTGCGGGCCATCTCCTCCAACGATGGGTAGACATCGTTCTGGTGACGGCGATCGACCTCATAGGGGATGTCCTTTTCGGCAAAGAGACCCATCAACGGCAGCTTAACTCCAGCACCGCCATTCAGGGCATCAAAGCTAGCTCGGTCGTCCAAGTAGTTGAATCCTTTCTCCGCGGCCAGTCCCACGATATCCCTGTCATCAGCGCGGCAGCTTCCCTCGGTAGAGTTGGGCAAGAAATGGCATCGGCCGCCGCCCATCAATAGATCGACTACCCGGCCCAGAGGATGCTCGCCCACCTCCTGTTGGGCGATGCTGTCTTCGTATTGTCGCAGATTGGCATGCGAAGCAAAGCAGGCCGGAGTCGCATCCGTCAGACGAGTCGTCACAACCAATCCAGTCTTGTATCCAGCCAGAGCAGCAGCCTCGAGGACAGTTCCGCATGGAGAGTGGTCGGGGAGCACCGAGATGGCTCCATTGTAGCTCTTGTGTCCGCACGAGAAGGCCGTCGCTCCGGCGGCGGAATCCGTTACCAGGCTGTTGCTGGATCGTGTGCGGGACTGACCAATGAGGTGCTGGTCCAGGATGAGGGTATCGTCGATAGGCAGGCCTTCGGTATGCTGTCGGAAGCTTCGCGTCATCGAAAGACTAGTCGGTCCCATTCCATCCGACACCATGAAGATCAAGTTGCGCTTGCCGGTCGGCTTTGCACCAGGACCCCAGTGATCCTTCGGCGGGCCGGCGTGGTTCTTCGACGAGTCATGCTGGTAAACTACCGCAAGTATGATCACAATAATTGTGGCGATTAGTGCCCAGGCAAAGAGACCGATCTCTGTCCAACGGCGCCAGCCTCGTCGAGGGACTTCATTATGCCCTGTCGCCTCCCCCGTAAGCAGGGCATCTTCCTCCTCGGCATATCGAATAGATGAGCGCTCAGATGAAACGCGCGGAGCCAGAAGTGGCTCTTCCCGCGACATTATGATTGATGATAAAGTCGTCAAGAGCTCAGGCACAGCTCTAAACTCCCTGATGGTTCCCCGACAAGTGTGGAGTAGTCGAGGACCGGGCGAGGGGGACCCTTGATTATCACGTGATCTTGGATGAAGTTACTATGTTTAGGCACTGTCAATTAACTATGCCACTAATGTACATGAAATTGGAGATTTCTCCGTTCGTAACCTAGGTATATGATCGTCTCTTTGCCTTATTTACGCGGCTTCCACCCAGTGGGGATCATAGCCGCGGCGACCTCCTCGACACCTCGCTCCGTAGCCAGCAAGTTAAACTGTCCAGCAGCATTCCGGGTATCCTGAATCTCCACCCGAATGCCCAGGGCATTGATATGACGCTTAGTCTCAGGCGACAAAGGCATCGCGGTGTCACCGAGGCCAAGAATGAGCATATCTGTTCCAAAAAGTCAGCGTCAGTCCTCAAAAAAAGGCAACCGATACATATAGTTTCGCCTTAACTCTAGCGTCGTAGCACCGGGGAAAAACGAGCTTTATCACCCGATACGCCTAAGCAAGGCGACCCATGACTGAGTGACTAACTGACGCTCTAGTTCGAACTCTCTCACATACCTGGACGAGGCCACACGACACTCAGTAAACCCCACACTTCTTCGGGCAGCTCAAACTGGCCCTTGGCGTTGACCATCGCCGCCTTGGCCGCCTGGTCATTCGCCACGCCTTTAATGGCTCTCCAAGGCCGCCACGCAAATGGCTCGCCACCGATGAGGAGCAGCGCATCGCCATTCCTGATTCGGACCCCGTTGCTCAGATCAAAGCCCGTGTCTAGTGTGGCGTCGATCGCTGCTGCAGGGGCTGCTGCATTTGCTAGTACGTCGAGGGTGTCAAAATCCGTCTGGGTCTCTTCTTCCGACTCTGGGCCGCGGTCGGGTGAGGTAGGCTTGAGCGTGTGGGAACGTGAGACTAGCCGGGATGGGCGGCTAACTGAGCTATTGTTGCGGTATGTGGATGGGATGGAAAACGACGTGTTGACAGAGGCGCAGAGCGAGCCATATGACGACGAGGTGGCGCGAGGAAATCGAGATGCGCTACCTCCGAGGCTGAGAGGACTTGGGGCGCTGGAGAGAGATGTGCGCAGGGCGCGGAGGAGCTGAGGCGAGGGAGAATGCATTGCGGGGGGAGGTAGCCAGATTCTAGGTCCCGGGTGAAGCGTATCTTGGGCGATAATCAATGGAGTTGGGGAATGGGGGAAAGAAGTTGGGGAAATCTTGGCTGAAGAGAGCTGGAACTACCGGGGCTTGGCATCCACACCCGGCGCCAACTGCTGCCAGTACTCCGTAGGTGCCTACCACCTTAATGAATATTTATCATCATGACTTTTACTGCTCCAGAAATCCGAATTGCTCGCGCATAGTTAATTGAATGTCCTTTATATTAATATATCCGTGTCGGCGGCCCTAGTGATTAATCTAGTTTTTTTTTCCGGGTGTCCCAATCGTGACCGTACTGCACCAGGTTGATATGAAACAGGAACAAGGACCATGTCATACGCTTCGTAAATCCCTCAACGCCAAGAATTGCAAATGAAAAATAGAATGAATCGCAAGGCGAAAAACAAACCAGACACCAAAAGATGAAATATCCGAAAAGAAAACAAAAGAGGGCGACAAAAAAGAAAGGGCTTGTGTCGAAACAGCCCAGGACTCACGCCATCCCAATTTCTCCAAAAGAAAAACATTACATTCCCACTTTTTTGTTTTCCTCGGTCAAAAGTATTATAGAAAAGGGCATATGCACACATTGAAAGACAGAATCAGTGTGGAAGGGCGAGTGGTTGCAAATTGTGGAGTCTGTACAGGCCGACCACGAAAGGTCTTAGTGAGCGGGACGGGCGCTGCCATTCCGGTCTTCGTCCGATTGACTGGAGCTATCGTCGCTATTGGTTGCGTTTCGTATACGCTCCGCACGGTCTTGAAGGACTTGGGCCTCTGCAGCGGCTTTCTGTGCCCGAATTTGCTTCCGCCACATACTGGCGTAACGACCCTTCAAGGCCAGGAGCTCCTCATGAGTACCGCTCTCGGAAACTTGGCCGTCCGCCAGGACAAGGATCTTATCCGCTGTCGTGATGGTACTGAGACGGTGGGCAATGACGAGCATAGTTCGGCCATGAGAGAGAGTGGAGAGCGCCCGCTGGATATGCTCTTCCGTATCGGTATCAAGTGCCGCAGTCGCTTCGTCAAGAAGAATAATTCGAGGGTTTTTGAGAATAGTACGGGCGATCGCGACACGCTGTTTCTCACCGCCACTGAGTCGAAGACCACGCTCTCCGACCTTGGTGCTGTAGCCATCCGGGAATGCCATAATTTTGTCATGGATGCTAGCGGCACGGCAGGCCTGGTAGACAGCTTCATCAGAAACGCCCGGGTTCGCGTACTTCAGGTTATACATCAGTGTCTCGTTGAATAGCACTGTATCTTGCGGAACCACTCCAATATGTTGACGCAAAGAATCGATGGTGATGTCTTGGACATCATGGCCGTCGACACGCAATGAGCCCTTCTCGGCATTGTAAAAGCGGAACAAGAGTCGGAACACAGTTGACTTGCCTCCGCCAGATTCTCCAACCAAGGCGGTGGTAGTTCCTGGTTCGCAGTGGAATGACAACTGATTCAACGCAGGCTTCCGTGCGTCATAAGCGAACTCAACATTCTGGAACCTGATGTCACCCTTGCACATACTCAACGGGGTGGCACATTCGTTGTCAACCACAGTAGGCTGTTCCCGGAAAAGCTCCAGCATACGCTCAGCATTGATCAGGGCAGATTGAATGGAGCGGTAGAAAGTGCCGAAGAAGTTCAAGGGGCCTTGCAGTTGGGCCATGTAGATCAACAGAGATACAAAACGGCCAACATCCTGCTGGCCAGTTGCAACCTGGTAAGCGGCGATGAAACAAGTGAGGAGTAGACCAATCATGAAGACAGTGTTCTGACAGGTGTTGAGTAGTGTCAGTGAGAATAGAACATGGTATTCCGCCTTTTGATACTCATGAACGGCGTCACGGTATCGGTTGAATTCGTATTGCTCCGCGTTGAAGTACTTCACCGTTTCATAAGACACCATTGAATCGTTCCTGGATTGTGAGTGAAATGTTAGTAGTGCTCAGCTAGGTAGAAAAGAAACCAGAAAAAATCGCAAACTAATAAACTTACTTGACAGCATCCTCTTGCCTGGAAGCATTGACCATTTGTCTTCTGATCTCAGCTCTCCACTGCGCCATGCGAACGGTGACATAAAGATAGCCAAAAGTGGAAATTCCGACAACTAGGGCGTAGTAGACATCGAAATAAATCAGGAAATACCCAATAGCGATGATCAGATCGAACAACATGGGGACAACCTGGAATGTGACTTGTTCCAAAAACGTATTGATGGAGCTGCCCTTGCTCAGTGCCGAAAGCACTTCACCAGTCTTCTTTCCCAAATGGAAGTCCAGACTCAACCCATGAACGTGCTCAAAGGCAGCGGTGGAAAGCTCCATATAAGAATACTGACTGACCGGAATCCAGAGGCTGGAGCGCAAAGAACTCAGCGATCCCTGGCCACCCTGGAGCCATCGAGAGAAGACGTATAAAAAGATTTCAATCCACGGGACGTGGAATGAGCTTGACCCTTGCTGGTCCACCAGAGCTGTTGTGATATTTCCGACTTGTATCGGGACCAAAACATTGACAACTCGCTGAAGGATCACCAGGGTGAAGCAAGCCACCACGACGATCTGAAGACGCCGCGACTTGGATGGCCACAGATATGGGAAGAACAGGGAGTAACCCCTAAGATATTCCCACCAACTTGTAGAGGGCATCGTTGTTGGGCGTACCCAGGGATCTTGGGGTTTCGCTTCTGAGCGAGGAGCCCCATTTGTCGAGCCGTAAGTGTGGCCATTGGTGTGGCCATCGGTATGACCATTCTCTGCTCCGGCGGGATCCAGAAGCCCGGTGGTTTCGGAAGCACCATTCACACCGCGATGGGCATGCTCATCATGACTCTTGAAGTTGATGGAGTTGCAGACGTAAAGGAGGACCAAGGCGAAGAGGAAGAATATACGGATACTGTTGGAGACTACCTCCATACTCTCCCAGGCGGTCATACTCCTACGAAGTCGACCGCCCTTGGGATCTCCAACAATGGGTTCATGGTGGGGCGAGGTATAAAACGACAGGGAGGTGCCCAGGATAACCAATTCGATGGGGATGGCGACGGACCAGCAAACGAGTTGAGCGGGAGTAGGGGATGGGGTAGTATCGAGTAGGGTCATGAGAATGACAGCGTAGTCGAAAAAAGAGCCGACGATGTAGATCTGCGATAGGGTTGGTTAGCTTTGGTATCTTTGAAAACGCCGGCAGATTTCGCCCGCATGAACCCCCCCGAGAGGGGCGGCTTCCCAACTTACCACCACCGACTGACCCCGCCACCATTGCTCCGATCTAGCAAGCACCACATGGGTAATATAGATGGAGGCATCGGCGAGGAATGTCAGTAGAACTCCAACTGAGAGCCAGTTGAAGCAATGCTTGACGGTCCGGGAGAAACTCTGCGTCTTCTTCAGGGAAGAGCTACGGGCCCGTCGGGGGAGAGCACGTCCACCAGGACCGACATTCTCTGCATCTTCCTGGTTCGCATTGCGAGCGATGACCATAGTATTGGCGACAAAAGCCACGACGAAGAGGAGGAGGAGGATGACCGGGTAACATGATCGTAGGTAGTCGAGCAGCTCGCGAGCTGCTTCGGGATCCATGATGGCCGAGCCGTATTATTTTCTCTTTCTTTTTTTTGGCTCTTCTTTTTCCCCGGAATCAGAAAAGGAAAAAAGAAAAGAAAAGAAAACAAGGAAAGGAAATGAAGGGAAAAAAAGAAAGAGATATTCAGACGAGTTCCATGACACAGCGGTGTCCCCGACGATCCGGAAGGAGGAAGAGAAAGAACGGGTTCGGGATCGGAAACGACCTTTTTGGTGGCCAAAAGGATCGACGCGAGGAATGCGGACGGACGCGGGGAGATGGCGAAAATGGCCAAGTCACACTTCAAACCCCACGAGTATCGGAGCTTTTTGAGAGCAATCGAATTTCAAGCTAATCAAGGTTGCAGGGTTAATTTCTTTCTGGTTTATTTGATTTTTTGCTTTTTTTTTCTTGCTCTTTTTTGTTGTTGATGTTTTGGGGTTGAGAAAGAAAGGAGGGCGGGGGGGGGTGCAGACGGAGGTGGCTGGGGGAGAGACAGAGGGAGATAGAGAGAGGAGAGAGGAGAGAGAAGAGAGAAGAGAGAAGAGAGAAGAGAGAGGGGAAAGGAGGATGGATGGATGGCCTTTTCTGGCTTTTCTGGAAGTGGAAACACACTCCAGGAAAGAGTGGCGAATCCACCAAGAATCAAAAATGGAGGTGTCCAGAAGGTGCTTTCAGGTGTGTACAGTATGGAGTACACTGCAGTACTGCACTGGAGTATAGACAACACCCAAAATGACGGTGTGGATGCAGGTGCTGCAGCTAATACGGCTCCACTTGGGGGGGGTCTAGTACGTACTGTAGAAAAAAAAAAGAACCCAGCTCACCAACTGCCAGTATGATCCCGAGTGTCTTTTTATAATCGGATCCGAGCATGCATTTCCCTAACTCCGAGATGTTTGCCAAATGTCCAAGGTTCGAAGCCGCGTCGGAAATCAAATGCGATGCCGCAAGAGAGCAAGGTTGAGAAATTGTGCCCGATGGACCAGGTTGGAATTTCCCAGGATAGTACTATTCCTAGTACTTCTGTAGGAAGAGATGAAGTTGGGTAGAGGTGATTGTACTGCAGGTAGTAAGTCCTGGAGGTATGTTAAAAAGTACTACTAGTACCGTGACCGGAGACCATTAGATTCAAGTTCCAGGGCCAACTCGGACCTAGGTACTATACGAACTACTACCAGTAGTAGTAGTAGTAGTAGTAGTAGTAGTAGTAGTAGTAGTAGTAGTAGTGGTAGTAGTTCGGGATCAACCACTAGCACTGGACATGAGGATACCGAGGTATAGATGGAACTGAAAGAGCAGAGCGGAAGACAGAAAAGGAAAAGAGGAAATCTCATGGGCCACAACCCCCCCCATGTGATATGTTATATATCATGATATCAACGAAGAATATTTACTACTATATGTGCTACTAATAGTAGTCGTACTCGGTCTGCATACGTCAAGACTTCAAGTTCCAAGGTTCTGGATGAGCATCAACCTAAAGAAAGTAACACTAGTAGCACCGTGACCTAAATCATATTATTATTATTATAAATAGTATTTATGTATCCTAAGGTTGTGGTAGACCATGGAATGAACCCCCCCCTCCTCCAACCAAAAATAATCGGAATAAATATCTGGTTCTACACATGCCTATTACATACTTCTCACTGGTACTTTCTTTGCGATCAGATGCACCATCGACCTCGATCTAGATCCAAGTGATGTGCAACGCCCTAACCTACCCTTGGACCTGTCCGATGAGATTCGTTGGATTGTAACTGCGCCCCCTCTCCCCCCCCCCTAGTCAACTAGTCAACTTTGATTTTCAAGTTGCCATCAGGGGCGATGACCAGAGGATACTCCAGGGCTGTCCCATCATTGGACTCCCGCAAATCCGAAAACTGAGACATGAGCTGATCAAACCGGTCCATGGGAATCTATCGTGGGTCCGCCGTCCGTGTCCTCATCCGCGTCTATGCCTGCTTGACATGACATGATTGTGGAGGGTACCTTTGATACTTACTCTCCAATTCCACCCTTTCATGCCTCACATCTCAGACCCGAACTGGCCGGGCCGTCCTGCAGTGAAAAGTGTCCAACAAATTCCAATCTGATCTCTTGTGTGTTGGCGTCTAGACCGCTCCTGGCCATGCCCAACGGGCGCCCAAGGGAGAAGCTGGTGAATCTACACAAAGCATCCTTCACCGCTTGCGCAACTCCGTTCGGCGCATTCACCTTTCCCCCCCCCCCCCTCCACTCCGTTCAGGACAACTGGTCGTGTGCCCCCCCATGGCCACCTGAGGAGCAATGTCAGACCTCTCAGGGGCACGTTCGCCCGCCCCTCCTCCCCCGCCGCCGCCGACCCAGAAGTACTCACGCGCTGCGAACGCGTTAGCCCGCTTCGCCCAACCCTTCTTTTCGGGATCGAGACCCCCCCAGTCCTCAGAATAGCCGGGTCGATGGCCCTAGACCGATCAGGTCCAAATCTCTGTACGTGCTGCATGTCATTCCACACCGCTCGTGCTTTCAATCGCACAATCAATCAGCTTCCTTCGATTTGATATTCACCTTCTGGTCCACGATCCCTCCTCCGGCCCCCCATATCTCTCCTCTTCTCCTCATTCCCCGCTTCTGCCAGATCGGATCACATCAACTTTCCTGCTACATCACATTGAGATCGACCAATGACATTCTAACGTCACCAGACCAGGAGAACCTCAGACAGTCACTCACCGAACCGGCATTGCGATCGCCGCACTTGATATCTCGCCGCAGCGGACACATGCGGTGATCGGAGGCAAGGATATTCTCAAAACCATCCGCGTCTCGCCTGATCATTCATCGGAGGAATTTAATATTCGCAACACTGTCATCAGCTATGCATCCACCCACCATGATGCGGGCGTGTCGATGCCGCATAAGGACCAGTTGAATGTGAAGGACGTCAAGTGGTCACATGGTAATTACGACCGAACAATCGCTACGGCTGTCGCCAATGGCCGGGTCGTCATTTACGACCTGCAGCGGCCCGGCCTCCAATTATGTCGTTTCCAGGGCCACAACCGCCAGGTTCACCGACTGGCCTTCAACCCTCACCTCGCATCTTGGCTGCTGTCCGGCAGCCAAGATGGTACAATTCGGATGTGGGATTTACGATCCGCCTCTGCGAATCGGGGGCCTTCCACGTGCGGCAGCAAGCATGTTTATCAGGGTAATAGCGATGCCATCCGGGACGTCCGGTGGTCTCCCACCGACGGCGTCGTGTTTGCGACCGCCTCGGACAGCGGCGCCATTCAGATGTGGGATTCGCGCAAGACCAACGCCCCGCTCATGAGGATTGCGGCTCACGATCGTCCGTGTTTCGCTGTTGATTGGCATCCTGATGGCAAGCATATCGTCAGTGGTGGTACAGACCGCCAAGTCAAGGTCTGGGATTTCTCCTCCTCCGCCGAGCGCCGACAGAAACCTGCGTTTCAGTTCCGGACCCCCCCAGGCCGTTACCAACGTCCGCTGGCGGCCACCTTCATGGGTGGGTGACTCGCCCGCCTCGGGAGAGTGGCAGTCCTCCCAGATTGTCACGGCCTATGACAAAGAGGACCCGCGCATCCACCTATGGGATCTCCGCCGCCCACATATGCCATTCCGGGAGTTTGACCGATATGATGCACCGGCCACGGACCTGCTCTGGCATTCCAAGGACTTGCTATGGACCGTCGGAGAGGCCGGGGCATTCACACAAACAGATGTTCGGTATTCTCCAACGGTCATCAAGCGTCGCCCCATGTGCTCGGTCGCTTGGAGTCCCAATGGTGAGTTTGTGGCCTTTGGCCAGAGACGACTGAGGCGGCAACCTCCCAACGTCAACGCCACTCAATCTCTTCCCTTCGATGATGACGACCAGTTTAGCACTGGTGATAAATCATTGAGCCAAAGCCCAGCAGACGATTTCCTTGACGAAGCTGTCCTTGCATCGTCCTATCGGCCGCGGCAAGTCAAACCTCCCACGACGATCTCCGGATCGAAATCGCTCGGCAACACCCCACCCGGAACCGTGGACAACATCCCCGTTCTCGACCTCGAAGAAGCTTTAGCCAAGATCTCCACCCCCACCCCCAGTCAGATTGGGACTATCGGAAGCATTCCTGGTGCCACGAACAATGCATCCGTCTTCCGATTCTTGGCGCGGAACTACTCGCCGCTGATGGATGGAAACATTCATAACCAAACTCATGTAGACGTATTGAATTCTCTAATGGAGTCTCTCGACCATAATGCGGAGCGTGCGGATGACGTTTCTCTCCCGAAGCTCGCCCAGACCTGGCGGATTGTAAAATTCGCCGTCATCCAAGAGCTCCAACGCAGGTCGAGGGAGCAACCTGCAGGGAAAGGTACCACGAACAGCAGGCAATCCAAAGATGGACTCTTGTCAGAGAAGGCCCAATTGACAGTAGATGAAAACCGACAAGGGAAAGTCAAGAGTCGGTTGTTCAAGGGTGTTATGGAAACGGAGGGCCAGAGAGGACTCACTCCAGAAGCCGAAAGTACATCGAACATGACTACACCACTTGCGCAACCGTTACCCGATTCACCAATGGACTCTTGGACGGACAGTGATTCTCAAATTCCGTCCATCAGTGAAAATGCCATCGATCTCGATCCACTCCCACCGTCCGTTTTAAGCTCTCATAACGGCTGGGGCATGTCGGGCCCCGAAGTCCCCGCCCCTGCAGATCTCCGACAAGAACAATCCGTAACTTCTAGCGAAGGGATATATGCTTCGGGTCAACCTATTGACTACCTGCGGGAGCCAGGGCTGACAGACCCGGAGAGTGATCAAAGATCTGCACCCAGAGCTATCGCGGGGAGATCAGACTGGCGCCGTCGAGATACTCCGGGGTTGCTACGACAAGCATCGGAAGACGACTATGACCAGCAGATGGAAGACAAACGGGCCGCAATCCGCGACTTCAAGCAAACCCCAAAGAAAGTTTTGACGTTGGAATCGAACCGCCCCCCCCACCACAGACCGCTACCAGCGGCATGACTCCTCGGAGAGCTTTCCAATGTTCTCCGCTTCTACGGACAGTTCACAGCCCTCCAAATCTCTAGGAGGCTCGTTCTCCTCTAATGTGCAATTTTCTGACCGCCGAATATCGGATGGAGGCCAAGCTAGTGGTTCCTTTAACGGTAGACGGCTTTCTTCTCTCGTGAGACGAGAATCTACTCTAGAGCCTACCCAGGAGGAGCTTGAGGATAGTTTGGAACTTGAAGAATGTGTCCTGGAGGAGGATGGTGGCCATCTTGAGCGACCGTCTAGCCCTGCACCGCTAATGAAGGAGTCGACCCCCTTCAAACACCCGGAAAGCGATGATTACTTCAAATCTTCAAGAAATGGTCTTTCCACAGGCGCAGCGGCCTATCCTGCTGTTGCCGGGATTCGCGAAGATATTTCTCAAGTGAGACTTCCGCTTACGCTCGATGCATCGGACCCAAAGCCATGGAGCATCGAAGCTATTTTGAAGGAGGCAGTGCGCTATTATCATAGCAGCAGTAGCTCTGTGGACATCCAAACCGCTGCCCATTTGCTCCACAAGCTTCATATCATATTCGAAGACTGCGATGACATCCTTCCATATGAAGAGAGCGAGATGATCTTCAAAACCTACAATGATTTCCTGATCCGCCACTCACTGGACCTGGAGGCTGCAGAGCTTCGTCTGTCATGTGTGTCCAAGTATTCTGCTGTCTATGACTATGCCCAGGCGGACACTTTCATAAATGTCTTTTGCCACTCCTGCCGTCGACCTTACGAGAACCCCACACGCGACAACACACGATGCCATCGTTGCAACACCCCACAATCACCTTGCGCCATCTGTTCAAGCATCGACCCGCCTCCTGAATGGGTTGCAGCTGAATCCCAGCAACGCTCAACTCAAGGCCCAAGCATGACCACTTCTGAAACCGACGCCGATACTATTTCACGCCTCTCATCAGTATCTTCAGTCCCCACTGAGCCTGTTCCTGCCAACGAGCTCGATGCTCTCAATCATTTCGCCACGCCTAGGCCAAAAGGCTCGGCTCTTTGGTCATGGTGTCAAGGTTGTGGTCATGGCGGCCATGTCACCTGCATCACCACCTGGCTCAGCGATCTTTCTATGAGTGAGGGCGGCTGCGCCACACCCGGCTGCATGCATGACTGCGGGCCCGGGCCGCGTCGCGAATCCAACCGGCAGATCCTCCTTACCGAGTCAAAGCGTCGCGACTCCGTCAGCCGTTCTTCCGGCGTGGGTCTCGTGAAACGAGATCCTTGGTCGAAGGGTGAGAGCAAGGCCGTTGAGAAGGTTCGAGGCATGCTCGGGGCGGCAGGTATCGCTGCCGCGACAGGCCAAAACAGTGCTGTGTCCAATGCATCGGGAAACTCCGCTGCTACTAGCCAGAGCGCTCTTTCTTCTGGTGCTGTTTCGCCCAAAAAGGTGAGGCTTGTCACGCCTGACGAACATGGAAGACGAAGAGGGCCTTCAAGTCGAACCAATGCTGCACCGCAAGAGTAGTAGCACAGAGCTTTGCCTGGATAATCTGTTCCTCGGCAATCTCGCTTTCGAAGTCTGCAACTTATCTGGTTATATGTTGCATGATTTGTATTTTATCAACTTCCCCCACCGCATTGCTTCAAAGAAGCCCGGAGTATGGGAGTTCGGTTTTCGTTCCCCTTTTTTTGTTCTTTACAGCGAGTCTTTTCTTGTCCAGTTTCGTTTATGAAACTTATTTTTGATTCCCCCTGTCGGAAGACAATTTATTTCTTTCAATCCAATCAGTCTACAAGGAATCCAATACTTCCAATATGATGTTTTCATTTACTTCCGCACGTCTCGTATTAATCCAAATAGATCAAAACCTCCGCTTCTTCTTCGCTGGTGCTTTACTCTGAGCTTCCATTTGTCGTTTCAGTTCCTCCCGTCGCCGACGCGCCTTCTCCTCCTCCGTCTCCGGGACTTCGGGAGGTGCTTTAACAGGTGGGTCGGCAGATTTCTCTTTCTTTGAAGGACCCTTAACTGTTCGTTCTGGGGACACATACTCGCGCTTAGGTGGTTTGGTCGGCGATTGATGAGCTGGCGGCAGAGTGGGAGGCTCGGGCGGCGGTGTTTCCTGACGCTTTGCTTTACTTTTGCCGCCTATAACGCCCAGTCTTGAGGGCTTCTTCACCTTAGCTGGCGAGGGCAGAGCCGCGGTCTCGTGAGCGGGTTCGCTATCTTTGACCGGGCTCGCGGGTGCTGGAGTTGGGGCTTGTGGTGGAGAGGGTGGCCGTGGCTCCACTTGTTGCCTTTTCTTGCCCCCGATGACACCTAGCTTACCGATAGCCTTTTTGGGTGGCTTTGCAGTAGGTTTTGGTTCCGGAGAGCTGCTTGGTGCTTTGGTTGTTTGCGGAGCGGGGGCTGAATCGAGTTCTTTCTCGACTTGTCTTTTGATAGGACTGAGTTCCTTTGAGCTTGGGTTTGGCTGTGGTGAAGAGCCTTTGGTATTTATGGCTGGGGACTTTCCTCGAGGAGGTTCTTCATATCGCTAGATTATGTGAGCATATAAATAAATTTAGAATGAAATGTCCACAAACCTCAAATTCAGAGTCGGTGGTTCCCGCTGTATCTTCCCCGTCATCTAAAACCAGCTCCGTGTGTTTAGTCGGCTCTTCTGTTAAGTTCCTGGAGGCTTTTTCTTTGGGGGCTAGATCAGCTTCCTCTTGGGAGGTAGTATTTGAAAGTGTGCCAAGCTCATCCCACCAGTGATCTCGCACTGGGTTGAAGCTCATGAGACTCTTCTTCGAATTCGAACCAAAAATTTCATGCACTAGATTTGAAGCCAAACTGAAGGTACTGGAAGAACCGCCTAGCTGGGCGAGCCAGGCTTTCTCGTCAAACGGCGCAACACCTTTGACCAGCTTCGCAAGCTCAGACCGCATGTCACCTTTTCGAGTGGAGCGTATTCCCGAAGCACTGGGAAATATAGTGCTCATATCCACGCCAAGAGCTTCTATCCGGTCAAATAGTTTGTCCAAAACCCAGTCTTTTTGTTGAAGTTGATCCGAAAGCGCTTGCTGGCGGGATTCCCAAACCGCCTCATCTTTCAACAGTGGGAGAAGGATGCGACTTGTCAAAGATGCCGTAGGCTCCTTCGATAATTGAAATGTCCATTTCAACGGCCTCAGCGGAGCAGGGAGTTTGGCACTGATATTGATGTCGATTGAATTGGCTTTGGATCCACTGTTTAGTGCTGACTTGCCGCCAGCACCACTGAGTGCCTCGCCGATCTTTGTGAGTAGAAGTTCCAGCTGATCATCTCCTTCACTGGGGTCAATAGTGGTGAGTCCCCGTTCGGCGCGTTTGAAGATATCCTGGCGACCAAGTTGCTCTGACCAAATAGAAGTGAGGTCGGTGAGGTAGAGCTCATAGCCTTCGCGAGTCCAGGTGTACTGGAAAAGTAGCGACGGTAGTGATTCCGTCTGTAAAGATAACCTGTGCCACGTTGAAGACATCTCTGATAACCATCTGTGGTAGATGGAGAAGGTCGTGCCCCGGACCTGTCATATACGAAGGTTGAGCTCTGGCCGGGGGTTGCCTGGAGCTGCCTTAATTTCGCCGCACCCGCCGATCACCCGCATCACTTTTCTCAACTTTGCTTTGCGACCAGCGCAGCATCACCACCACGACCCCCTACACTCCCTGCTACCACCGCGAACGCCCAACCGAGACCATATCCACACATCCGCGCAGAATGTCCGCGCGACTACCCGACCGGGGCGCGAAGCGCAGCCGATCGCGATCCCCATCATCCTGGCGTCAACCCCAGAAGCATCCCCGCGGACCTGACGACCGGCAAGACTCAAACCGAGGATGGGATCAAGGCCGATCGCGCCAGTCCAACCAGCCCCGAGACATGCGCGATCAATTGCGGCTCAACCAGATCCAAGAAGACGAGCAGGCGCGGGAATGGGTGGCGCAGGAGGATATCTTTGTGTTGAAGCAAGCCAAGAAGAAGGCCGAGATCCGAGTGAAGGAAGGGCGCGCGAAGCCCATCGACTGGCTCACAGTTACACTCCGAGTGATCGATCCTACGCGTGATCCTATGGACGACGAGATTGCCGACTCGGAGATTGATGTTGTGGATCCAGATGGGGTGTTTGAAGGATTGTCAGAAGCCGAGCTTCAGGATCTGGAGCATGAAATCGAGACATTCCTTAAATTGGAATCAAATGCGCAGAATCGCGATTTCTGGCAGGTAAGGAAGACTTCATCCCCCCCGCTCAATTTATACACTCGTGCTAACATTCCCTTACACAGACTATGAAAGTTATCTGTCGAGATCGCCAAAAGACCTCAGCACCTGAAGGGCGGGCCCTCAGCTCCGTGGCGGCTGACATCAATCGGCTTCTGAGCCCAAAGACATACGAGCAGCTCCAAAATCTGGAGGTCCAAGTAAGGAGAAAATTAAACTCAAATGAGCCCATCGATACGGACTATTGGGAAGAGTTGCTACGCAGCTTAACAGTCTGGAAAGCCCGGGCCAGACTGAGGAATGTCTATCAAGCTGTGATCGATGAACGCGTTCGTGATTTACGAAAGCAGCAGCGAGAAGAGGCGGAGTCTGTTCGGGAAAAGCTAGCTCCCCTTGCACCGGCTGTCGTTCAGGGCGAGGGTTACCAAGACTCCGCCCAATCGACCGGGTTCGAAGGCTTAGATCCGGATCCATTACTACACGTGCGCGCGGAAGATAAAGGATTGGATATTATGGACGAATCTAGCCTTCTTCGCCAAGTGGTAAGTGCTCAAAATATGCTCTCCAAAGCCTCTGTACTAAACCACTTTTCCCCCTATAGGCCAAAGAACGCCAAAAGATTCTGCGCATGGGATTTGTTCCTTTGCGACAGCGACAAGCTGACAGGCCTGCAACAGCCTTTGCCAACCCTGCGTCTAGCGTGACCCTTGCTCCTGCTACTGGAAGTAGATTCTCATCTCTTCCCAACGATGATTTCTCGCAAGCGACTAAGGCTTTGTATGAAAAGGAATTAGCCAAGGGTGTCAGCGAGAACGAAGAGATTTTCACTGGAGAAGAGTCTGTTCGAACTGGTACGCAGCCCCAATGGGCTGGCAAGCACAGGCCCCGCAAACCCCGATACTTTAACCGAGTACAAATGGGTTATGAGTGGAATAAATACAACCAGACACATTACGATCATGATAATCCGCCCCCAAAGGTCGTGCAAGGGTATAAATTCAACATCTTCTATCCTGATCTTATTGACAAGGTCAAAGCTCCAACATATCGCATTGAGCGAGAGAATGGTCGCAAGCGTGGAGAGTCCTCTGCAGAAGCAGGAGAGGAAGATACCTGCCTTATTCGGTTTATGGCAGGGGCCCCATATGAAGATATTGCCTTCCGAATTGTTGATAAGGAATGGGATTATAGCGCGAAGCGCGAACGGGGATTCAAGAGCACATTTGACAAGGTAAGAAAAATCGTGCTCCTCTGACCGCTCTTTCAACAGGAAACACTAACGTCTTTTGTGTGACAGGGTATTCTCCAGCTTCATTTCCAGTTCAAAAGGGTAAGCGACTTCAATGACCCCCCAAGACACGACAGGAACAATACTGATAATTTTGTCTCAGATCTATTACCGGAAGTAACACACGTCACTCCCACATGGGCGTTTTATCGGGATGGAGGTGGAGGTGGAGATGTGTGGTGTGTAGAGTACATGCAGTAGGGCAGAAGCGGTTGTGTCTTCCGGAGAGCGGAGACCCTTTTGAATCAAAACACCCCCAATTGATTAGGCTGGAAATAGTTTCCCCTCCGTTTCTTCTTGCTCCCGCATTCAATAAGCCCAAACTCTGAGCACCTTCCACGTGTGGAGTCTACATCTGATGCTTAATCTAACCACCAAATAAGCTTCTTCCCCCTTCAACTTTCTTTGTTTATGACCATCTTTCAGTTTGAGCCCCATTTAGATCACATACCACCTGGGAGGCGAACCAGCATCCTGCATGGGAGGAACCTAGTGGCTACCTCCACGAGAAGTCACGGTACTTGGGCCTTCTTGTTAGCCTGCAGAAATTCTTTCTACTTCCGGAACCGTGGAGACGTTGAAGTCTCTAGTGTCGTGGTGACACCATGCCGGCCTGCAGTAAGTTCAGCAATTCAAGACTTCCGGCTGGCTGGAAGCGGTCAACCAGAAAGAAACGCCCGGCACTGCCAGACAGGGTATAAATCTGGAGGGTAGAGTTTTCCAGAAAGCTCACACGCTCGCTTTCAGGCCAATGCATGATGGCTGGTGAGAGTCTGCAGGTGTCCGCTACCAAAAAATCATCCCCTTATGACCATTTTCTCTACACAACTCTTTGTAGCACCAGATCGAGCCGCCTTGGGTCACCTGTGAGATAATTGGTTAACACCTGTGCTATGAAGTGTTGTTGCACCAGTTAGAGACTTGGGCACTTTTGACAGGATGAGAATCCCCATAACCTGAAGCTGTTATGGCTGTGGGTGCCGTCCCACTCCCACACCCACGCCGTTCGCCTCTTGTCGCCTTCTCTACCTAATAGTACGGCCCTGACCCACATATTCCATGTTTGCTTAGGTCAAGGCTATTTGCAGCTGCTGAAGCATGTGCTAAATGAGCTGGTAGGAAAAAAAAATCATAATTTTATTAATTTATTATTATTAATTTATTTTATATTTTCACAGACCAAGAAGAGAAAGAAGACGAAGAAGAAAAAAATTGTACAGCTCAAATTCTGTCTGGAGTCTTGAATGGCGACGCCGAGCCATGACGGTCACCCTAGCTACTTTTATGTTGGCCTTGCCTTTATCTCCCACCGGAGATTTTCTTCTTCTACATCTTGTTCCTCTTTTGAACTAGATACATGTCTGAGATTCTCCTCACGCTCGATCCAAAGTCCTCCACGCAAGCCGGATATTTTGAGAGAAATTCATCCAGGATGGAAAATTATTTACCATACTCCAATGAGCTGGGTCAGATGGGAACTGACCAGCAGGAGCACGAGCAATGCCAACCTTCGGTACAAACGAGGTCTCAATCTTCCGATACTAGGGCCCTTATCCAAATGAATTACCCCCAGTCTCACCCCTGGCCCCAGGGCGAGAATGAGAGCTGGGCGGTTTGCTCACAACCGCCAGGATCTGTGATGCCTTATTCGTTCTCTTATTATAGCCCTCGGTGGGATGGCTCGGTGTTCGGTACTGAGGAAACGACTGCATCGCAAGTGTCTCGCCTTTTAGTGGCAGATCAGCCATACCACACCTCCTCCATCAGCTTAGTTTCTCCAAAGGTGAGTACTAATTGCTACCTTTTTACTTCGACTACATAGGTCATAGACTCATCCATTACACACAGAGAAGCTTTGATCAGGAAATCTTCACAGGCTGGAACAACAAATCTGTCTTTAGTCCATCTCCATTCTGCGTTCAGGAGAACTTCTATCCTAGACATTTAGATGTTTCTGAGAACATAGCCCAACCAGTGAAATTTTGTCCAACACCATCACGATCTGTTTCAATGTCTCCTCATCGGTCACCATCACAATCTGTCGATGGTATCAGCCCCGCCACCAACAATGTCGTTGGTGATGATAGCTCGCCGAGAACTAGCTTCGGAGAAAACAGCGAAGAAGATCCCATTACTGAACCGCCTTATTCCGCCCTGATCTATGACGCCTTAAAAGATGCTCCCCAAAGGAAGTTGACCCTCAAAGACGTCTATGGATGGTTTCAACGCAATACCAACAAGGACAGGGATCCAAATTCGAAAGGTTGGCAGAACAGCATCCGCCACAATCTGTCTATGAATGCAGTATGTTTCGCCTGCTTCTTGACTCCTTCCCCTTGAGGGATTCCCTCAAGGAGATCAATATCCAATTTTAGAATGAGAGGGAAATCAATACTAATGTGGCTTTTTTAGGGGTTCGAGGCCATCAAGGGTGAAGACAAAGACAATAAACCAGTCAATTACTGGCGTCTTACAGATGAAGCGTATCAAGATGGCATTCAATCGACGACCCGATATCGCAAGGCCAACCATCGCAAGGGGAACAGTTCAGACCACACAGCCCGCGAGCGTCGCCGCTCTGGGTCCAAAGGTGGAAAGGCAGCGAAAAATGCGGCTAGGATGCGCAATAGTCCGCATTACGAGCAGTTTAGGGACCAGAAGTACGAGCATTCGACGCTACATACACCCCGCTCGCTGGGTCAGCCTCATCGGCAACAGCTACGCCCCCCAATTCGCGCTCCGCAAATCAATGCTAGCATTTCGCCCTACCAGATGACTCTAGGGCCGACCCCGTCCGGACTTCCTAGCACGAACTCATCTCAAAACCACGCTCCCGATGATGTGATCAGCTGCACAACCCCTCCTCCCGGAAACTATCCTGTATTTTATGGCACTGGAGGATTGGAATCTTTAGTCTTGGGCATGGGCCAAGTGGGCTATCATGGACCGGTCTACACCCACCATGGACTTCGTATTAGCCCCGATACTACAAGTGATCTCCAATTTGTGCGAGGATAAGAAGGAGGCGGGCGCATCGAAAGGGGAGGGGGCGAGGGCAAAAGGAGAGATGCACGGTAAGCCGTGCATGACATTTCATTATTTGTGGTGTTTTTCCTTCCATGTCTTTTCCATCTAAATTGTCCATTTGTCTACGAGTTATGGATTTCTCTGGTTGGGGTCTATCTGGTCATTGAATAGAGAGGCACGGTGCATCGCATTTCTTTTTTTCAATCTGAGCTGGCTGCTTTCTGGTGTCAAAAAAGGGTGGTCATCATCTTGCGAGCCATTCACTTTCGGTGTTCGGAGGTTTGCTTTTTTTTTATTCTGTGACTTGGGGTTCTGAATTCAACTTCGCTTGCATTAGTGGTTGTTATCAATTTTGCTATTTCCGTGCTTGGGCTAGTCAAGTGTATTGACTATCATATCAAAAGTACTACATATTATCCATGCAGCGCAGATCTGCCTTCCCGTAATTGATTTACCCGCTAAGCTTAGATCTATGTATTGTTCATTCCCCACGTTGCCCACGGCTGTAATTTCCATATTCCTTAGTCCCCACGATTGGGCAGCACCGTTCACCTCTTCGACATCTCCCATCGGATATGTACATGTACTTGCAGATCACCCGTTCTATTGGGTCGGGAATATTGCCGATTCAAACCCCGAATTAGAAAAGAGTGCCGGCTTCTCTTTCGCGTGATCGGATCGACAGTGACAGGGGATCCTGGTGCTACTCGAAGCGACAATTGCTGCCTGTTTTGGATACGATATGCCCCTGGGTGAGTCGCCATCAATCAACGCTTGATCTGTACTGCGTACAGGGAATAAGCTGAAGGGTTGGTTTGTTTAGACGTGCATGGGACTGCAGTAGCAGCTCGGCCGAAACCGTGTTAGTCTCGCTTGAGCTCCCCCCCCACTCCCATCCAGCCCGTCTTCACTTTCTTCTCAATTTTGGTATGTGGATCTTAAATATGTTCTGATGTTCTTCGGTTCCCACTTTCAGTCTGTGCTACCTGCGCGGAATCGTGGAGATGGCGTTTTTTGTACTCCGTACTCCATTATAAAATTACAGTTGACTGCTGTAGTGCCGTTCACAAAACACCTGGACATGGCGATTCGCACTCAGGTAGCGCGGACCGTGCCATCCAAGGCCCCTTGAGGAACCTATCGTGGTGGAAGATAAGGTCATTTGCAGCCTAGGGTCCCATTCATTAATTTACCCTAAACCGCTCAATACCCTACCACACATGTACAACCAAGTTGCCATATTTAAGACGAGGTATGATATCGAACTCGCAGCTTTCTGTTATTGATTGACCTCATGAAGCAGACTTCCCACATCGAGGGATCTTCTGTCTCAATGTCCTCGGCTAATGTCCATCTTGCCAAGGGTTATGACTGGTTTGAACGGGATCATACTCTAGTATCCTAGGGGCTGGAGAAAATCCCGAGTGGGACCTTTGGTACTTCTCTTCCCTAGTAGAGCCTGGATGATACAGCTAGTAACTGTATTAGCCTGTTCTCTAGATCTCTTGTGTGAATCTGTGTCGTACATAACAGGCCCCGGGGCAGTTAAACCGATGTGATGCGGGGCCCCACTCAGATCACTGGCCGAGGTTTTGACAGATCGCAAGTCCATCACCATACATACCCTATTGTTGGGGGACTGCCCAGGTTCTGCACCTAGAATGATCGGCTGGTCAGTTAGACTGCCGTCCCATGATCGTTTTTCTCCCCGCTCGAATTGGCCAAAGAAACCTTGGAATTCTTTCTAATTTATTTTTCTATTATGTTCGCCGTTGTTGACTTTTTCGTTAATATTTCTTTCCTCACTTACTATATACCTATCTTTTGGAATTGAAATTTTCTCCATGTTCTTGTGTGCTTTTCCATCAGTGTTTTAGCTCGGGAGCCGGCCGATGCAGCCTAGCGAGGGTTCATCGGCTGCCACGTACTCGCTATTATGTATGTACATATGTAGGTATGCATATATATGCAGAGAGCAATTTCCAGTCTGTACTTGCAGCTAGACTAATGAATGTCCTACGGTTCCCGTGTCCAAGGATCCCTAGGTCCTCGATATGACGTGTTGGCAATAAGGGGGAAATTAGGGGCCGAAAGGACAATGGCTAGAAGGATTTTGTTTCCGGTTTGTTGTGCATACATACATGGACAATGCACTTTCTTCCTTCGAGCCAGTGATCTGGTAAAATTTGGCTTCAAATAAGAAGGTCCGAGGCAAACTCTCCTGTCAAGGTTGCATTATGCATCACGATTGTTGGAACGTGGGCTTGGGAACCCCCTTCAATACACGTACTTGAAGTTATTTGGTCTATGGGGGTTTCTGTTATTCTCTGCTTCTTTTTTTTTTTTTATTTTTCTCCCCTAGTACATCCATCGTGTGCAGACTTTCGGCAGGCTCCATATTTGGCTCTGACGGGTGTCAGGCGTGGCCTTGGGTTAGAAACAATGTACTTAGTACTCCGTACCCCTACAGGGAACAGGGGAGACTCGTGTTCCCAAAGGGGTAATAGTACTAAGTACTGTCAGAACTTGAATGCAACTTGAAATTTTAGGTAATATTACTTGGTTTTATGCAGTTAGGAAACTCTACCTAGGCCCGGGGTATTCTAGGGTTCGTATCTGCCCCGGGAAATAAATCCGACCCTGCCCAGATGGGTACCTAGGTAGTAGTTAGTATTTAAGGGGACTTCCGCAAACCTTGGAACTAGTATACTATCTGGTTGCTCCTGAGGTCTACTCTGTATCGGGCACGACTAGTAATACTATCCACCCTGGGTGCCTAGGTACCTGACCAAAAGTACCTTTAATGAAAAGAGATACGAGGCTGGCGCTGACAGGCATCTTCTGAGATATTCAGATCCTGTCGTTCTGATTCCTAGTTTCTGTCAATTCCCCACTCCCCCTAGCAGACGCCTGTGGCCACCCCCAGGACCCGCGAAGCGATTCATCGCCAGACCGGCAACAGGCTCGAGCCAGCCTTGGAACTACTTTCGCACCTAGTGGCATTCTTTCTAGAACCTTGAAATACAGATCGACCACCTGGGATGCAACTTGAAGGTCGTGGAAAGTCTAATGCAATCTGAATATGCCCATGTCTTTGACAGCATCCCAAGCCACTAGCAGGTGCCGGTGGCCTGTGACAAATATTTTCCGAGTCTACGATAGCCATCTCGGATATCAAGATCCAGAAACCTGGGAAAGAAGCGGTGTCAGGGGCAACAGCGAGTTTTCAGCTCCCGTATTACCCCCTATTCGCGCGCGCACTACATATATAACCCCCAATGCTTGCATGACCAGACGTGATTCGAACATAATGCCCAGGTAGGAGGGTCTCGGAAGCCCTCTCCAGCCACCGGGGTTGAAAATATTACCTCCCCGGATACTAGCACAGTGCAATATACATTCATACTATGGTTGATTCTGCGTAGCGTTATCCAACTGCGTCACCCGGGTTTTGCAAGTCAATCTGCAGGGCGCCTGGCGACGACATTACTCCCGAGGTTCTGTCGCTGGCTGGCTGGTTCTCAGCCAGCTCTCGAGACAAGGATAAGGTCTAGCCCATGTCACAAGGGGAAACTTTGAATTTCATTGCACATTGAAGTTCTTGGCGATCGATCTGCTAAAGTCACTGGAGACGAGACCCGGGTCTAGACACTGAATCATGAGTGAATATTCTACCTTGAGTTTTGGCGAGCGAGCTGTAGCTGCTGGTTTGTTTTGAATCCGTCCCTGCGGAGCCAAAGAAGTATGTAGATACGGATTCGCCAGGACAAATGTGGCGGTGGATAGTCAGGCTGTCCGCATAGCCTAGCTATTCAAGATCGAACTACCGCTGATGCAATCGCCTGGTAATTTGAGCGATGTGGGTGGCTACGAGTATTATGAGATCCCGGGCTAGCCTCGAGGTGTTTCGAAGGTTATGGAAACCACGAGGACAAAGCAAGATGAAATGCGACTCGCGCGGGGAGAAACAATGTGCCTCAATTAAGGGCGAAGCCAGCAAAAATCCAGAACGATTCAAACGAAATTCGTAGAAAAATCTCGTGAAGATAGAATAAATTGGGTTTCATTTGTCTAGTCATGACCCAGATCATGAGTTCATGCTAGCGGTTCCTGTTCATCATTTTTAGATTCTAAAAGAAAACCGTTCCCATCACTTTTCCGTAACGTTCGCTCTCCAAAAGACAACACCGACGAGGGACAAGGCTTTGTTTAGCGCTTGCCAGCCTTCTCCTGGGACTCCTTGAGGACCTTCTTGACGATCTTCTGCTCCTCGATCAGGAAAGCACGGACAATGCGGTCCTTGACGCAGCCAGCGCAGCGCGAGCCACCGTAGGCACGGCTAACGTTCTTCTTGGGGCGGGAGATCTGAGCATACTCGCGGGGGCGGAGGGCGGGGACCTATGCGACAAAAATTGTAAGTAACCCGAATTGATGGGAACAAAAATGCAGGGACTGCGAGTGTCGTGTGAATGTTGGTTTCGATTGCCGGTGGTTCACGAGTTTGAGCCGATGTAATCCAGATGAGAATTTTTTCAATGCCCTTCACTCGGTTCCCCCACGGTTGCCGTCCCGCGCACACACACGACACCACACATTGCCGGGGAAAAAAAAAATCAATCGAGGGCTACTCACACCGGGGAGCTTGATGCCGCAGTCACCGCACTTGGGAGCAGTGCCCTTCTTCTTCAGGTGAAGGTAACGGAGCTCACCACCAGGGGTCTTGATGATGCGAACCTTGTTGGACCGCGTGTTGTACCTGTCGAAGGGAAAAAATAACCGTCAATATATCGTTCCAAAATCACTGGCAGCCGTTCCTAGTTGTTCGCAATATCGACTGGAGCGTAAAGGAGGCATTATGGGTGGCAGGGAATTTTTTTCAAACGTACGGGTTCCGGCGGCGCTGGAGATAAATCGGGTCAGAACTTTTTCAAATACAATAGCGATAAAATGAATGAAACTCACGAATGTCAGTCTGTTGTTCACCATTTTGT